CTGTGGCCGGCCGTGACCGGGTGGGCACCACAGGTGTGGCTGGCAGCCAGCAGCCCTCTGCAGTTCCCACGTCTTCTTCCCCGCAGGGAGCTGCAGCGCCGGAGGCAGGTGGGATGAAGCACCAAGGTCACAGGCCGGGAGGCAGCTGCCCCCAGTCTGGGAAACCACCTGGAACTTTCCGGGGACCAGGGGGATGGGGTGGGAGTGGCTGCCCTCCCATAACCCCACCTGCTGGCCTGACCTGGGAAGCTTCTAGGTTTCCTTTATTTGTTGTTGTTTTTTTTTCTTTATTGATTTTAGAGAGGAAGAAAGAGGAAGAGAGACAGAAACATCGATGAGAGAGAACATCGAATGGCTGCCTCCTCTTTGCCCCTCACTGGGGATCGAGCCCACAACCTGGGCCTGTGCCCTGACTGGAAATCGAACCGGCGACCTCTTGGTGCAGGGTCGACACAACCACGGAGCCACGCCGGCGGGTTAGGTTTCCTTTTGAAAAGGCTCTGAGTGTGGGTGTGATGAACCAGTAGCTTCTGGACCCAGGGACCGTCCCTGATCCTGTCCATCATTTTCGTCGCCTTTGCCTCTGGTGTGAGAAGATGATTCCTGAGATGCCCTCAATTAAATTGCAGGGGACCGGAAGGTGCAAGGAAGAGACAACAGAGGTCAATCGGTTAACAACTGCAGAGCCAAACCGACAGAACACGGCTCGCTCCCCTGAGTGTGTTTCGGAACTTTGACTATTTCTGTGATTATACAGAAAAGCCAGGCACCACCAGCCCCCAGGAGCCCCCTGCTTACACACCGCGGAACGTTCCAGACTGCTGTGACCAGCAATCCAAAGGAGCCAGCTCTTCCTCCAGACGGTGCTCCTACCCCCGAGCTGCCCCTTCCCTTCCACCAGCCCCTTCACCTGCAGCCCCTGCCACTTCTTTTCTTCAAACCGTTTCTAGCAAAGCCCGGCTCCGATCAAGGATGGCGGCTGACTTGTCTTCGCCACCTGGCCCTGCTGCTGAGGGCCTGGCCTGCACACCGGGCCCGGGTCCTTCTCTGGCCAGCATGTGGCTCGGTAAACCCTTTCTCTCAGAAAAGCTTCGGCCCTGAAAGAGTCTGTTTAACAGGGGCTTCCGGGAGATGAGCGTGACATTTTAATTCAAGGTTGGGAACCATTCGTGTTGTACAAAGTCTAATGCACCAGCTTGGGCACCTCCTGTCCAATGCCGCTGCCCGGAGGTGACCACCTCTGCGGGGACTGAGGACAGAGAAGAGGCACGTGGCAGGTGCAGGCGCTGCACCTTACAGCAGTGACCCAGGCTGCTGTGAAGGGCGACAGCAAACCCAGCTCTTCCCACAACCCTCCCACTGCTCCCTCCTCACCAGGAAGATGAAAAGGAAAGAAAAGGGGGGGAAAGTCAAAGAACATTTTAGGGAAAATGTGTCTTAAGAGTCCATCTCCCCAACTCAGAAAGTGTGATACCAATTCTTAGTAAATGCATTTTGAAGACCGTCTCCATTGTTTTCTTTTCATTTCTTCTTTAAAAAAAAGTCCTGCATTGTGCAAGTTCTCACCCCTTAGTGATACGACTGGGCCACTTTTCTGTGAACTAGACTCGGAGTCATGGTTTTCACATGACTGATCAGCCCGGGAAAACCGGGCAATGGGGGCGCAGCTTGATGCGGTTTTCACTCACGGAGCCTTTTAAATGTGGAGCCTTTTAAAAACCTTTAGGTTGATTTCACCTCTTTCCAAACCAAATGTGCGCTGGTTTATGAAACAATAGAATTTGGACCCAAGTCCATTTAGGTGGCGTGTTTATCTTATTGTCATTTCTCATGCATTCCGCCTCTGTTCACAGGCAGCTCTGGTGCCGACCCTGGGTGCTGAGCATCACAGGTGAACAGAGTACAAGTACAGGCCCAATCTCGGGGAGCTCTCAGCTTAGAAAGACAAACAGACTCAGAAACAAATGACTTCATTGCCATCGAAGTGTCATGATGTAGGTGTACACACACACAAACACATGCACACACACAAGCTAACATATGCACACACAAAAACTAACATGCACACACAAACTAACATATATACACACACAAACTAACATACACATGCAAACATATACACACACACAAACTAACATGCATGCACACAAACTAACATGCAACACACTAAACATATACACACACAAATTAACATGCACACACTAACTTAACACATGCACACACACAAACTAATGTGCACGCACACAAAACTAACATATGCATGCACACACAAACTAACATGCAACACACTAACATACACAAACTAACATGCACACACAAACTAACATACACACACACACAAACTAACACATGCACACACTACCATATGCACGCACACACACATCAAGTACTAAGGAAACCTAAAGCATGACTTCTTTCTATGTGTCCACGATTTGCAGGAAAATCAGATTCTTCGGCCACCCCAGAAGAGGTGAGTGAACCAGAATGCAGCACGCCTCCAGGGGTCGCCCATGAGCAGATGCTGAGCTCAGCCGCCATTGTGCAGACACAGAGAACGTGCTGTCTCAAGCCACCAAGATGGCAGCAAGCTCAGTGAGGTTTTCTTTGTCATGCTGTCGGGAAAGGTAGCCCCATATGTAAAGATGTCCAAAGGAATTGACTTGAAGCCAGTGCTGTGTAATATTACGTAGCAGGAGCTTCCTCCCTCTTGGTCATCTCTCCGCCTCTACGTCACAGTGGTGGGCAGCAGGTCATCAGGAAGGCACTCCTGCCTATGTGAACAGGACGTGGTTCTTACCCATGAACCCCGAGCTGCCGTGTTGGGAATTCTCGCAGAGGAGCCCGAGAGAAGTACTGTGGCCCCCACGCCTGGCACTTCTTGGGTCCTGGGCTGGTTCCTATGACAAGTGGCAAGCCTGTACACCCAGATCTCCGAGTGCCTTCCTGCACACTCCCGGCAGCGTCTCCATGTGACACGTGGAAGAGAGAGACGTGGGCAGGTGTCTCAGATCCTGGCCAGAGGACCTCCTCTCAGAGGAAGGGACAAGTGACCGTTTTCATGGCAACCAGGGCATTGAAGTTGTTGACCGACTTTTAAGATTTTTTCCCCCCAAAGTCTCTATGATATCATTAAGTCTTCTATAATTCTTTTAAAAATGTTTAAATAAGGTCATATCAAACATTAAAGTGCTGCAGAGGAAGGGGGAATAAAGAACATGTCCCATGATCCTGTCCAGGACATCCGGGTGCAGATGGGGCTCCCCTCACTCAGTAACTTGGGACCTGGATGCCCCAGAGCTGCCTCTTCGAGTCCAAGCCCCCAGGCGAGGCAGCCCAGGTCATCTGCGACATGCGCTTGGGGTTGTTTCTCTGGCTGCAGTCACGAGGGCTCCAGCCTGGACCTTCTGCTCTGGCCCCGCCCTGGCCTGGCTGTGAGGCGGGGTAGGCACTGAGCTGGTCCACGGGCCAAAGGAGCAAACAGCTCCGCCGCGACCCGCAGCTTGAACCAGACATTCCTGGAGCAAGGAGACATTGATCACGACTTTGAATAATTAGTACGTGTCAAGTGGGTTCAGACTGGTGACGCAAATACCAAAGGCTGTGGCTTTGCAATTAGTTCACTGCTTGAATTCCTGCTGGCACGATGAGCTAGGTGCGAATCCTGACAGCCCCACCAGCCCGACGTGTGGTCTCGGGAAAGTCACTGCACTATCATACCTTGGCGTCCTCTTCCACAGCATGGGACTATGAAAATCCCCGTCCCACAGGGGTTTGTTTTGTTTTGTTTTTATCCTCACCCGAGCACATTTTTCAATTTTTTTGTTCAGATAGAATGAGAGGGAGAGAGGAAGAGAGAGAGAGAAACATCGATGTGAAAGGAACACATTGAGTGGCTGCCTCCCGCATGCCTGACCCAACCAGGGCCGGGGACAAACTGCAACCAAGGTACGTGCCCTTAGCCGGAACCAAACCCAGGTCTCTCTGGACCGCAGGCTGACACTCCAACCCCTGAGCCAAACCAGCCAGGGCCCATAGGGTTTTTTTGACGATAAAATAAGTGAACATAGGAAGAATGTATAGAATGGGGTCAGCCGTATGGCACACAGCCGTGCTGATTAAAATCACCTACCTTCAGCATCACCCAAACCCTTTTGAAAGAAGATTGTAAGACAGCAAATCTTTCCTAACAAAATTCAACAGCCATCAAAGGTGAATGAAACCACAACAGGCTAGAAATGCATGTCTGCTGACCCCACAGTTAGGTTACCTCAGCTGAGGTTATCACAAATAAAATCTTCTATCTTTCCACTGGATCTTCAATACATGAGCTAACACGACTTTCAAAGAGACCCAAGGAAAACCACTTAAAATTAAAATGGTCTCGTCCCTTGCAGACACATACAGAGGTCTGTGGAGCGACCCTGATATGGTGGGTGCATCCAGATACAATCGCTAAATGGTATTCCCTCCCTTACTTCGCCCATCCCCGTCTCCGCCTCAGACCTCCTGGGGGGGCGGGGTCCCTGGAGCTGGTCCCTCCCCAAGAACCTGGACCCATGCTGCTGGGAAACTTGTCCATCTTCTTCTCCACTCTTGCTTCCAGGCAAAGGAACACATGTGCATTCTCGTGAACTCATTTGTGAGAAAGCCCACAATGATTACTTACCAAGTAACCTATGTGTGTTATGGGGACCACAGGTGTGTGGGTGATGGGAGGGTTCTCTAACCCTCCGGGGCCTGGTAGACTAACGGGACTCTGCAGAGACATAGGGAAGCTTTTGGCCTCTTGATGACACATGACTGTCTACGCTGTTTGCCCCGGGACCCGCTGAGTGGGTGAGGTGGTCCCGGCTTATTCCACTACGTTGTTTCTCTCTCTGCCTTTGAGCCTGGTGATGGAATATGAGATCGTTCTGATCTACTGAGAAACCTGTTCCAACAGAATTCGAGACCCACAGTGTATGTGGAAGAGATCGAAGTAATCGAGCCTCTGCGATCAAGCTTGTGATTTCAATTTACACGAGCGGTCAGTGCACATGAGACAGGCTCCCACGGACAGACGAGGGCGCGTCTGTCCTGTGGGAGCAGGGGACAATACACATAGGTACCAAGTGCTACAAAACAGAATGGAAATAAACCTTACACTAATCACGCAGAAGGAAACCTTGGACGGAGGAAACGTGTGTTTGGTGCCGGTGCCTGGGGATAGAAGTGCGTGGCCAGTGGCCGAGCGCCTGCAGTTCTGGGCCAGCCCTTCTTCCCCGCGTGGCCAGAGGGTCCAGCACTGTGCACGCGAGACTTGCTCACGTTGTCACTCGGGTTGAAGGACTGCCGTGGAGAAAACCTCATTGACAAGTGGGAAAGGGTAGCACTTTGGAGACGTTCCTGTTTGGGTTCTTAGGGAAGGTTGGAAAGGCGCTTCAAGGTCGTTCAGTCCAAGGCCCCAGTGGCTCATCAGAGGTGCTAGAAGCGAGTGGTCCCAGATGTTCGGATGCTCCTCTCGGCCCCGCCGAGCGCTGGAGTCTTCGCTCGGTCCACAGTTTCCACCAGGAGTCCACGGGGGGAGGGGGATGGCTCCATCAGGGCAGGAGCTCGGCGTGGTGGCCTGTCCCCTTTCTCTTCATGTCTTCAAGTCCCTCTAGAAATAAACACGAGGGGTTATCTGTCAGCACTTTAAGCCAGCCCTTCAACATCAGGACCGCGCGGGCACCTGCAGCGTGCCGGGTGAAGTGGCCACCGCTGTCCACGATGAGGGGGACAGAGCTGGCCCCTGCTGGACGAGGCTGCCAGCCCCACGCGCCCTCAGTCCCGTGTAACATGGCTCCCCTCCCCACAGGGGCCTCCCAACCCGCCAGCCTCTGCATCTCTCTTCGCCGACCCCAGATGGTTTCCACAGTTGTCACATGCACCCCCCAGCTCTTAGCACTGGGTTCCTGAGTCCTGGCCTGAGTCGGAGCAACTGTTTTAATCCCCAACGAGACAGGAAACCACGGGACGAAATGAAGATGATCCGCAGGACGTCCCATCAGCGAAGGGATGGGCGAGCCCCTGAAGACGGGTGAGCTGTCGGGAGGCCCTCTATCCATGTGCCGGAGGAGCCATTAAAGATGCAGACCTGCCCTGGCCAGTTTGGCTCAGCGGTTAGAGTGTCGACTTGCGGTCCTGAGAGACCCGGGTTCGGTTCCCGCTAAGGGCATGTACCTCGGTTGCAGTTTGTCCCCGGCCCTGGTCGGTCGTGCGGGTGGCAGCCACTCGATGTGTCCCTTTCACATCGATGTTTCTCTCTCTCTCTCTTCCTCTCTCTCCCTCCCACTCTACCTGAACAAAAAAAAAATGGGAAAGTGTCCTTGGGTGAGGATAAAAAAATAAAGATGCAGACCTGGAAACGCTCCCGGGGGAGGGAAGCCTCTCCGGTCTTCCCCGGGGACACCTGGAGAGACTGCAAAAGGGCTCGTCTCACACTGGCCTGCAGGCCGGAGGCAGCGAAGAGGCTCTGGGGCATCAGGAGGGCACCATCCGTCCATCTGTCACAAACAGCTCCTCCGGCTCCACGGAGCCCTTTCTAAGCCGGACGGGGAGCCACACGGCCCGGAACCGTGTGCTTTGAAGACCCCGTGCCTCAGGGTCACCAGGGCCCTCACCCTACATCACACCCCCTGGAGAAGGGCCCCGGGGACTTCGAGGTCTACAGACAGACAGGGAGAGTCCTGTGCACCCCACACTGGAGAACGGCCCATTCTGCTATGCAGTGTGTGCTGGGGCTGTGCTCTGGGGCCTTAGGCAGGTCCCCTCACCTGTGATACGAGGACAGTCCTGGGACCTGCCACCCAGGATGATGCCGAGGGGAAATGGGCTGGGACCTCACACGGCACTACTGTTGGAAGGCTCCAAGGCGACTTTGGGAACTTGCCCTGTCCCGAGCCCCCCTCCACAGCTTGAAGACTGGGAGTGGTTTCTTTTCTTTTTCTTTTTGTAAAATTTACCTTATTGTTAAAATTATTACAGATGTCCCTCCTTTTCCCCCCTTTGACACCCCCTCCGGCTCCCCCCACAATGCGCCTGCACACTGTTGTCTGCGTCCACTGGCTGTGCATATGTGCACATCAGTTCTTTGGTTTCTCTCTCCCTGCCTCCACCCCCTTCCCTCTGAAGTTTGTCAGTCTGTCCCCTACGTCCATGTCTCTGGATCTGTTTTGTTCGTCAGCTTCTTTTGTTCCTGATGCTCCGTAAGCCAGTGTGTCCAGGGCACCCGTTTAAGGCTCGGCTCTCCTGGGCAGCGGCCTGGCCACACGCTCTCAAGCCCCTCACGCAGCCCCGTGGAGGGCGCAGCTCCGTGGCGTCGCGGGCGAATTCAGACCTTGCTGCTACCTGCCACCCAGCAGCCCACAGGGTCTGCAGTCCAGGCGTGGAGGCTGGGCAATGAGGGCTGCTCTTTCTCTGATACTCCGGCCGAGGGTTTGGGCTGAATTTTGTGCCAAAAAGCTTAGTGCTGGGACGTCTGCCGATTAACAACTAAATGAGCACCAGCAGGTGCCCCCGCTGCGCCTGACTTCCAGCAGGTGCTGCTTGCCCAGCCGCCAGCGGGCACTGGGGCGGGCACCAGGGCAGGAACTATGGGCACCTGCAGGGGGCACACAGCTCACAGCTGCAGGGCTGGATGTCACACCGGCCGAGTCCCAGGCCTGGGCCCCAGCCTCCTACAGAGGGAACCACAAGTAGTCTCTCATTTAAAGCAAAAAGTCCCAAGAAAGACTCAGAAAGGCCCGAGGCACACTGGGGTCTGCTGTCCTTCTCAGCCTATTGTTTTACGTTAAAAGGAGTCTTTCCAAGGCCTCTGGTCCCCAGGGACAGGAGGCAGCTCACGGGAGGGACCCAGAGGCCGAGGGAGGGAGAGGGAGGACGTTCCGGGTGACGAAATGTCCCGGAACTGGGCAGAGGGGCCAGCCCTGCAGCGAGGCCCAAACGCAGCTGAACGGCCCACTTCAAAGCGACTACTTTTATGTTACATAAATTTTGGCTGAATTTTTAAGAAAAGGTCTTTGAAACTGGTTTCAAGTGTGATGTGAGGCTCAGAGGCCAAGATCAAGTCAGCAAACATTAGCCAAGTACCCGCGAGGTGGGGACCGCCTCCACCCAGACCCAGTGTGGCCTGCCCCCCCCCCCCGCCCCGCCGCCTGCACCTGTCCTCTGGAGTCGCTGTGGCCCTCCTTCCACTCCCTGGGTGTCCCCCCTCCACCCCCATCCCCAGGACTCCCCGGCTCTCCTGGCCCTGCCAGCCAGCCTCTCTAACCTCCCTCCCTCCGCAGCTTCTCCCTCCAGGGAGCCCCCACAAGCACAGAGCTGCCAGGCTCTTCCTGAGCAGGGACTCTGCATCCTGTCCCTGGCTCCTGGCAAGGTCCAAACCCCTAGTGGGCATCTGGGGGTCCTGCCTCCCCCTCTCACCCTCGACCACCCTCTGTTCCGTGCCCACTCACTCATCGCCGTCCTCAAGAACTCCTCCCAGCTGCCTCCCCTCCTTCCCGACTGGCAGAGCCGCAGTCACCAGGTGCCCACCCTGCCAGGGCCACTTCCACACGGCCTGGCGGTGGGTGAGCCTGCCCACGCCCCACGCCCAGGGGCCACAGAGTCACTGCTTGGCGAATGGCAGCGGCTGGCGGCTCCCCGGCGCCCTGCGGCAGGACGGGGTCCAAAGAGGTGGACGGACAGGTCCCGGTGGACCGGCGGGCACCCACCTCCATCTGCTCGTGGATCCAGTCCAGGAAGGCGGTGATCCGGGTGTACACCCCGGGCTTGTTCACGTCCGCGCAGCCGATGCCGAAGCTCGTCGCTCCCACCAGCTTCCACTCTCTCCTCTCCTGACACACCAGGGGTCCCCCGCTGTCTCCCTAGACAGCAAGGAGAGAGGCTAAGGGTCACGGGACAGGCACCGTCACGGGTGTCCCTGGTCCTAGCACAGGACTCCCCGGTCATCGCATCACAAAATCCAGTGTGAGGGCGGCTCGGTGTTCACTCTGCGGCCCTTCCAGACTGGGTGGGCACCCCTGGCTGGGCACTCCTGGGTGGGCACCCCTGGCTGGGCACCCCTGGCTGGTCACTCCTGGTTGGGCACCCCTGGCTGGGCACTCCTGGCTGGGCACTCCTGGCTGGGCACTCCTGGGTGGGCACTGCTGGCTGGGCACTCCTGGGTGGGCACCCCTGGCTGGGCACCCCTGGCTGGGCACTCCTGGGTGGGCACCCCTGGCTGGGCACTCCTGGTTGGGCACCCCTGGCTGGGCACCCCTGGCTGGGCACTCCTGGCTGGGCACCCCTGGCTGGGCACCCCTGGCTGGGCACTCCTGGGTGGGCACCCCTGGCTGGGCACTCCTGGTTGGGCACCCCTGGCTGGGCACCCCTGGCTGGTCACTCCTGGTTGGGCACCCCTGGCTGGGCACTCCTGGCTGGGCACTCCTGGCTGGGCACTCCTGGGTGGGCACTGCTGGCTGGTCACTCCTGGTTGGGCACCCCTGGCTGGTCACTCCTGGTTGGGCACCCCTGGCTGGGCACTCCTGGCTGGGCACCCCTGGCTGGGCATCCCTGGCTGGGCACTCCTGGGTGGGCACTGCTGGCTGGGGACTCCTGGGTGGGCACTCCTGGCTGGGCATTTCTGGCTGGGCACTCCTGGCTGGGCACTCCTGGCTGGGCACTCCTGGCTGGGCATCCCTGGCTGGGCACTCCTGGCTGGGCATTTCTGGCTGGTCACTCCTGGTTGGGCACCCCTGGCTGGGCACTCCTGGCTGGGCACCCCTGGCTGGGCACTCCTGGCTGGGCACTCCTGGCTGGGCACTCCTGGCTGGGCATCCCTGGCTGGGCACTCCTGGCTGGGCATTTCTGGCTGGGCACTCCTGGCTGGGCACTCCTGGCTGGGCATTTCTGGCTGGGCACTCCTGGCTGGGCACTCCTGGCTGGGCATCCCTGGCTGGGCACTCCTGGCTGGGCATCCCTGGCTGGGCACTCCTGGCTGGGCACTCCTGGGTGGGCACTCCTGGCTGGGCATCCTTGGCTGGGCACTCCTGGCTGGGCATCCCTGGCTGGGTACTCCTGGGTGGGCATCCCTGGCTGGGCACTGCTGGCTGGGCACTCCTGGCTGGGCATCCCTGGCTGGGCACTCCTGGCTGGGCATCCCTGGCTGGGTACTCCTGGGTGGGCATCCCTGGCTGGGCACTGCTGGCTGGGCACTCCTGGGTGGGCACTCCTGGCTGGGGACTCCTGGCTGGGCACCCCTGGCTGGGCACTCCTGGCTGGGCACTCCTGGGTGGGCACTGCTGGCTGGGGACTCCTGGCTGGGCACTCCTGGCTGGGCACTCCTGGCTGGGCATCCCTGGCTGGGCACTGCTGGCTGGGCACTCCTGGCTGGGCACTCCTGGCTGGGCACCCCTGGCTGGGCACTCCTGGTTGGGCACCCCTGGCTGGGCACCCCTGGCTGGGCACTCCTGGTTGGGCACCCCTGGCTGGGCACTCCTGGCTGGGCACTCCTGGCTGGGCACTCCTGGGTGGGCACTGCTGGCTGGGCACCCCTGGCTGGGCACCCCTGGCTGGGCACTCCTGGGTGGGCACTGCTGGCTGGGCACTCCTGGCTGGGCACTCCTGGCTGGGCATCCCTGGCTGGGCATCCCTGGCTGGGCACTCCTGGCTGGGCACCCCTGGCTGGGCACTCCTGGCTGGGCACCCCTGGCTGGGCATCCCTGGCTGGGCACTCCTGGGTGGGCACTGCTGGCTGGGGACTCCTGGGTGGGCACTCCTGGCTGGGCACCCCTGGCTGGGCACTCCTGGCTGGGCACCCCTGGCTGGGCATCCCTGGCTGGGCACTCCTGGGTGGGCACTGCTGGCTGGGCACTCCTGGCTGGGCACTCCTGGCTGGGCATCCCTGGCTGGGCACCCCTGGCTGGGCACCCCTGGCTGGGCACTCCTGGCTGGGCACTCCTGGGTGGGCACTCCTGGCTGGGCATCCTTGGCTGGGCACTCCTGGCTGGGCATCCCTGGCTGGGCACTCCTGGGTGGGCATCCCTGGCTGGGCACTGCTGGCTGGGCACTCCTGGGTGGGCACTGCTGGCTGGGCATCCCTGGCTGGGCACTCCTGGTTGGGCACCCCTGGCTGGGCACCCCTGGCTGGGCACTCCTGGCTGGGCACTCCTGGGTGGGCACTGCTGGCTGGGCATCCCTGGCTGGGCACTCCTGGTTGGGCACCCCTGGCTGGGCACTCCTGGCTGGGCACTCCTGGGTGGGCACTCCTGGCTGGGCATCCCTGGCTGGGTACTCCTGGGTGGGCATCCCTGGCTGGGCACTGCTGGCTGGGCACTCCTGGGTGGGCACTCCTGGCTGGGGACTCCTGGCTGGGCACCCCTGGCTGGGCACTCCTGGCTGGGCACTCCTGGCTGGGCATCCCTGGCTGGGCACTGCTGGCTAGGCACTCCTGGGTGGGCACTGCTGGCTGGGCATCCCTGGCTGGGCACTCCTGGTTGGGCACCCCTGGCTGGGCACCCCTGGCTGGGCACTCCTGGCTGGGCACTCCTGGGTGGGCACTGCTGGCTGGGGACTCCTGGGTGAGCACCCCTGGCTGGGCACTCCTGGCTGGGCACTCCTGGCTGGGCATCCCTGGCTGGGCATCTCTGGCTGGGCACCCCTGGCTGGGCACTCCTGGCAGGGGCCCTTCGTCCCTCGGGTGGTCCCCCAGTGTCTCTCTGCCACATTCTGCATGCGCTGAACCCAGGAAGGTCCAGGCAGCTGCGTGCAGCCGAGGCAGTGCTCTCAGATGGAAGGGCTGCCTGGCCGGGGAGCTTTAGCTGACCTTTGGCCCAAGGTAGAATGGGGGTCCCACCCACCGTGGCTCTGGAGGCCCACATTCACCGGTTCCTACCTGCCTCCTGCCTCTTGTGTGCCCCTGCACACTGGGAGCCGGGGTGGCGAGGGAAGCATCCTCGAGGCCCCTCCTCCCACCCGGCACCCAGCGCCTGGATAAACACGGCTGGCCAGGAACGGGCACGCTATCTTGAGCAAACTTCTTCCCACGCCCTGTAAGTTTGCTTTTCAGTCAGTCGCAGGGACATGCTGGCAGTGGCCTGTGCCACGGGCTGGATCTATGTCACGGGGCCTCGCCTTGCCCCTTGCCGTGGCCCCTGGGGTCACCACGGGCCCCTACCTGGCAGCTGTCCACGCCGCCCTTCAGGTAGCCGGCACAGAGCATGGAGGGAGAGACGATGCCGCCGTACACGTCCCTGTGGTTGCAGATCTTGTTGGAGATTAAAGGCACAGCTGCGTGGTTGAGGACTGGGGAGGCGTCGCCTGTGTCAGAGGAAGAGGGGGGCGTGCAGTGAGGAATTCAAAGGGCTTGCATCCGGGGTGGGGGCCAGGGCCAGGGACACGCCACCAACACTGCAATGGCAGGGACAGCCAAGCCTGCAGGTGGACGGCGGGGGCTCTGCCACCAGCACCAGCCAGCCGTAGGGCTCCCTCCTCAGTGACGGGCCCCACAGGCCCTGCTGCTTCCGTCAGAGCCACCCACTCCCCTAGGGGACCAACAAGGGAAAAGGTGGGGGCAGCTGTCACCGCCGTGGACCTCCCCAGGGCCGGCCCTGGGTCAAGCGTTTGATCCACACCGGACTGTTTGGTTCTCAGAGCAACTCAGGTCACAGAAGGGAAACAGACTCACGATGTCACACACAGCTCTTGGAGGAGCCCTGGGTGGTCTACAGAAAAATGTCCACGTCCCCATCCCCAGGACCTATGACCATGTCACCTTACATGGCACAAGGGACTTTGTAGACTTGAGGTGGGGACATGACCCTGAGCTATCCAGATGGACCCTGAATATAATCACAAGGAGCCTTGACAGGGTCCCAGGAGAACAGTGGTGATGGATGCAGAGTCAGAGGGGAGAGAGACTGGAGACGTGCAGCTGGCTGTGGGACGGGGGAAGGGGCCAGGAGCCACGGAATATGGCCCCTAGAATCTGGAGAGGGCAGGGAGCCGGCTCTCCCCAGAGCTCGAAGCAGCTCGAAGCCTTGCAGCCCTCCTGCCATCCTGATCCCAGCCCTCCGAGACTGGCACAGGACTCCGAGCTCCACGACTGTGAGGAAATGCCAGCGTGTTGTTTTAAGCCACTGAGCCTGGGGTCCTTGTTTTGGCAGGAAACAAACACACCTGCCGTCGATCAGCCTCCGCACCGACACGAGATCGACACCCCCTGACTTAACCTGTTTGTAAGTCGGACTGTCGTCATGCTTTATAGGCTTAAAGCAGGACACCCCCATTCTCATTCCTATGGCAGGTACCCCCAGGGCGGGTCTGCATGCCACAAAACCCTCATTTTAACGGCTCACGTGCCCTGCAGTGGAGACCACCTGGCCATGGGCTTGGCTGAGATGGCACCTGTCCGTCCTCAGTACTCAGGGTCTACTGAAGACAGTGAAGCAGTCCTCCTAGGGCACTCGAGTTCATGCACAACAGCATGAACGGGGACACGGCAGACAGCACACCCACAGACTCTCAGACTTCCACCACCTGGTCACGTGAGCCAAGCAGGTGCTCAGCAGCCCTGTCCCCTCCCCTCCAGGGGAGCAGGAGCGCAATGCCCCTCGGGCTGCTGTGACCGCAGACAGCGCCCGTCGCTCAGCTCAGCACCGTGCACGGCGCGACGCGCTCACAGCGTTGGCGTCACAGCTTCCGCTCTGGGCAGGAAGGCGCAGCCAGCCGTAGGGACGAGGCCCTGTGCTGGGGGAGGACTGTGCTCCGCATCTGGGTAAGAGGCGTGTGCCTTGGACATTCAGGAGGGGACAGACTCAGCGAAGAAGTCTCAAGGGAACACACCGAACCTCAGGTCTCAGGTTGAACTGTGGGCCCTGAGCATGCCCACCTGCAGCCTTAGAATGTTTGAAACAGTCTTTGCAGGTGTAAGCAAGACAAGAACCTCAAGAGCAACCACCCTGGGGCAGGGTGGGCCTTAACGCCAAAGACTGCTTACAGGAGAAAGGGGGGCGATCTGAGACAGGGCCAGGGGAGGTCATGTGGAGACCAGGAGAGATGGAAGGGATGCCTCTAAATTCACGGACACCAAGGTGGCTGGAGCCACCAGGGCCGGGCAGAGGCCGGGATCAGACTCTCCCTCAAAGACTCCAGAGGGGACCAGAAACCAAGGTGTTGGCCTTGACTTCAGACTTCTGGCCTCCAAACCCGTGAGGGGACAAATGTCTGTGGTTTGAAGCCACGCGTCCAGGAAAAGTTAGAACCGCCCCAGGACACGGGTGCTCTTCCTCCTCACCCGGAAAGCGACCAATGGGACACCTAGGAACGGTGACCACACTGCCGCAACGGTACAGCTTCGATCCTCATGCATTTTTTGTTCCCATTACTAATATGTTATGATCATAGCAACAAGGTCCCATTTGTTTGCTTTTTCTACTTGCTGTTTTTAGGCTGAAATAACACATCTACCAACGTCACACACGGCACATCCTCCTCACCAATTACAGGCTTGTCTTCTGCATACATCTCGGGAAGGGTCTGTACTGGGGGGCCGTGCACTCCGTGAGCCCCGTGGGAGGAGAGGACAGGTGAGGAGGAAGGGGAACCCCCTGGCGTGTTGGCGAAGCTGGCTCCGTGGCAGCGTGCCCACAGCTCTCCTTCACACCTGCTTCTGTCCCGAGAGTCTGCCACTTCGCGGCCAAGGCAAAGGGCACCGCGACCCGTGACCCACCGCTACTCGCTGCCTGCATTCTGCCGGGGCAGCTGACTGACACCCCCAAGAGGGACATGTGGGCGTCCCGTGGGAACGGGACGTGGGGACACGGGATGGGAGCGTGTCGGTGTGGCCGTCTACCCGGCCCTCCCGTACTGGGCGCCCTGGACTCAGAATCTTGATTTCAGACCACTGACCTCCTTCCTCCGTGGCCCCCCATCCCGACGTCCAGCACAGCTTCCCATCAGGAAAATGCTCTTCCGAGTTGGGCAGACAGATTGGTTGGATCATCTCTGTTTAAAGAGGAGACAATGGCTCTCAGATTTGTCCCGGAAAATAATGCGTCTCGTCAGTGCTTACCTGTCTGCAGGGCACTAGCGATCTCCACAAGGAAGGTCAAGCCCTTGTCATTTCAAAGCTGTCAGCCCGGCCCTGGCTGATTTGCTCAGAGGTTAGAGTGTCGGCCCGCGGACCAGAGAGTCCCGGGTTCTGTTCCCACTAAGGGCACGTACCTTGGTTGTAGTTTGTCCCCAGCCGAGGCTGTGTGGGCGGGTGGGTGGCAACCAGCCAGTGTCTCTCTCTCCCGTCAATGTGAGTGTCTCTCTCTCCCTCCCGCTCTATCTGAAGATAGATGCAGAAATGTCCTCAGGTGAGGATAAAAAACAAGGAAGAGAAAGCTGTCAGCTCAGAGCAGAGCCCCTCTCGCATCAGGGCAGCGGCAGCGAGCCTGGACGGGTCAGCGCATGTTCTGGAAGGGCCGAGCCAAAGCGCTGAGGCTCCGCAGGCTAACGGGTCTCAGCTCTGCCGCAGTAGCGTAGAAGCGGCCTCGGGCAGCGGTGAACAGATGCGTGTGCTTGTGTTCCAATAAAACTTTATTTACAAAACAGGCAAAGGGTCAACGTTGGCCGCGGGCCACCGTTTGCCCAGCCCTGGTCCAGACTGTGGGCGTCCTGCTTTACAGAACAGGCCCCCGTGAATCTCCCTCCCCCGACACCCCTGGAGGCAACAGCTGCCTGTCTGCGGGCTGTGCCTCAGGGGCTTTCACAGAACAGTCTGAGGCAGGCCAGGCTTTTCTGGGGACGACAATGTGGGAAGGTGGAGAGAGACTGGGGGAGAGTTCATTTACATTTTATCAAACTACAACCGAAGATCATGACTCATGCTCAGCCAGTGGGCACGGCCATTAACACTTCTCCGCTGCTGCAGGCTGTTTCCTGGCAGAGTGTGCCACGTGCAGGGTGTGACGGCTGCCAGGCCAGGCCCGCCGCCCGGCTGCCAGCGTCCGGCTCCCAGACGGGGCCTCGTCTATCACCCCGCTGCTCCCCACGCTGCTGTAACCCTGGGGGAGGAGGACGGGCTAGACTCTATTTGGGAGTGGCTCATAATACTTTGTTTGCAGCCGCAAAAAGTTAGAAAGTTCTATCTTTGGTGGCTTTTGGGTGACCTCCAGAAGTCAGGTCTCGACGTGTCCCACAGAGACCTGGAGCCTGCTGAACTCAGCAGCTGACGGAGAGGATGTTCCTGAGAATCTCTGGCAGGTGGAGATGCCCAGTGTCTTCCAGATCGTAGAGAAGTGGCTGCAGGAAGGACCACACGACCACCGGCTGGCCGGCCTGGGAAACACTCCCTTTCTCCACCAGATGGAGACGCGACAGGTGGGGACCTCATCACGACAGGCACCCGGCAGAGAGAGCTCTGTGTCCACAGGCCAGAGACCTCCTTCCACCAGCTAGAGGCACCAGGTGGCCTGGCCTGGACAAGTCCCTTTTATCTCCAGGTGGCCCCCACAGGAAGAAAATGGTCCCTGTGGGAGACCCAGGGGGGCGGACAAACCAAACTGACCAAAGTAGAACCACAAAGGCTCTGAAATCGAGTTCTCACCAGGGCGGTGGCCACAAAAGTGGACCAAGACTGCACAGTGAGCCTGAATCTGACTGCCTGCCGACACTGACGGTGTGCCCAGGGTCCAGTCTCCCTGAACCGTGACTGCCTGCCGACACTGACGGTGTGCCCAGGGTCCAGACTCCCTGAACCGTGACTGCCTGCCGACACTGACGGTGTGCCCAGGGTCCGGTCTCCCTGAACCGAGACTGCCTGCCGACACCGACGGTGTGCCCAGGGTCCAGTCTCCCTGAACCGTGACTGCCTGCCGACACCGACGGTGTGCCCAGGGTCCAGACTCCCTGAACCGTGACTGCCTGCCGACACTGACGGTGTGCCCAGGGTCCGGTCTCCCTGAACCGTGACTGCCTGCCGACACCGACGGTGTGCCCAGGGTCCGGTCTCCCTGAACCGTGACTGCCTGCCGACACCAACGGTGTGCCCAGGGTCCAGTCTCCTAACACCACAGACTGACGGTCCAGGAGGTGACTGAGGATTTCTCATCGTGCCAAGGACCTGGGATGTCCCCACTTTCATGAGAAGAGAACCCCCTGGCGCCAAACCGAAATGAATGAGATGTGGAATTCCCGCCGAGGGCTGCCAAGTCTGTCCTCAAGATGCCCCCACAAGCAATCACAATCTCTCCTGAAACAAGCAAACGCAACAGAACGACAAGGAAATGCAGACGAACCGTTGAAGGTGAGCGGCCCCGCCAACTTCATGAGGGCGATGTCATTGCCCAGCCTCTTGGGCTTGTACTTGCTGTGGTAGATAATTTTGTCCACCAGGTGGGAGGGGGCTGGACTGTCCAGCAGGGAAACGAGGCCCACCTGGATGGTCCACGACTTGGGGGTGTACAGGCTGCAATGAGAAGACAGAGGTGAAGCAGGAGACACCCAGTCACTTTAACCCTGGGCCCTGGTGTCCCCAGACCCAGCTCCAGGGGATCGCAGAGGTGACACGGTCCTGCGTGCCTGCGTCCCAGTCTGCCTGAGCGCCCTGCCCTGCAGAAGGACACCCACCCGCACCTTTCCTGCAGTGGCCTCCAGCCTGCACCTCTGAGGGAGGTAAAAATAACAGGGAATAAAAACCTCCCTGGAGAGAGACTGCTCTGGGGCGACTACGCCCCCTCCCGCGCTGCACTGTCTCGCCCTCGGCCACAGCACGGTCCACCGTGATTGGCTGTAGGGAGGTGGGTTTCCTCCTGCGTGAGAACTTCCTGTCTGTTCTGTGAGAACTGCGGGTCTGAGATCTACGCAGCCGAGGGGTGGTCCGCGAGGAGGGCGGTGCTGCCTCCGTGTGCCCAGCAGCTGTGAGGATCTGGTCCGTCTGCCTTCTGGACCTGCGGCTCCACCCAGAGCCGCCCCGTCCCACCGCGCCGGACTGGACGGTGTGCGGAAGATGAGGACCCCACCCAGGAGGTCAGGGGCACTCACTCGTACACACAGTGGGCAGCGGTGACGATCCACACCGGGGTGATGACGGAGCCCCCGCACAGGTGGTAGCCCTGGAACTGAAGGCTGGCCTGCCAGGGCCACTGTGCGAGCGAGGACATGTTTCCACCCACGATGCGCGCGCTGTAGCCCATCCTCAGACCACAGGCTGCGGCGGAGAACAGGGTTGGGGTCCATCCCACAGACCTCTCCTCTCCCTGCCGCCCCACAGAGCTCACGGGCTGGGAGGGGACTCACGGGGTGGGGGGGCAGGTTACCCGAGACGAGGGACGAGTGGGGTATCATGGGGGTACCGTGGGAAGAGCCCATCAAAGCAAAGAGCCCAAGGCTGGCAGCACCCCTCCTCCAGGTGTGCGTGCCCCGGGATGACGACCAGGAGCTCGGGGAGACTCCCACAGCCCCTGCTCACTAACAGTGCTGGTGGGCACCTGCCTGACTTCTCCGGACCCAGCCCTGCCCTGGGAATGCTGCCAGGATGAGGAGCGCCCGCCTGGGGCTGGGGCACTTCCCCTCGAGGGGGTGGAGGGAGGAGAAAGTCAGGCCACTGGAGCCACTACAGTGACTGGACATCACACATCACGCTCCTGTCTGCTGCTGAGAAGTCACTCTGGGCCACCTCCTCCCCACAGGCGGCTGACCCTCCCCTGAGCTGGAGCCACAGTCTCCCACCAGGCACTAGGCGGGAGGGGCTGGGGGAGGGGAGGGCAGGAGTCTGTGAGCCAGCTCTGCTTCCTTTTATCTCTGTTTCTGAAACTCTTACCTGTGCACTTCAAGGTGACCACACGCCCCGAGGCACATCCCTCCCTAGAGTGGAAAAAGTGAGCTTAATGATAAATGCACAAGGCCTGTGAAAGGAACACTTTTTAACTCAATCTCGGGGTAAAAGAGAAACAAACACTGTTCTGCTCTTGAACACAGATTACAACTGAGTCTGTGTAACAATTCGTTGAAACACCACCCACTGACGGCAGCGCCCCGCGGTGAGGGGCGGGGAGCGTTTCTCAGCTCTGCCCGCTGATGATTAACCAGCGCTGTCACGTCAACATAGGCGGGGGCCACTTCCGGGTCAGTTTCACCCCAGTGCTCTTCACGGGCCCCTGCGGGACGTGGGTGCCCACTGGTCAGAGGCAGGCTCGCCTGGCGTGAAGTCCTTGCAACCAGGGACACACACTGGCAGAGGTGACAGGCATCCCCTGCGTGGGTGGGAGCCGGCACCTGCTCTTCTCATGGTCCACCCAGAACCTTCGTAACTTCTGCTGTCAGAGCCCAGACCTGTCAGGAGGTGAGCGGTCCCTACGCATGGCATGTGTGTCCCAGGGCGACTGTCAATTACAGGACAGACAGGATGACAAACTGTTGTTTCCCCGAGCAGAGAACACACTCCGCTTGGGGTTCGGTCAAGGCATCAGGAAGTCTGGAGCTTGGGGTCAGAGCACCTGACTGCGTTCCCATGGAGACACAGGCAGGTGGCCCCTCTAAGCTTCAAATACCTGCCTGTCATTTAAGGACACCTCATTGTACCTTCTTCATGAGTTGTTGGGAAAAACGTGAAATGTAAATGCTGCACATTAAGGGACTCTGTGAGCAAAGACGGGTATGTTTCTTTCTTCATTCTTTCTTTCTAATTGTTTCCCCTCGCTCCTTTGCTCCTTGCAAACACGTGGGCGTGCCCACTGTGTGAGGTACAGTACCACATTTAGGGCACGCACATCCGACTGCTCCTCCGCCCCCCCTTCTCTGCCGGTCACATGTGTCCGTCTGGGTTAGGTTCTTGCCACCAGCCAGCGTGCCCCGTCTAGCCACAGCGGCCAAGCGCCACCTTGCACTCGGAGGGAACACTCTCCTGTCCCGTGTGTCCTCGCGGAGCAGCAGCAATGACACGGGAACACAGTGCGGACAGCCACCCCACCTGGCGCTCACCTCACGTACACCGATTGGTGCAGAGCCGTCACTTTGTCATCTGGCAAGAGGTGATTGATGGAGACAAAGTCCTCTTGGAACTGCTCCTCCAGCAGGTCCACTCGAAGGGTGTTTGAACTGAGGTAGCTGCAAGCACATTGGAAACACAGACGCGGCGTGAAATGTTCGCCGTGCTTCAGATCACCTGTGCCCACGTCACCGCATCACGGTATCCTGCTGAGGGCATGTCGTATCCCCCCAAACTGTCAGAGTGCCCACGTCACAGCATCACAGGCACCCTACTCTGGGATGTCACTGTGCCACCCTAATTCATCAATGTGCCCGTCACACTGTCACAGGTATACTGAGGGGATGTCACTGTGTCTCCCCAAACCATCAGGGGTTTCTTCTCGCCAATGATGAAGGCGTTCTAAACCTGGGGTCTGGAAGGGTGGACCCTGCGGCTCCTCCCCATGGCTCCACCCATGAGCACAGGCGAGGGCGCCAGGCAGGAGGACCACTTTCTGAAGCAGCGGGTGGGACCCCCGACACATTCAGCTACACTGACCTCTGCTTGGCTTGAACGAGCCCCAAGGGAACAGAACCCAGAACCAGGCAGGTGTTTTCAGGTGGGCACGAGAGTGGGAATGCTGAGCGCCCCGAGAACAATCGGTGAGGGAATTGTTTCCTGGTCTGCACGGGGTGAGCATGGGTCCCCGCCGGAGGGAGGAACACAAGGAAGGAGGTCAGGGGACACCAGGAGCAAACAGAAGTGGAAGCGTCAGGCAGCAGGTCTTCCGGGGAACGAGGGTAAAGAAGGTCCGACTTAAAAAACCAAGTGTTTCCAGAGTTGTGAGCAGGGAGGTGGTGAGTGATGTCCACTTCCCCTTGCTTTGTGGCCTGAGCAAAACACGGGACACAGGCCACTTCCCGCTAACACACCATCCACGTGGGGGCCACTTCCCGCTAACACACCATCTCCGTGGGGGCCACTTCCCGCTAACACACCATCCACGTGGGGGCCACTTCCCGCTAACACACCATCCACGTGGGGGCCACTTCCCGCTAACGCACCATCTACGTGGGGGCCACTTCCCGCTAACGCACCATCTACGTGGAGGCCACTTCCCGCTAACGCACCATCTCCGTGGGGGCCACTTCCCGCTAACGCACCATCCACGTGGAGGCCACTTCCCGCTAACGCACCATCCACGTGGGGGCCACTTCCCGCTAACACACCACCTACGTGGAGCTCCGAGTCCGTCGGGGCCGAGTTCGGAGGAAATGTAGCCAGGTGGCTGCAATGACCGGCCCAGGCTCCCAGGCACTGCTCACACGCTGACGGGGCAGGAGGCCTGTGCACAAGCCCAGTTACCGAAATGCGCCCCCATGCGGTGGGCTGGGCTACATGTGGGGTATGAAATGCAAAGGGACCCCAAACGCTACAGCTGGAGCCCTGTAAACCATCAAAGTCTCCAAGAGAAGTAATAACCACAGCCACAGACCCTCACAGGGCATTCTGTGGCCAGGCTCGCTTCTACATGCTCCAAGGTGACCCCCAGATGGCCCTTCAGAGAGGGTACTGTTATTGTCCCTATGTTTGCCGGATGAGCTCTTTGACCCGCCTAAGTGTGCCCTGGGATTTGAACCCAGGACCCGACCTGACAGCCTAGCTTCTTTGTGATCACAGACATCTGACAGGGGACACAGCAGAGCAAACCATCAAAGGAGGCCTTTGAAGGAAAAAGAAGGAGAATTAAGGAAAAAAGAACAGAAGCAAACCCCAGAGTTGAAGCAACAGACAAGGAAGAACAGGGCACGTTGACAGGAGGAGTCGGCAGTGCTGAGGGAGCCCGCCCCTCGAGGGGCCGTCAGGGAAGGAGGGACTGTCCTCCAGGGGCTGGGCTGCACAGACACCGAGGGAGCCCAGGGAGGGCAGGTGGAGAGGGGTCACTGAGTCCTGTGCAGAACAGAGGAGAGGCCTGGGAACTGGGGACAGGGTGGTGCCCCAGGAGGGAGAGGAGGGGAGACAGGAGGGAGGACGCCCCCTGATGAGCTCGAAGAAGGGCCTCCAAAGGGAACAGAAATCCTATTTGCAGGGATGGAGCATGCACATGTGTGTATGTGTGTGCTCGCACACTTGCGCATAGTGTGTAAGGTGTGATGTGTTTGTGGTGTGTGGTGTGTGATGTGTTTGTGGTGTGTATAGTGTGTGTGTGGTGTGTATACATGTGTGTGCATACATGTGTGTGTAGTGTGTGTGGTGTGTATAGTGTGTGTGTGGTGTGTTTGTGGTGTGTACACTGTGTGTGTGGTGTATGATGTGTGTGTAGAGTGCGTGTGGTGTGTGATTTGTTTGTGGTGTGTATAGTGTGTGTGGTGTATGATGTGTGTGTAGTTTGTGTTTGTGGTGTGTGATGTGTATAGTGTGTGTGCATTTGTGTGCATGTGTGTGTGGAGTGTTAGTGGTATGTATAGTGTGTGCGCGTGTGCATGTGTGTGCATGTGTGTGCATGTGTGATGTGTTAGTGGTATGCATAGTGTGTGTGCGTGTGTGTGCATGTGTGTGATGTGTTAGTGGTATGTATAGTGTGTGCATGTGTGTGCACATGTGTGTGTTCATGTGTGTGTTAGTGGTGTGTGCACGTGTGTGTGCGTGTGTGTATGCATGTTTGTGTGCGTGTGTGTGGCTTGCATCTATGAGGAGAAGGTCTATGGGAGTCTCGCAGGCACTTGAGCGGTGGTGTTTGCTGTCGTCACTGAGCTGGAACTGCAGCTGATGTCCGCGTCACCGGGGCAGAAGGCAGAACTCAGGGGCGCAGGCTGGAGGGCCTTTGGGGTTTCACTGGCCTCAGAGAAGGAGCTGAGAATGTGACGCATCGGGTTTGAAGCGGGAGGGTCCTGGAGGGTCAGTGAGGCTTTGACCACCATGAGTTTCACTGGGTACAAGCGGGGATGTGTCTCCAAGTTCACCCTCGTCGCCCCGCTCACTTTCTGTGAGGCACTGTGACTCAGGGGCCTGCCTGCTCTGAGCTCGGAGTCAAGAGCGCAGGGTGACACACAGGCCCCCATGGCAGACGGCAGTTGTCACTAGTCAAAGGAAGGGGCAGAGAGAGAACGAGGCCCGGCAGCAAGGAGAAAACATGTCATGTTAGTGCGAAAAGCCACACAGACAACAGCAAACACTGAAAAGTGAGTATTTCACTACAATAGTTCTTTCTCCCACATTGCTAAACGGCTGTTATGAATAATTGTGTTTTCACCAAATTGCTGACTTTCTGCCCTTGGTTCTCCGGGGCTCCTTGGGAAGTGTGTGTAGGGAGGAGGACGTGACCCCGGGACCCAGCGGGTGGTGTTGGGAGGCGCCTCTGGCTGTGACCGGGGAGCTGGGGGTTCGTCTTCATCCCCGGAGCTCCTCTATTGCACCTTTGCACCTGGTCCATCCTGGCCCCGAGACAGTCCCCGAAATGCCATTTCTCGTGTGATCGTGTGTGATCTTTCTCACTTGGTGTGTTGGGTCCTGGTTTGCACACCTCAGTGAAGATGATGCTGAGCCTTGCGGGGGGGCCACAAGGGTGCCATGTGATAAGAGGTGCCACATCCTGTAAGTGCCCAACTAAATGGTCGTTGTCTCATCGTGATCACTATTAATGTTTTACCCGTCAGCCGGAAGTGCTCTTCAAATTACCTTGGAAACCCCAGCTGGGCACAGGCGACGTTAGCGTGGTGACCTCTCCAGTCGTCAGAGCACACGGTCCTCCAGGCCGCCTCCGTGAACACCTGGAGCACGCCGTTCTGACCGCTCACGCGCACTGGCCAACATGGGCACAGCAGTCCGTCAGTGGGCAGCAGGGCCCGGAGGCGGCGGGCAGAGATTTCTCTGCGGCCAGCTCAGACCTCCTCTGCTGAATCCAACCTGCCCTTGCCCACAGCGCCCCACCCTCTCAGGGACCTCCTACTGCCTGGCCCCCCTGAGTGCTCTTGGGGATCTCTTATTGCCCCTGGAGTCCCCCCAACCCCATTTGAGCTGCATGGAATTCCCTTCACTTCACACCCAGCCCAGGACCTCCTGGGGGCCAGCTGGGTCACAGCAGAGGACATAACTTGACACTGGCACCGACGTGGACCCATTTGACAGGTGGGAAAGGCTGGGGCTGGGTAGTGCTGACTCCCTCCTGTGTCCGCAGTGCAGAGGCACGACCTTACCGCATCGGTACTCATCCTCCCCGGCCTTGCAGTCTGAGACGCCGTCACATCGAGCCTTCAGTTCAATGCACTTGAAGGACGACCGGCACCTGTACTTTCCGGAGCAGTCGAAGTGGACTGAGGACAGCAGGAGGCGGAGTGTCACCGGAGCGCGCCCGCAGTGCGCACCGCCAGCACCTGTCCACCTGCCCGTGGCCTCGACCTCGCCCATCAGTAATGAAGCTGCATTGAAACTGCCCCCGTGTCAGCAGCCAAGTTTCTGTTCCAAATTCCAGGGGGTGGGGCTGTGCACCCCATTCTGTTTCACTGGGTGGCCTTGGGCCATAACTGGAGGTGAATTTCGACCCCGGAGGGCTCAGGGTCGAGAGAGAAACTACGTGGCTGCAGACTGACCGGTTGAGCCAGCTGAGCAAGGAGTCCTGAGTGACGCCTCTCGGCCCCCAGCTGTCTACCTCCTGTTATCTCTAAGGACTGCGGACCACACCGCAGAGCAGCTGGAGAATGCGTTCCAGTTATTGGAAACGGAAAGTGAGAAATTGTTCCCTCATAGAAACCATCCCAATGACTCACTTTCTCAAAAGCTACATGCACCTTCTTTTAGAAATAGCAGGCGCCTGGTCTGAATGGTCTCCTTGTCTTCTCCACCCAGCCCTGCACCCCCCTGCCGGCGGCTTCTATTTCATCAGCTGCCTGCAACGCTTCTAACTGGGCAGGTTCTGGGGTGGCAAAGCTCCGGGCATGGCCAGCAGCCCCTGCGGGGCCCCAGGTGGGCTTCACCTTCACGCAGGCCAAGCGGCCTGGAAGGAGGGCGCCCCAGTGATTCCGGCTGGGCGGTGCACCACGCTGGCTGGGGGAGCTCATAAGTGTTTAAGTGCCTGAATGGGTCTTTGAGAGCTGCTAAATAATAAATCACACTCACTGCCCAGACCAATGGCCAGAGCTAAGATCAGCGCGATGACCCCAATGACGATGATCGGGAAGAACTTCAACGGCAACAGCGACAGGATCTGTGCGGCCACTGCGTCCGCATCTGAAAATCAAAAGAAAGCCACAGGGCAACACGTCTGAGTGAACGCAAACAGAGCTTAGCTGTTCATCTCCCCTCCCTGTAAGGCAGAGACTGTTCCAACTCCAGGGAAGCGACCTTCATTTACAGCAAGGGCCACCCCAGGGCAACGTTCTCTGGAAGTCCAGCTCCATGCCCTCCATCGCTGACCCGGTTCCGTGTATCCTGGGTTGAGGGATGGTGCTGTGGGTTGAATTGTCTGTCTCAAGAAAGATATGTTGAGGTTCTAATTTCTAGTACCCCAGAATGTGATTTTATTTGGAAATAGAGTCTTTACTGGGATAATGAAGTCCCAAGGAGGACATTAGTGTGGGCTGGTGTTCTTACAAAAAGGAGAGAGTTGGACACATAGGATAACACACACACACACACACACACACACGGGGGATATGAAGGGACGAAGGGAGAAGCCACATGAAAGTAAAGGCAGAAATCAAGGTGATTTGCCCTGGCCGGTTTGGCTCAGCGGTTAGAGCGTCGGCCTGCGGTCCTGAGAGACCCGGGTTCGGTTCCCGCTAAGGGCATGTACCTCGGTTGCAGTTTGTCCCCGGCCCTGGTCGGTTGTGCGGGTGGCAGCCACTCGATGTGTCCCTTTCACATTGATGTTTCTCTCTCTCTCTCTGTTCCTCTCTCTCCCTCCTACTCTACCTGAACAAAAAATGGAAAAATGTCCTCTGGTGAGGATAAAAAAAAAAAAGAAATCGAGGTGATTTACCTAGAAGCCAAGGAGCACTAAGGATTGCCGGTAAGGTGCCCGAAGCCAGGAAGGGTTCCCCTGCGGGCCTCAGGGGGACACGGCCTGGCAATGCCGTGGTTTCAGACTGCTCGCCTCCAGAACGGTGAGACAATATTTCTGTTGTTTTAAGCCACCTAATTTGTGGCACTTGGTTTCGGTGGCCTGGGAAACCGAAACGAAGGGGAAGTAGAACACCAACGTTCAAGGACATTTTCCCACGGAGGAGGATGACATGGAGAATCCAAACAGGTGGGGACCTCTGAAAGGGCCACCAGATGATGCCGCAGACTGTTCTTCGTGGGCCTTGTGCACAGCAGCACCATGGCCTTGGTTCCCGAACATCGTCCCGAGGGTGCTGGCCAGACCAAACAGCCTTAGAAGATAAAGATACTGTCTCTCTAGAGCAAGGGGCAGGTTTGTTTACTGTCCAGCTTACTCAATATTACGTCTTCCTTTGAGGGAAGTGTGTGCAGGTGTGCAGGTCCGCTACACTGATTCTGGTCCCCTGAGCTGTGGGTTCCTCGGCTGTGATGCAGACCCACTGTGTGCACAACGTACAGCTGGGCTGCTCCATGTTGTCTCCGTGGGACACGATCGGCATGAGCAATGACTCAAACAGGGCGTGGGGGCCACTTGTGCCGTGAGTAATCAAGTCCTCTGCGTCTGACCCAGGAGTCTCGTGTCTTCCGCCAGCATCCATGGAACTGTGGTAGTCTGACTTGCCGGCTTGCACCAGACCCTCCCAGTTCTCGCCCAAAGTACCAGGCAGATTGGGTGGAAAGGAGATGCGAAGAGCATTAAGATACCCAGAAGTAGAAGCCTCTTTGCACAACCAAGAGAATGCCCATCAGCACCCTTGACTCTCCGAAGAACAGGTCATTTCATGCAAATTACCTCACCAATCCTGAGTTGTTTTCCCTTAAATTGGGATGGTTGGAATGGAGGAAGGGAAGAAAGCCTTCCAAGGGCCATGCCATGGCTCAGGACAGACACTACCCCTGCCTCTCTCCTGGTCTTAGAGGTGTTGAGCTGAGAGGTCTCCCGTGGAAGAGCCAAATAGACCTCTCCCTGCCTGTCGTTGGAAACACACAACTTCTTCACCTCCTGGCAATAGTGTGACTATATAGTGGTCAATATCCTCAAGACTGCCTTAAAAATAAGAAAATTTAAATACCAATATGGGGGGGGGGGGTAGAATGAGAAGGAAAGGAGGAAAGAGGAAGCAAACGAAAAGGGTAAGAGGGCAAACAGAAGAAGCCAAGGGGAATGACGAAATGCATGCAGCATACAACCCTCAGTGACCACGAGGGACCCAGAGAGAGAGGAGGAGAGACGGAGAGACGACCGTAAGCTCTTAGCTTGGGCCTGGATGAGCAGGCAATGTGTTCACTGCGTTGTTGGCACTTAGAACAACACCTGGCACCAGGAGTTCTTGATAAATATTAGCAAACTGAATGACTGGGTGGGTGGGTGGATGATGGATGGATGGATGGATGGATGGATGGATGACTGACATCATGATAATGAAGGTTGCTTATCTCGGGGTTAGAGATCAATTCTTTTCGAGGAAAACAGTCTGCGGTCTTGAGTTCACAGAGCAGAAGCCTCTTGTCCGCCCTCTCCCACCCTCACCCCAGCCTGCACCAAGTTAATAAGTCTCCCCTGCTAAGATGCCTTCTCTACATTTGCAATGTAAAAATCAGCAGGAACCCCAAGAATGACCTAATATGATTCCAGTTTTTCTCTAAGTTGATTTAGGAAATGAATCCAGGTTGTAGAGTCAAAAGTCGTTATTCGGTCAGAACCTTTGTATCCGTTCATGTTGGCCCCGTCACTACTCCGCCATCATGTCCTGTGGGCACTACTGTGGCCCAGCCCCTCCTTGTTCTGTCTTTGAGGATGTGCTTAAAACAAAGAGCAATGAGCATAGTATCGCTCCGAAAAGAAAGCAAATGATAAACAAGCATTAAAAAAAACCCACCTCAACTGAAGATGAAAAAATGCAAATTAAACATAACTATATATCAACTTCCCAATACATTCTTCTTATTACACTCACTACAGTCCAAAGTGAAAGGAGATGGACATCCACTTATAGTCAACTTGCACCGTGTGAACTTTCTGACAGTCAGATTGGAAACATGCATCAAAAGTTTAAAAATGAATGGTATCTTTTTTAGTTTCTCTTTCTGTGTGTTCATTATTGGTATATAAAAATGCCATCGATTTCTGGATGTTAATTGTGTATCCTGCTACTTTGCTGAATTCATTTATTAAACGTAGTAGCTTTTTGGTGGAGTCTTTAGGGTTTTCTATATACAATATCATGTCATCTGTTAATAATGATAGTTTCACTTCCTCCTTTCCAATTTGGATGCCTTTTATTTCTTCTTCTTGTCTGATTGCTGTGGCTGAGACTTCTAGTACTATGTGGAATTAGAGTGGCAAAAGCGGACATCCCTGTCTTGTTCCTGTTCTCAAGGAAAATACTTTTAGTTTTTGTGTTTGCTCAAAATATTAAAAGTGGAACTGCCATTTGACCCAGTGATCCCACTTCTAGGAATATATCCTAAGAAGCCTGAAACACCAATCAGAAAGAATATATGCACCCCTGTGTCCATAGCAGTGCTATTTACAATTGCTAAGATCTGGAAACAGCCCAAGTGCCCAACAGTAGATGAGTGGATAAAAAAGCTGTGGTACATATACACCATGGAATACTATGCAGCTGTAAGAAAGATCTTTTATCCTTTGAGACGACATCAAGAGACCTGGAGAGTTTTATGCTGAGTGAAATAAGCCAGTCCGAGAAAGACAAGTATCACATGACCTCACTTACTTGTGGAATATAATGGACAAAATAAGCTAACAAACAAAACAGATTCAAAGACATGGAAGGAGGGAACAGACCTACGAACCTCAGAGGGAAGGTGAGGTGCAGCAGGAAGAGAGAAACCAAAGAACTTATAGGCACATATGCACAGTCCACGGACACAGACTTCAGTTTGGGGAAAGCAGAGAGGGGTAGGAGTGGGGAGGAAGGGATCACTGGGGAAAAGGGGGAACATCTGTAATACTTGCAACAATTAAAAAAAAATGAATGGAATATTTGATCTAGTAAATCCACGTCCAAGAATTTATCCTAAGATGCCATCATAGATATACACAAATGTCTACCTACAAGGATACTTAGAGGAGTGACATTTATAATATTACAGCTAAATTATCGACAGAAGAAACTGGTGAAATAAATAGTATAGAGACACTTAAATGATAGAGAAAGGAGGTTGGCAAATATTTTCTGTAATGAACCAGATAGTAAACAATTTTTTTTTTTTTTTGGTACGTGCCCCTAGCAGGAACCGAACCCAGGACTCTCTGGTACACAGGCCGACGCTCCAACCGCTGAGCCAAACCAGCCAGGGCAACGTTTTAAATCTTATGGGCAATATGCTCTCTGTTGCATCTATTCAACTCTACCATGGCATAAAAGCAGCCATTGACAGTAGGTGAATAAATGGATGTGTTTCAATAAACCTTTATTTATAAAACAGGCAGTGAGTCAGATTTGGCCCCTGGGCCATAGTTTGCCAAACCCCAAAGAATATCCAAGTACTGAATGCCATGGAAAAATAAACAAGATACTGTTTAGTTAAAAAGAAAAGCTTCAAAATGGTACTAGAGTATTTGTCACTTCCAAAGGGAAATATAAATATATTGATGAGAGAAAGGCAAGAAATCCCACATAAAGTGCTAATAGAGTTATCTCTGAGGAATGGTAAAATTATGGGCAATTAAAAATTTTTTGATTAACTGTATTTTCCAAATTTCTACAATGAACAATACATTGCTTTATTGAACAAGAGACATTTCAAACAGTTTCTGTTCCTTCCCACTACTAGGAATTAATCACGAAGAAATAATTAAAAATTGGCATGGAGAAATATGTATAATGCTTATATTATTTATATTAGAAAATATTAGAAACAATTACATGTCAACGGACGACGAAATGGCTAAGTTACACATCTACTTGATGGAATGTTGTGATGTTTTAACAAAAGGCGTTTATAAAAGCCAAAGGCCCACGGGAACCGCTGGCCTCTGTCAGCGGCGTGAAGGAACGAGTACTTATGGGCGATGACAGGAGGAGAATGAACGCAGATATAAAAACCAGGTAAAATTTGGGGGTCAGGTGATTGTAGGCTCCTTTTAAAATTTACATTTGTGTTAATTTTGGAGGAGTATTTTTAAGTTGTGTGTCTTCTCTTTTACTTGAACTCTCTCCTCCCATCTCCCGTCCTCTCCACTACCCCAACATCAGTGATGGTTTAAAGAAAGCATTAGGGTAGCCCCTTCCTCATGCCTTCTGGAACCTCAGCCAGAGCCCCCCGGTGTCCCTCTCCCTTGCCTCAGAGGCCGGTACATCTGACCTCGCCCAGGACCAAGCCACCGCCCACTGGACAAGTCCTGGTAGACTCTTACCAAAAACATCCCCGCTGGGTAGGCATGATGGAATCGACCGTTTCGCCAAACATTTGTGAGTTGTTTACAAAACCAGCTTTCCCCCCTTTGTTGCTATGAGCCACTGTGTCGCCTGCCATTGAATTTTAATCTAAGCATCTAATACTTTCAGGGATGTCCACTGATGAGCACAGGTCCTCAGGACTTTCTGGAGGGCTCAGAGATTCGGCCAGGATCTGACTCCCTAACCCCCAGGGGCGACTGGAGCCTCCATGTCTGAAAATCTCCACCCAGAGAATACAAACACCTGTGAACAAAACACCCCCCTGGGAAGCCCCTGCTCTCCAGTGTCCTGTGAACCAAATCGCATCTGTTCGGTGAGTGAGGTGTAAGGGCTCCTGGTGAGATATTACCCCAGAGGGACACTCAGCCCTCAGCCACTTTTGTCATCTAGATGGAGAGGGGGACATGCAGAAACCGTGTCCGGGTTCCACCTACCTGGTGCGACAGAACTTATTTTCAGGTCCTCCAGGCCGAACAGGGACCTGAAGGAGAAGGGGGCTTCGGCCGCCGGAGGGTCGTTCTCCCCCATGGTGACTATCTCAGGGTCTCTGAGGTTCGGTTCCACGCCCACCTCCACCTCCTTGGCCGAGAAGAACAGAAAGTGGTTTTGTACATTTCCCTATTTACAGTTTTAGCGTCAAACACGTCCTGGCTGTGTTCAATCTTGGCAATCTGACAGTCCACATTAAGCAAATTCAGTACTGATCAACGAAAACTATTTGGTGAGAACGCGGCCTCTCTGAGCTACGGCAGATAGCAGAGGGAATGGTGGCCTGAGCGGAGAACAATGAACTTAATTCTGTTACAATAACAACCTTCCCGATGTTTGCTCGACCAATCTTAAAATCAACTGAGCGCACCTCTTCGGAGATACACCCCTTGGCCACTCAGAGGTTACCACCCCATGATTTCACAGACGACAAGTCACTTTCAAAGCACATTCCTTCTCTTTTTTGTCCCTGTCGCTCGTCTCACCGCACTCGACCCTTGGCCTGTGCATGGGATGCACCTGCCATGAACATAGGAAGTTTTCATACTCACATAATGTCTGCGCCCCTCAAATGTCAATGGCACCGCGGAGGGGACACTCGTCCACAGTATTTGTAGCTTTCCTGGCTCACACAGCCATGACCTAATTAAGGATGAAAGTATCCGGGCCCTTGGGGTGCCTGGTCCCCGCCCCACAGTCATAGCAAAGACAGGAGTGGCTGGCAGCCGCTGGCGGCACCAAAATGCCACCGGGCTGGGTTTCCTCCGGGAGAATTCCTCCTATCACGAGGCCCCAGAGGCCAGGGCCTTTGGAAGTCATTTCCAGCAACTCTCAGAGGGGCGGAGGGAGCAAGGGACTGGCCAAGCGTCCCCACTGCAGTGCAGTCGCTGTCCCCGGGGGCAGGATGACTACTCCGGGAGGCTGCTCCCTCAACGCACTAGTCCGGAGGTTCCAACGGGCACCGAAGCCTACACACTTAGAGCCGCTTTTCAGTTCCTTTTCCTTCACCTGTTGTGACATTTGACATTCAAAAGGGAGCTATTAAACTATTTAAAACAAACCGTGTCTTCATGCTGTTTCACATGGTCACCGGAAAACCTAAGCAAGAGTTGCACGTCAACAACATTCATTTCATGCCCATGGTCAGAGTGGCTTTGAAGAGGATCTTAGAAAACCGGTCAGTTCACCGTCAGCATTTCTTTGATTCTTGCTGATACCGGCTGGTTAACTATCAGCATGTAGCAAATGACGCAGCTTAACTTTGTAACAAGAGGAAGACTAAATGATAACATGCTTCCTGAAACATGGAACCCAGGCCAGGAAGTCCCTCCCCGAACAGGCCATCGTTGGCAGGTTTCGACACGGAGAAATGTCGAGGCGTCCCCAGTCAGTGGCGTCTGCTCCCCCCACCCCCTTTACTCACCATTTCTGGAGCCGCCATCATTAAAAGCACAAATAATTTCCTTTTTCATTATAAAAAACAGCGGAACGGTGAGCAGGCTGCCAGCGGTTTGGGCCAATCGGGAAACAGTTCCACCAAGTCACTCAGCCTTGTCGACTCAGTCATCAGGGCGATGGCACGCTGGCGGGCGCCTGTGTAACCTGACCGGCTTGTGGTGTCAGGTAGCCGAGGTGGTATGACCACAGGGACCGGGGAGAGGAAAATGTGGCTGCCCTTTAATTAGTAAGTAAGGTAAGCAGACCTTTGCAGAAACTCCACGGAAGAGAGTCTTTGGAACACAGTCACTCCTTTTATTTGAAAGAGCAGGTAGGCCTGCCCAGTGCACATCGGGTGGGCAGGTAAAACGCTTTGGTGGGGGTTCTGCCCCCCATGTGACTGAGCCCCAGTGTAGACTTGCAGCTCTCAGAAGACAGAAGTCAGGGAAGTTGACGGGTTCTGGCAGCCAGAGACGAGGTGCACTCTCCTCTTTGGGGCCTCCCTGTCCCGAGGGTTTCTGCACACAATGCAGCCTAAAGGTGCTTTATCAGGAGAGAAATAGCCCTGCGCTCTGGGCCTGGGACTGAGAGCCCCTTTGGAAGGCCGGTGATGTGAACCCCGCATTCACTCATTCAGCAGATATTCATGGGCCATCTGTCAGGAGCCAGGCATCTAGACTGGAGCAGGTGGCAGAGGGATCAAAGCATTCACCTGTGGTCTCAGGTGGTGACAAACGCCAGGGAGGGATGAGGCTGGGAGGGGCTGAGTGAGGGAGGGACGGGTGGTGGAGGAAGGCCTCTAGAAGTGTGAGACTTCGGCAGTGGAATAAAGCGGCCTTGTGAGCTCGGAGGGGAGGTTGTTCTAAGCACAAGGACCATCAATGCCAAAGAGCCGGAGAAGGTGAGCTGGGGGTGTTTGAGAAACCCCAAGAAAACCTGTGTGCCTAGAGAGGCCAGTGGGCAGATCCTGGAGGGCCCAGGCCATTGGAGGGAAGAACTCTGGTTTGATTTTGTGTGACGGAAGCCCACAGAGGACGGAGCAGGGCACATTCCGGGTCTGCGCATGTGCGCTGAGTGCAGGGAAGGCGGGCGGGGGGGGGGGGGGGGCGCGGGGGGGAGCTGCTGAAAGCCTCCGTCACCAGGGCTGTGACTCGACCAAGGTGCTATTGGCACAGACGAAGATGGGAGCTGGGATTGTTCTGAAGGTGGAGTTGGCGGGTTTACCGATGGCAACTACAGCCAAAGGGACATATTCAGCCAGTCGTGGGTTAATTCAGTCTTGTTTGCCTGCCTCTAGCACCTGCCCGGGCACCTATCCATGTCTCTGGATTAAACACAGGTTATCCTCCGAGGTTGTTATCCTTCCTTCACATCTTTCCTAACTACTCCCTCCATTCTCGAATGAACTTTTGCCCTCAAAGGTAGTGACAGGAAACTCACAACTTAACTTTCCTTGCTTTTACCTGAGCGGTAGGTCATGCTCCCGACTGGAGCACGACTCCCGGAGGACAGAGTCCGTGTACTCTCACGGTGCCTGGCACAGCAATGGGCACATGGCTCCATGGGGCTCCGCGGCCATCCGTGAGCTGATCGTAAACCAGGGTGGACTAACAATACTCTGTAGATGTGCAGAAAACCGACAGCCACCACGGGGTCACACTGATGTGTGTCAGAGGATGTCAAAGGTGGATCTAGTTAACCAGAGGATAGCAGGGAGAGGACCCATGAGGGTGTTAAACTTCCACCACCATGAAGTAGCCCTCAGACAATTAACCTACAATCAATTCCATCAAGCTCAAAATGAAAATTTAAGGAAGCAGAAAGCAGCATGCTTTGGGCTGGCATCTGATGTTCACCAAGCCAGTGTCTTAAGTGGTCTTGGCCTGGAGGTTTGAGAAGGGGTGTCCTACCCTGAGGGCTCCCCTGGGAGCTGGGAAGCTTCCTTGACCATTTGTACACAGCTTGAGTTCCAGGCCAGGTCTCCATCTCCACCTTGATCCCTTTATTTTTTTTTATTTTTTTATATCCTCATCCGAGGACATTTTTTGATATTTTGTTCAGATACAGTGGGAGGGAGAGAGAGAGAGAGAAACATCGACGTGAAAGGGACACATCGAGTGGTTGCCACCCACACGACCCAACCAGGGCCGGGGACAAACTGCAACTGAGGTACATGCCCTTAGCGGGAACCGAACCCGGGTCTCTCCGGACCGCAGGCTGACGCTCTAACCGCTGAGCCAAACTGGCCAGGGCTCCACCTTGATCACTTTAATGACAGAAGGAAGGCTTTGGCGTCAGTCAGGAGAAATTGTCAATCAGGAAAATTTAGTATTTTCCCTGTTGGTCTTGAAGATAATTTTTCAAGCTAAGAAAAGGGATTACCTTTTCCTGGCTAGATGACCATTTCCTGGCTTATATAATTAAGCTTTTTTTATAAAAGAGAAATTTACTTTTTTTTTTTTTAATCCTCACCCGAGGACATTTTTTCCATTTTTTTTGTTTGTTTGTTTTGTTCAGATAGAGTGGGAGGGAGAGACAGGAAGAGAGAGAGAGAGAAACATCGACGCGAAAGGGACACATTGAGTGGCTGCTACCCGCATGACCAACCAGGGCCGGGGACAAACTGCAACCAAGGTACACACCCCCATCGGGAACCGAACCCAGGTCTCTCTGGACCGCAGGCCGACGCTCTAACTGCTGAGCCAAACTTGCCAGGGCAAGAAATTTACATTTTAATATGTTATAAGCACAATTCCTCAAAAAGTTGTTTATCATTTAGAACAGAAAAAATATATTTGAATAGAGGCTAAAATCTGCTTTAGATTTCAGACCACAAATCTACTTTTTTCCCTTTGGGTAATAAGCTTTGTCTCTTTTCAGATTTTCAAATGGAAGCTATAGAACTCATTTGTTCATGAAATTATTTCAACCTTCAAATTCCTCAAAGAAAAAAGATATTATTTAAAAATGTAGTTAACTCACATGTAAAGGTGAAATATTGAAAACTTCTCCTCTGAGATGGAAACTAATACAAGGAGATTCACTGTAGATATACACCGTATCTAGTCACCAATCGGAGTCCAAGCCAGTGTAATGAAACCAAAGCAGAAGAAAAAAGGAAATAGAAGAAAAGGAAAAGAAGAAACGAAAGAAGGAAAAAAGGCAGAAAATTTAAAAGAAAAGAATACGTACTGGTAAGAAATAAATAAAAATATCATTATTTATGACAAAATTATTTTTGGACTTAGACTATCTTAAAAATTCTAAAGATAAATGATTAGAACTGCTAAGTATATTAAGCAAAACTTTGGGATATAAGTTCAATGTGAAATCAATAGTATTTTATTTACCAGCCACAAAGAATACAAACATGGAATTGTAAAAAGATATAATTTATAGCGACATCAAAAATGACCCAACACCTAAGAATAATCTACTAAATACTACAAGACCTGTGCACAGAAATGTAGGTAATAGAACTGAAAGAAAATAAAGACCTGGCAAGTCAATGCCAAGAAATTTGACAACTTAGATAAAATGGTCACATTCATTGGGAAAAAAAAAAAAAAACTTAATAAAACAGATACAAGAAGAATGCCCCTATATCTGTTAAATAAACTAAATGCATAATTTAAAACTTCTGAGCAAAGAAAATTCTAAACCCAGATGATTTCGCTGGTAAATCTTTTTAAACATTTAAGAAAGAAGTTATAACAATCTTACATAAACTCAGAGAACTGGGAAAGAAGAAATACTTCCCAGCTCATTTGTGAGGCCAAAATAATTCTGACACTTAGGGCGACCAACTTTCCTCCTACACCTGAGACTGAGAGGGCTCCTGGGATGGAAACCTTTGGTGCAAAGACCAGAAAAGTCACAGGAAAATCAGAATGAGTCAGTCATGCTACTGGCACTAAAACCTAACGAGGAAATTACATACAAGGAAAACAACAAGCCAAGCTAATTCACAAATACTAATGCAAAAAACTCCAAACAAAGTATTAGCAAATCAAATCCAGCATTACATGACAAGGAGAACATATTGTTATCAAGAAGGTTTTATCTTAGAACAAGGTTGATTTACTATTCAAAAGTCAATTGGTGTACATTACCTCATTTACTGAATAAAGAAGGAAGGCAATATGATCATCTCAATAGGTGCAGAAAAAGCATTTGATAAAATTCAATATCCACTAATAAATTTTTTAAAACACCTCAGCAAACGAGGAGTGAAAAGGGATTTTCTGACTCTAATAAAGGGTACCTACTAAAAAGACACTTTTGTTCAACATTGCACTGGAAGTCTTTGCCAGAACAACAGGGCAAGAAGAGAAAATAAAATGTATAAATATTAGAGAGGGAAGAGAAAATTGTCATTATTTGAAGATTAGACACCTGTGTACATAGAAAATCCAAAATAATCTATAAAATATTAGAATTAATAAGTGATCTGAGCCAGATTATTGTATGGCTGTCAATATATAAAAATTAATTATATTTCTATACACTGACAACAAATAAATGAAAATATTAATTATTTTAAACAATAGTATCAAAAACAGGAATAAACACATAGGAATAAACTTAATGATAGAAGTACAAGACACTGAAAACTGCAATACATTTTTAAGAAAAACTAAATAGAAAGATATACCATATTCATGGATTAGAAGACTCAATATTGTTAAATTGATGTATAGATTCAACATAATCCCAGCAGGTCTTTTTTTGGTGGAAATTAGCATAGTGATTTTTATTGTCCTACTAGTACTCCTTCCCTTTTCTTCTTTAAAATCAATTTTGCTGAGGTTTAGTTTTCACACTATAAAATGTACCCATCTTAAGTGTTCAGTTTAGTAAGAGTTAAAGATCTATGCACCCATTCAGTCATCACCAAAGCAGGTTATAGAACATTTCCTTCACCCCCAAAAAATCTCTCAGATTCTAGCCTTGGACAACTAATATCTTCTTTCTGTCTCTATAGATCAGTTTTTAGCTTTTGTAGAATTTTATTTTAATAAAATTATACAGTATGTAACTGAACTACCAAGCAGAATAGAGACAGACTCATAGATAAAGAGCAGGCAGACAGCTCTGGTGGGGGATGGGGAAGGTTAAGGGGGTGGAGGGATTGAGCAAAAAAGAGAAAAAAGAGAGAGAAAAACTCATGGACATGGATAACAGTATGGTGATGGCGGGGGTGGGGGCAGAGGGTGGAAGTGGAAGAGGGCAAAGGGGATAAATGGTGATGGAAAAAATAAAATGAAAAAATTTTTAAATTATACGGTATGTGTAATCTTGTGTCGGGCTTCTTTCAGTCAACATAATGTTCTTTTAAATTCACCATGCTGTTGCACAAATCAGCAATGTGTTCCTTTTTATTGATGAATGTTACCCATTAATTGAAAATGCCATAATTTGTGGATCTGTTCACCAGTTAATGAACGTTTGGATTCTTTCTAGTTTGGCTCGACAGTGACTCACACCACTACGAACATTCATATACAAATCTTTGTATGGGCATACATCTTCATTTCTCCTTAGTAGGCAGCTACGAGTGAACTGGTCATATAGAAAATGTATGTTTAACTTTTTTTAAGAAGCTGTCAAAAAGTTTTCTAAAATCATTGGACAATTTGCAATTCCCACCAACAATGTATGAGTGTGTTCCAACTATTCCATGGCCTTGTCAACACTTAGTATTGTCAGTCTTTTCAATTTTAGCTCTTCTAGTAAGTGTGTGTGGTATCATACTGTGGTTTCAACTGACATTTTCCGGATGACTAATACTGTTGAACATCTTTTCACACCCTCATTAGCCATTCGTGTATCTTCTTTTGTCGTGTTCATTTAGATCTTTTGCCTGTTATTAGGCTGGATTATCTTCTTCTTATTGATTATAAGAATACATGTACATACAATAAATACATATGTATATTATATTATATTATATTATATTATATTATATTATATTATATTATATTATATTCTGAATATGCTGAATACAAGTTCTTTGTCAGGTGTATATATGATAATATTTTCTCCCAAATGACAGCATTTTAATTGGGGAGGGGGGTGTCTTTCAAAGAGCAGTTTTCAATTTTGATGAAATCCAGTTAAAATTTTTAATAATTTATGCTTTTTACATTCTAAGAAAGCTTTGCAAACTCCAACATAGCAAATAGTTTTTCTTTTAGAAGTTTCAGCTTGTACATTTAGGTCCACCATAGCTTTTGAGTTAATTTTTGCTCATGATGTGAAGTAAGGGTTGGGGTTCACACTTCTCCCATATTAGTATACAGTTTCCCTATTTGTTAAAAACAGTAACCTTTTCTCTCTTAAATTCCATTGACCCCTCTGCTGAGCATTAAGAGATTAAAAAGGCAAACCACAGCCTAGATGAAGTTGTTACCATTAAATGCATCCAACAAAAGACTTAGTTCCAGAATTTCCATCAATTAATAAGGAAAAAACCAAACAATCCAATTTTTCAAAGGCCAAAGATTTGAACAGGATCTTCCCCAATAAGTGGCCAATAGCCTGTCTCATGGTGCTCGGTGTCATTGCCATGCAGGGAAATACAAATTAGAACCACAGTGAGATACCACTACACACCCCAGATTGGCTAAAACTAAACAGACAGTATAAAGTGTAGACATGGATGAAGAGCAGCCGAAACGCTCACCCACTGCTGGCGAGAAAGCAAATGACCACCTGCTTTGTAAAACCACTGGGCAATTTCAAATGCAGTGTGCACCCGTCCTGTGAGCCAGAAATCCCACCCTGAATAAGCACCTAACAGAAATGCACATCATGTACCAAAAGACATATACAAGTGTGTCCACAGCAAAACAACCGAAAAACCACACAACGTACACAGACAGAGAAATAAATGATGGTGTGTTCATCTCATAGAACACTACCCAGCAACGCAATGCACTGACTGGGGCTATAAGCAAGAAAGTAGATTAATTTCACACACATAATTTTGGACAAAAGAAACCAGACACAAGAGAGTACATGCTAGATGGTTATATTTGTATAAGGTTCAAAAATAGGCTAAATTGATGTGTGAGTTAGTAGAGTGGTTACCATTTTGGGGAAGGGAGAGATAACTAGGAGGTTGGGGCGGGCCTGGGGGCAGAGAAGCTCCTGAGGTCCTGAGAAGGTTCTAGAGCAGGACTACTTAGCCTTGATGCTACTGGTATGTTGGGCTGGACCCTTCTTTGCTCTCATCTTCCCTACAGCATCCCTGGCCTCCTCGTTGTGCTTACCAAAAATGTCTCCAGGCATTGCCATGGGTCCTGAGAAGGGGGAAGAATTCCCTCGGTTGAATAGCTGGTCCTGTTTTATTGCTGGTCCTGGGGGATATGTGTGTTCCCTTTATGAAAATTTACTGAGCTGCCCACGTACAATTCAGCCTCTTTGCTGCAAGCATAAAAACATTTTTAAAGATTTTAAAACCAAAGAAGAAGTCAATGAATAACTAAAAGAACCAACAACTTTAGAGAGAACTTGGAAAGTAGATACAGTGCAGTGTAATGTCTTATCTACATATAGGCGGCTAAGATTCCAGGTTGTGGGGGGCTCTGTGGCCATGGGCCCAGGAGAGAACCCTCCCCCTGGGCTCCCACTCCCACTCCCTCGCCCCGCCCCCTTACCCCTTTCTCAGACAGACTTGCTCCCAATGCACGTCACATCCAAGCAAAGGCTGGTTCCACACAGGGACCTCTGGAAGCCGAACCCCACTGTGGAAAGAGTGTGGATGGGTGCTGTGCTCCAGCACCCTGCAAAGAGAATTCGGAAAACCAATCTCGTGCAAACAGGATATTAGCTTTTGTCAGAAAGATCAAAAGAGGCTTGAGGTTTTTCTTTGCAGCCTCAGCCTCTCCTGCCTCTCCCTCTCTGGTTGTATCTACTCATTTCAGTCTGCAGGCAGGAAGAGATGGCAGCTGGGGAGACACAGGTCTATGCAAAGGTCAACAACAAGCTCAAGGGCCGCAGCGCCGCCTCGCTTCTGGACCCCCTTCTGAGCATGGGCTTCCCAGCACACACCGCGTGAGTACTCCCCCGGGCGCCTGCCCCTGATGCCTAGCCGGACCCCTGAGGTCCCTGCAGAACTGCAGGCCGCTCAGAGCACCTACTTCCTGTTGAAGGGATGCGCCGGCAGGGCGAGGTACAGTCTCTAAACAGCAGCCTTTGCTGTTTGTAAATGATATGATCAGGACAAACTGCTGGCTGGTTGGTGGGGGGCCCTGAGTTTATGAAAATTGGAAGCTGTGTGTAACTATGGTGCCTCCATTTCTCGGGGTTTGGAGGAGCTTGGGGCCTGGCTGTACCTTCTTTGTGGGCAGCTCAGTGACTGAGATGACATTTCAAACTCTGATTTGAATTAATGAGTCTCTAATTCTGGGACCTGGTGCAGGGAAACCATTCGTCCTTAGGACAAATCTCTTGAGTGCCCAACAAAGTGGTTAAGAAACTACTGAGCTACCGAGATCCCACTAGTCCAAGGAAAACGTCCACACGCAGAAAACGTTAACCTTAGGAGTTACCCCCTTCAGAGAGGGACGCAATCCCCAAAGCCATGAGCGATGACACAGACTCTGGGTTACAGCTTCCCCAGGAAACCGACTACTTAGAGCCCATCCTTTCGAATGCTTATCCGCATGGAAACTGTGGCTGAATTCCCCGTAGGTGAGCCTGGATTTGGGAGGGGGCAAACATTCCTTAAACATTAGAACACAATCCCAACCCAACTGGATGAAATGATGTTGACGCTACAGCCCTTTCTTCGCCCACCCAGATCAGGACTTGGTCCACACACAGGTTCACGATAAAGCAGGGGCCCGTTGCCGGCCTGTCCTTAGCACCTCCCATCAGGTGCGGATGGGGACACTTAGCCAGGGGGGAGGGCAGGACCCGAATCCTCTCTTCACAGCACCTTTACCACACTCCTGACACTGCAGCACGGACGCACAGAAATGCCGTCTAATGTAGACATTAGCCACATGGTAGGCTTGAAAACCTGCTTTAAACTTCTCACTAGTCTGGAGCTCCCCAAGTCAGGCTCACCGCCCAGGCCTCTCTGTTGGAACCTCCCCAGGAGGCGCATTGGGCCGCACCCTCCTGGCTCCTGGCACCCTCAGATACTTCGGGCTGAATCCCTGAACGAAGTCCCTTAGCTGTATTCCATTCAGCTCAATTTGCTCTGGTTCCGTTAAATTCCACTCAGTGTATGGATGTATGTCCTGGTGACAATGATGAATGAGACACAGTTAGGCCTCAGGGACCCGAGGTCCGGTAGGGGAGGCAAAGGGACAGGAGCTCATTGAGGTGGTAAGGGTGGTGACCGTGTGCACAGTTGGAACCCAGAGGGGCTGCATGTCCACCCTGGTGGTGGTTTGAGGAGGGCTTCTTGGAGGAGTGGCGCTTGCGCAGAGCCTGGAAGACCATGGAGGCACAGGGCCACATCTGGCAGGGACACGTGTGTGAGCCGGGCTATGGCCCTTCCTGGCCGACCGCAGGATACGAGAGTAGGTCCGACTGGCCCCGGTGCAGGTGCCGGAGGGGGTGGGGAGACAGACCGCAGGCGTGGGTGGACCTCAGCATGAGCCTTGGACTGCATGCCAAGGACTGGAGGTGGGCGTCCTGGAAGGAACACGGGCAGGGGTATGGGAGCAGGTGCATTTCCACAAACCACAGTGAGAGCACTCGGACAGAGGCCTGGTGCTTGGCTCGGCTGTGAAGGTAGCAGTCACCCCTGGGGTGGCGGGGTGTCCGCCTGAAGGCCCGACGGGTGGCGGGGCTGCCCTGCCTCTCATCCAAACAAATGAAGCCGGGCTCTGAATGCTCCCTCGTCTGCTTCCTGCAGGCTGAAGGCCTTGGCAGCTACGGGGAGAAAGACGGCGGAGGAGGCGGCCGACTGGTGAGTGGGGCTGTCTGCACGTTGGTGAGTGTGCGGGCTGGGGCCGCGGCGGGGGGGCCACCTCCGTGCCAGCCCACCCGGCACTGAAGGAACAGGATAAAGAGCCCACGTGTAAAACAGAAAACAAAAGAGAGAGAACTTCAAACAAGGCTTTCGTCACTTAAAAATCTGGTTTAATCCAAATGTTCTGTCAAAGGAAAAGATTCACGTGGTCTGTTGAAGGCATGGGGAGAGCCCCTCTGCTGATACAACACAGAGGCTGCCTCTCGTGCCTCTGCCTGGAAGAGGACTTACTGGGGTCCCAGATGTCCCCTAAGGCATCAGCACGCACACTGCATCGTGAGGGGCGCCAGGCTCTGGTGCCAGGCAGCTCCACCACCCACCAGCTAGGTGACCTCACACCGGCCACGGGCTCAGCGGTCGGCTCCTGGAATCCAGAGAGGGCACCCCGTTCTCCAGAACCACGTCCTGCCTGAACGTGCCGTGATGCCCCCATTCTGCCCCTAGACAGGAAGTCCCTTCTCGCTCTGCTCCGAAACAGCCACAGGGAAAGTCAAACAATAAAAATCCAGTCCCGCAAGGTGGAGGTGTCCTCCGCAGAGCAGAAGACAGACACGGACACTGGGTCCCTCAGTGTCCAGCATGTCCTCAGTAGGAGACCTTCCTCCTCCAGGAACTCTAGGCCAAGGGCGAAGCATGTCCCTCCACAGGACAGAGAGACACACCAGGGCTCTGGCTGGTCCCTCAGCCACCGAGACAGAAGTCCTCCCAAGGAACTGGGAGACAGTAGGATCCCTGGTCTCAGCCTACAGTGGGCCCAACGTCACTAATAACCAGGGACGTGCAAACTAAGATACCATGAAAGGTAACAGGCACCTTCCAGCGCTGGTGAGGGGGACGGACGGGGTTTCTGACTTCCTTGGTTGCAGTCTGGGGTGTCTATCAGCACCAAAAGTGTGTGTAGCTGCCCTGGCTGGTTTCTCAATGGTTAGAGCATCAGCCTATGGACCAGAGAGTCCCGAGTTCGGTTTCCGCTAAGGGCATGTACCTCAGTTGTAGTTTGTCCCTAACCCTGGTTGGGTTTGTGTGGGTGGCAACCACTCGATGTGTCTCTCTCACATCGATGTTTCTCTCTCTCTCTTCCTTCCTCTTTCCCTCCCGCTCTATCTGAGGATAAACGCAAAAATGTCCTCGGGTGAGGATAAAAAATAAGCAAACCAATAAGATAAGATAAGATAAGATAAGATAAGATAAGATAAGATAAGATAAGATAAGATAAGATAAGATAAGATAAATTAGTGTGTGTAGCGGCCCAAACAAGCAGTTCCAAGTCTAAGGACATCCTCTGGAGAAATGCAAAGGGGCTAAAAAATATGTACAAAAACCGTAATTACAGCATTAAACAGAGGCATTGTAAACACACACCAATGGAATGGATGGATGGAAGATCACATATGTACATAACGTGATATCATGTAGCCCCGAGAAGTTGCCCGCGTCATCGGGTATTGATGTAGCAACTTGGGGAAATCGAGAAAACATGGTTGAGTAAAAAAATGCAAGTTGCAGAATACTTCGAACATGGCTTATGATTTATAGAAAACACACCCAAGAGCTACCTATGAATGTGTGACTTAAATGGCTAGAAGAAAACAAAGCAGAGTAACCACTGGGGCTGCCTCTGGAATGGGGACGAGCCAGGGTGAGGGGCTGGCTGCCTCTGGGTGCTTTTATTACTCTCGGGAATATGTACGTGCGTGTAAGTAATGTCTTCCCAGTCGGCGCATACTGCTTTCTACACTGAAGATGATCCCAAACGTCCCTGAGACATTAGAAATTCTTCAAAACCACAATTTCTAATGAACAGACAAGTAAATTTACATTATTTATCAGGTTTTTCCTTCTTTCCTATTATAAATAACCCTACGATAAATATTTTATACATGCAGATTTTCTATACTGTTTGTCTTTTGCTTTGGTTAAGTCTCCGGAAGATGATTCCGTTCAATAATCTCTAGAATTATAAGTGCCTTATGTCAAGAATGCACAAATTCACCCCTAAGTCCCCACGCGCCTTTGACCCAGTTGAGCATAACTTTCATCCTTTGAAAAACATCTCGTTCATTTGACAGATGAGCAAAATGCTCGTTTTAATTCTCATTTTTATGATTAGTGAGAGTGAACTTGAATTTGGGATGGTATATTCTTTTCCCTTGTTCTAACTTAACTTTTTCTGAGCTGAAAGAAGTTATCATAGCCACCTAAATGTCTAGCTCTTTGTGGTTTTGATTTGGACAATTAATGTGAAGTGTGAGAGAAAATAAAAATGTGAATGTTTTTCCACAAAATTTTTCAACGCAAAGGAGATGGGACCACAGCGGGCATTTGGGACCAGGCTCTGAGGCTCGCTGTCACCTTTCTCTCAATGTCTTGGGACCTGGGAATCAGACGAACCTGGGTGTGAGACCTGCATGCACACTGACCACTCCGTGGCCTCACAAAGCCACATGCTTGGTGCCTGTCACCGGGAGGTGGCTGCAGGGTAACCCGTGTTCCTGTTATTCGGAGTTACAGCCGTGGTATCTGTCCTCCAAGGGGAAAGATTCTCCTTTGTCACGACACCAGGTGACAGTGGCCTATTCTCTGTTGCAGGTTGCAATGTCACTGCAATGACCCTTCCCTAGATGACCCCATCCCCCAGGAGTATGCCCTTTTCCTCTGTCCCACGGGGTCCCTGCTGGAAAAACTTCAAGAGTTCTGGAGAGAGAGCAGGCGTCAGTGCACCAAGAACAGAGCTCATGAGGTCTTCCCTCACATAACGCTCTGTGACTTCTTCACGGTGAGTCGGCCCCAACATGCCTTTAATGCTCGTTAGCACAGCAGCTAAGTCATTTTCTGCAATAACTAGGCAGTGATGGGACAAAATTCAGGACCACCACGTGATTTACTTTTATGGGGCGGTCCACAACTAGTGTTAGCTGGCCTCTGTGGGAGATATCCTTTACTTTCCTCCTCGTCTTTATCTGGTCCACTCCTATTCATCCCTCAGAACCCAATTCATTTATCCCCTCCTTTTTTTAAGTCCTTCCCAGCTTCCCAGGCAGCATGGATTGCTGCCCTTTGTGCTCCACTTTCCCTGTTGTATGACACTGTCTGGGCATCTCTGCATCCCTCAGCAGACTAACCCCTCATCTTTGCACCCCCAGAGATTAGCACAGTGCCTGAAACAGAGGAGGTGCTTCAGAAATGTGTGATGGATCAACTGAGGAATGGGTGGGTTCAGGCCGGTCACAAATGCAGGACTGTTCCTGCCTGGGGGACCAGCCCTGACTTGGGAAATGGTCAAATAGGCAGCTCTCTAGGGTTCCCGGGAAGGTGAGCAGGACCCGGGCCCCTGGAAAGAGAAGAGGGAGGTGTGGGCATGAGGAGGGGCAGACACCACTTCCTCTGTGGTTCCCACCAGGAACCTGGAGAGGGCACACCTAGCCCGGCCCTGGCGTCAGCAAACTCTGTGGGCTCCACCCCGCGGGCAGGTGGGCAGTGTAGACAGGAGTCTCCAGGTGACTGAGGGGGGCGCCTGCAGCTTTGGGGTGGGGTGTGGCGTGGCGCCCCTAGGCAGATTATTCGGACAGACTGAGTGCAGTGAACGGGGGACAGCAGGAAGACGGGGTCCTCCAGGAAGCAGACCCCAGAATTAGAACTTCAGGAGATCTCCGTGGGAGAAAGCCTTGAGGGGTGAAGGAGACGGAAGGATGGGCAGGGCGGGCCTCGTAGGTCTGACACCCATGGAGGAGGGGAGGGGGACTGGGCACCAGAGCCGTCCCTGCATTGGCTGCTCCGGAAAGATGGGGAGCTGAGGGCCGAGACCTCCCCGGGGCGCCCCCGGAGGCACGGGCTCCGCCCTCGCTGCAGGCTCTGAGCGGTGCACCTGCGGCTGCCTCGGAGTCTGCGGAAGCCTCCGGAAGCCGCCGGTGCCATGCTGAGCAGCTCTGGGCCGGAACGGAAAGGGTGCTGGCTCAGGATGTGGGGCGCAGGCTGAGTCAACACGGCGGGGGCGGGAGGGCTGCAGGTTCAGTGACAAGGGACTTCCAACCCGGGCATTGACAGAACACTCCATTCCCAAAGACTCTCAACTGACACCTCTGAGAACTGAGGACCAGGTACAGAACAAACCCATGACCCCAAACACATGAACCAGCTCAACTACGAACAGCGTCGCGAGCAGAAAAGCGGCCTGCTAGGCTGCCTAACGTTTATGAATAACATTCACCGGTGTTAAAAAATAATAATAAACGAGCCCCTTTAAAATGGAGCTGGAGCCCTGGCCGGTTTGGCTCAGAGGTGAGAGTGTCGGCCCACGGACAGGAGAGGCCGGGTTCGGTTCCCGCGAAGAGCACGTACCTCGGTTGCGGCTTGTCCCTGGCCCTGGCCCTGGTTGGGGTTGTGTGAGTGGCAACCAGTTGGTGTGTGTGTCTCTCTCTCTTCCCCCCTCTCTCCCTCCCGCTCTATTTGAAGATGAATGCAAAAAAAATGTCCTCGGGTGAGGATAAATAAATAATAAATAAATGAAATGAGATGGAGCCGGAGCTGCGGTCCCAGAGGCCCTGCCCTGCGCGCCCTACGCCTCAGGCCTTGGAATGTCAGAGCAGGGCAGGAGAACCTTTGACTGGGGCCAAGCCGCCCTGTCTCCCATGAACATCTGCAGGGATAACAAGAAAGCAGATGTGATGACCACTGGGCTGAACACGTGAAACACGGAGAATCAGCGTCGCTGTGTCAGCGTATCTGCACCAGCAGGACCGGCTCCCTCCTGTGGGCGGGACTGTTCCCTTCCCTTTCTCATCGATAGCCCTGGCCTTTGTCTGCAAATCGCAGCAACACTTGGGCTTCTGCCTGAGTCACGGCTCCCCAAATGCCATTCTTTTCTTCGATCGCTGGCAGAGGCTGCCTGTCACTGTGGGAGGCCTGTGTGTTAGGTCCACGTGGCGACGTAACACGAGCTGGGAAAGCAGACAGCTGTCTCTCCCCACAGTGTGAAGACCAGAAGGTGGAGTGTCTGTACGAGGCTCTGAAGAGAGCAGGAGACCGGATGCTGGGCTCCTTCCCCCCGGTGGTCCCTCTGGCTCTGCATTCTTCCATCAGCTACCTTGGCTTCTTCGTGAATGACAGCCCCGCCGATGTCATCCGGGAATTCGCCATGACGTTCGCCACAGAAGCAGCCGTGTTAGCAGGTAGGCAGCCCCGGCCAGTCACACAGACGCGGCCTGGTTAATAGGAAGTGACCCCTGTGTGGGGGGCTGTGCTCTCCCCACTTGGACGCAGTGGGCAGATCCCGGGGCAGGAAGCAAGCAGGCCGGTCCTTAGGGCCAGCTGGTCCAGCTGGGCTGGGCTCAGGGGTGCACCTGCCCCGGTCCAGGCCATATCCATTCCCACTTCTCCCTCACCAAGCAACTTCTTTAATACGGCCTTAACCCAAGGCCGAACAATTCCACTGGGTCCTCCCTAATGAGTCCTTGCAGGTAAACAACCAGATTCTGAGAACCAGGGTGGTCTTGCCTCCAAGTGGGAATAGACTTACTTGCGTTGAGTTCAAAGTGACTCTGCGGACACTTGCCATATTCAGCTGCTGGGGAAACTGTCCCAGGTGGGGACGTTTTATAGCTATGGAATGACAGGGACTGTAGGCTGGTGCATGTACGGGGGGCCGGGGCCTGCCCCAGCCCCGTGCCCACCTTGGGCAGCTCTCCTCACTAGGTCAGTGCTGTGTGTGAAACACAAGTCCCAGCTGACTTATTTTCATTCTCAGGTGTGTGCTTAGTCCTCTCTCCGTGGCTTCTTGGGGGAAGATTACCTAGACTCACTTTGAGAATCAACAAAATTCCCTTTCCTCCAAACACCAGCCAGGTCTGAGCCTGAGGCTCTGGCTGGCGTCAGTGGGAAGAATTCCAGACTTGACCTCCCCAGAGGTAAATCCTTCCGCGTGTCTGGCTAGTGGTGTGCCTTCACCAGGTCACCTCGACTCCCTGAGTCCTTTTGCTTTCTCTGCAAAGTGGCAAGCGCTCTTCGAACAAAGCAGCCTGATTGGTGGGAACTCCCTGTGGTTCTGGTGCTGCTCAGTATGGTTGTGATTTGCTAACACTGAAAGTCAGAGGCCACAGCCTGGTGGGGAGACCCCTCCCCCCAGCCCTCTGCAGCTGTCCTGTTTGTGAATGAACCCAGATCCCCGAATCCCAGGTTTCTGCCTGGAGGCTGGCTTGTTGCATCTGGGGATCCTCATTGCTGGGTAATGATGCACCTGCTCCCATCTCTGTGTCAACACGGGTTCAAAGGGTGGCTCTTTCACCTCCTGCCTCTGAAAAGACAGTGTGGTCCTTGTCCTAGTGCAGTGTGTCAGCCACTTGCCTTGGAGCTGGCTCGGTGCCTCAGGTGCTTTCCACGTCTCCCCAGAAAGTGGGTCTCACTGCCCACTTCATCGATGGGGAGGCTGAGGTTCTGAAGGGGAATATGTCTGCCCAAGGTCACTGTCATTACCCCCTAAAATTCATGTCAACCCACAACCTCAGAAAAGCATCTGTTTGGAAATAAGGTCTTTGCAGAGATCATTCAAATGAGGTCACACTGGAGCAGGGTGGGCCCTAAATTCAATGACTGATGTCCTTGTAAGAAGAGAGAAGGACACAGAGGCACAGGGAGGAGGTCAGGTGAAGACGGCGGCAGAGACTGGGGGTGTGGCCACAGCCAAGGAACACCTGGAGCCCTCCCCTAGCGGCCCAAGGGAGCAAGCCCTGCCCACACCTGGATTCAGACTTCTTTTCTTCAGAACGGTGAGGGGACAGGTTTCTGTTTTAAGCCACCCAGTTTGTGGCCATTTGTGACAACAGCCCAGGAAACTATTGGTTTCCTTCCCAGGGGTGGCAAACTGGACCTCGAATCCTGCTCTGTCTCACCCCACACCAGCTGGGTTTACTCTGAGCAGCCCTGGTCCTGAGAGATCGGCTTTGACCTCATGTCCATCACCTGGCTGAGCACATGCCACCCTGCCCTTCCGCTGCCTGTGCCCTGCACCCGACCCTGAGGGCCCAGGAGGGGCCAGCCACGACTCTGGTGTCTCTTGGGTCCCTCCCTACCGAAACGTCCCCACGGGCATGGGACACAGACAAAAGAAAAGACAAGGGCCCATTCAGAAGTCGGGTGACTCACCGATGGCTCCGAGGATGAGCGGTGGGTCTTTCTCGGCCACACGGATCACGTGGCGAGACTGCCCTGCCCCCACCGCCGAGACACCCAAGAGAAGGAATTTCCCTGACACCCACTCCCTCCCTGCAGGCTTCTCACCTCCACAGTGTCTCGTTTGCCACTGACGGTGGGTGAAGCGGGGTGGGGCTGCCAAGTCTGTGTTCACAGCACCCTGACATTTCCAGGGGAGACGGAGCCTGTGTGTTGGTGTGGGCTGCCCGTGGCGAGGAGGCGGGGACTGATCTTTACGAAAGACTCCTAGAGACTGGGTTCAGAGCCTGGTTTCCACGGCGGCCCCAGCAGGCTGCTGTCGCGGGGAAACTGAGTCAGGCTAAGGCGGCCCCACCCACAGGGGCAGAAGGGCCCAAAGCCGGGTCCACCGGACACCAGACTCTGGACTGTTTCTGTCGATCCCACCTGCCCAGAACACGAAGTGCTTTGTGGCCCAGCGGAAATCGGACCCTGTCGGGCCCGAGAGCCCCGGAGTGAGCCCCCGAGTGCTGGAGCCACCAGGGCAGAGACCCCCAGAAAGACCAGGGCTGGTCCGAGCCAGCCGGATGCCAGGGAGACTGTCCTGTTTGACAGTGCGTTGGCTCGGGCCGTTTCTCCCTGAGACCGCAGCTTAGCAAAAGTCCTGGACCTGGCGGGGGAGGCCACCAGCCCAGACCACTGACCAGGTACACACCCAGGGAACAAAGCGTCTGCTTCAAACATGTTGACCAACTGCGTGGGCAACTAGCTTGCCAATTGATAGGCCCCAGGCACCCTCAAAATCCACATCTCTACATCCCCCTCCTTTATAGCTCCTTATAGAGTCTGCAGGTGCCCAACCAGCTGCTACATAAGGTGAACTCGGCGAGACGGCAGAGTCTGGGTGGAGTTCTTGCCTGGCCGAGGAGGCTCCGGTGATGTATAAAGGCTCATGGTGCTGAGCCTGGGGGTGCAGCCACCCTGGGCGCGCAGTGCTGATGGGGGACATCCCTGTGTTTGCTCGGTTTTGCAGACTGCACAGTGAAGCCTTGCACCAAGCAGCTGCACCTGACGCTGGCCCACAAGTTCTACCCCCACCACCAGAGGACGCTGGAGCAGCTGGCCAGAGCCGTGCACCCGGGCCACAGCTGCCAGTGGACCGCGGCGCTGTACTCGCGGGACATGCGCTTCGTGCACTACCAGGTGAGCGCCGGGCCGGGCGGGAGGACTGACGCTCCCACGGGGACGCACGCACGAAGGCCCGCCGCTGGCCAAGCACCTGCCCCAGCGCCCTCTGCTTGAGGTGTTTAGTAGAAGGAAGAACTTCTAGTCTTCCTCTAAAATTATTTCCTTTTTTGTGCAATTTGCAACTAGCATTCTTTTATATGTACATAGCCGGGCAAATGTAGGTTTACAGTTGCAAGTACACAAAGCAGTTTATTCTTGTATTGTTATTTATTAAGTGTTGTATTATTTTCCATACAAACAACTGTAAACCTACTTTTGCCCCACCCTGTATGAGTTACAGACACACAAATTTGAAAAAAAGAAAGAAAGCATTTCTGGTAATAAAAAGTGGGCTACTGCAAAGATTCATCAGTGTATTGTGTTGCTTATTCATTTGTTTAGACAATGATTTGGGCGAAGCCTCCTTCCAAGATTTTCTCTCACTAAATTGATTCGTTCAGGTAGAAACTATGCAGGGCTCCTCCCAGACCCACAGGAAACGTAGGAGTGAACCCACCGCTCCCTGCTGCTGAGAAGCTATAAAACTTCGCCGCAAGGAAGGGAAAAGCCAAAGTCTGGTTGTGCTTTGAGATCTTTTTTTAAATTTTGTTTTAAAGAGAGAGGAAGTGAGGGGGAGAGAGAGATAGAAACATCGATGAGAGGGAACATCAATTGGCCACCTCCTGCACGCCCCCCACTGGGGATCAGGCCCACAACCTGGGCAGGTGCCCTGACCGGGAATTCAACAGATGACCTCTTGGTGCAGGGTCAATACTCAACCTCTGAGCCTCACCGGCCAGACTGAGATCTTTCATATAAGAAATTAGTACAGATGATTGATAGATAGATAGATAGATAGATGATAGATAAATGATAGATGATAGATAGATGAATGATAGATGATAGATGATAGATGAATGATGATAGATAGATAGATAGATAGATAGATAGATAGATAGATAGATGATAAATAGATGAATGATAGACGATAGATAGATAGATAGATGAATGATAGGTGATAGATAGATAGATAGATAGATAGATAATAAATAGATGATAGATAGATAGATGAATAATAGGTGATAGATAGATAGATAATAAATAGATGATAGATAGATAGATAGATAGATAGATAGATAGATAGATAGATAGATAGATAGATGATGGAGACATAGTCAGAGAGATGATAGACATGATGGAGAGATGACAGAGAGAGAGATTGATGATAGATATATACATGCATAGACAGATGATAGACACCAAAATTCATTTCGAAATCTATCCAAAGAATTTGCTACTGTATTTTGTTATATTCTACACTATCATGAGACAAAGGCTTGGGTAGTGTCTTGGGGACATACAGCCCATCAGGCAGCCTGCAGGTCAGCAGACAATAACCCTCCTTCTGCTGTCTTTCCCAGTCAAATCCTTGCTGGAGGCATGAAAACACTCGCCTCTCTTCCAGACCCTGCGGGCCCTGTTTCAGTACAAACCCCAGAACGTGGACGAGCTGACACTAAGTCCCGGCGAGCTCATCTTCGTGGACCCCACGCAGCAGGAGGAAGCCAGCGAGGGCTGGGTGATTGGGATCTCGCAGCGGACGGGCTGCCGGGGCTTCCTGCCGGAGAACTACACCGAGCGAGCCAGCGAGTGTGACACCTGGGTGAAGCACAGGTGAGTGTCGCCTCCAGCGGCGGCCCAAAGAGCCCTGAGTCCGTGTTTGAGAGTGTCCACCTGAAAATAGTGATCACGGTGTTTGCATCCTTCTAGACCGCTTCATCATTGCTAAAAATTGCCTTCTCCGTCCAGGGGTACAGTAAGTATCTTGGCCGATTCATTGTTTTCTGCTGATAACATGCAGAAGATATGAATTACTCTGTATGGCTTCTGATCTCGTGATCCCAAAAGACTGCGTAATACCACTTCCTGATTATGGACATAAATTACAATCAGAGGTCCTGTGCTTGGTTTTGCTTACCCTTCCACCTCGTGTATAAACTGTAGAGTCCCGTGGTACAGTATTAGTTTTCTGTCACTGTATAGCAGATATTCTTCACAGCCAAGACCATATCTATTTATTGTCTCACGATTTCTGTGGGTCAGGAGTCTGTGCATGGCTCCGCTCAGGGGCTCCCAAGGCTGAGGCTGGGGGCTTATCTGAGGTTGGGGGTCCTCCCACAAGCACACATGGTTGTTGACAGAACTCATTTCCTTGAAGCTATCGGGTTCCTGGTGGCTTCATGTTCGGCTGGAATTTCTTACTTTTAGCAGTTTTAGCGTCACCTACAGAGATAGGATTTTCTAAACCACTGAGCACTGGCTCCTTTTATTTAACAATTCTTCCCTCAATTTCTCTCTCTCCTCACCCCTGTAAACACATTGCATGGCAATGTCCTTAGCTACAGAAAAACTTCCTCACTTACAAGTTCTGCTCTCCACGGACAGTTTCATCAAACTTTTCCCCACTGCAGAGTAAGGACTCCCCTTCCCCCAGGCCCTATACTGTGGCTCACTCCCTCCGAGTCTTCCCCAGCAACACCTCTAACACCATCTCTCTGTTAACAGTCTGCCCCAGGTCACTGAGAATTCATCATGCTTCTCAAAACCCTCCCAGCCTCCACCCCGCTCAGTCTCAGGTATTTATTACAGCAGCACCCCACTCTTCACACCAAGTGTAGTATCAGTAAAGGTTTAACCAGAGAAATGGAGCCAGTAATTGTTAGATTATACACTGTGGGGCAAAAGTAGTTCACATAACAGGTTATTCTTAGAGTATTCTTTATTAACTATTGTATTATTTTCCATACTGTAAACCTACTTTTGTCTCACCTTGTGTGTGCGTGTGTGTGTGTATAGTATATATGTGTATGTATTTATAATTATGTATACATAAATATATTTTATATTATTCTATATGCAATATAGAATTATTTATAATATAATTTATATTTTGCTGTTATTGGTATTATAATACATACTTACATTGCACACCATGTGTCTACACATTCATATGAGTTTATTGCGGGGAATTTCTATGTGCAGTTGTTGGGGCTGGCTAGCAGGGGCCAGCTAGAAGGAAGGGAAGGAGCCCACAGCAGGCTGGAAACCATGGGCATCAGAAGCTCATGGCCCAGGTGTGGCAGCCAGGAAGGCCCACCGGCAGGTGGATGAGCAGTTACAGCTACAGCTGCTACTTGGAATCTCTGAGCTTCGGGTAACCGTAAGCCTGTTTTAAAGACCTTCCCACTGAGTCAGTCAGGCCCAGCCAGGACACTCTCCTTTTTGATTAACTTAAAAGTAAGCTGATTAAGGACTTTAATCATATCTGCAAAACCTCTTCACAGCAGCACCTAGGTGGCATTTGATTGGAGAACTGGGAAAAGGTGTGTGTATGCTTTCAACCACCAATATAGTTAGAGCTATCTGCCTATAAAAGAGATCACTACATTTAAAAATACGCCAGTGAAACAAATTGGGTACATCCACACAATAGAATACTGGCAATTTTTTGAAATGGTCATGAGGAAGTCTTTTATGTACTGGTATGAAAAAATCCTAGGGGAGCTGCAGAACAGTGTGTATAGTACTGTTTGTGGAGAAAGGATGAAGTTGAACAGACGTGTCTGTGCATATATATACATGATAAGTGTTTAAATGCAAGTCGATGCCTAAAAGTTCCCTGGAAAAAGATTCTCCAGGAACTTCTAACAGCGGTTACCAGTGGGGGTTGGGGCTGAAGCTGGGAGAGTAGCACAGAAATGGGAGGTAGACTTTTTAGTACCAGTCCATATCTTAAGATTTTGAACCATATAAAGGTATTACTCATTCAGTATGGGAATTAATTTTTAATGTCAAGAAAAGATTATAAGGAAATTGGGTCAAAGGGAGAGAAGTCAGATGATCCAGGGCTGAGGTGTGTACACCAGGTGCATGTTGTAAGGGGCCAGTTCCAAACTTTCCCACACCCAATGCAAGCAGGGCTGCAGCTTCTACCAAACCATCACAGCCCTCCCAGATGCAGGTAGACCAGTTGTCCGGAAGAAGCATATTTCTGCAAGTCATGAATCCCATGAGCTACCAGAAAATCACAGGATGTTGGTGCCACCAGGGACTGCAAAGATAATCAAATGCCTCCCTCCCTCTGGAGGGCTGAACACCCTCAGACCCAGGGTGTGGAGAGGCTGGCTGATGTCACGCGGTGAAGGAAGCGCTTGTTTCCTTTTAGTACCAACTCCATCCTCATTGGACCCAAGATATCGTGTAAGGAACGTCGAAGAGGAGGTGCTGGTTCCACCCTAACTGACCTGCCTGCTCAGTGCCGGAGGGCCTCACCGTCACCAGGCAACTGGCAGACCTGGATGTCTCTAGAACTAGGCAGGGAAGACGCTGTAGAAGAGTTTGTGGCTGGAATCGTTTTTGCTTCACAGTTAATCTGTTGGTCACCTGCCACCAAAATGATCGCTCTAGGCTTTCAGCCTGACATTCTGGGACTGCTCTTCTCAGAGACAAGTTTCTCTTGGGAATGAATATGTGTTGACAAAACTACAACAGAAGGAGAGAAAAGTAAGTACCAGGCGAGGCTGTGGGGTGTCTGGGGGAGCAGGGAGACAGCCTGTGACATGATTCTTGGCCACAATGGCAGAAAACCAGTCTGCTGTCAGACTCGGGGGTGCTGACTAAGACTTTCGAAACTGCCAAAGATGTGCTTTATTAAAGGCTGAGAGCTTTTTAAATTAGAAAATGGTCCTTGCGCGTCTTGACATCACTTATCGGTTGCATAGTGGACGTGTGGTCAGAGGGCGCTGTCCAGAGGCCAGCGCTGTGGGCAGACGTGGATCCCCCACGGCATCAGCTGCAGGGCTTACCCGTGGCTTGTGCAGTCTCAGCTGCAAGAACTGGTGAGCGCCAGAGAGCAGAGGTACAAGTCTACGAGGAGGAGTCCCCTACCTGCCTCGGGGGACACACTTCTAGGTATGAGTCTGCAGCTACAACGCTCATTGCTTGGCAACTAAAACAGCAGTCACCCATCACTGGTACAACCACCTCAGCCTCTATGTTGATGGTTCAGGAGTCTGGATTTCCTCAGCAACTATTCACACAATGTGTTTGTTACTGTGAAGAAAAGCATCAGAGGGGATGGAAAAGCGTAGTCTTGAATCAGCAGTTTTCAGCTCTGCACGAGGAGCCAGAGCGGCCTGAATGGTGGGCGTGGAGGACACGCTGTCATCTTCCAGCGGGGAGGAGGCTTCCAACACCGAAGCCACGCAAGCCACTTTGCAAAGCCACTGCATGAGCTGGTGGCAAGGGCTCTGAAGTAACAATGGTGTTGTTCTAGGCTGGCTCGTGCCCTCCCCAAATCCGTATGGCGAAGCCCCGACTCCCAGCACCTCAGGATGTGGCCGTGTTTGCAGATGGGGTCTTTACCCAGGAGATTTGGTTAAAACGAGGCTGTTAGTGTGGGCCCTCGTCCAATGCGACTGGTGTCCTCATGAGGAGATCAGGACATAGACACACACAGAGGGACGACCCGGTGAGGGCACAGGGAGAAGCTGGTGATGGAGAGAGGCCTCGGGAGGAAGCAGCCCTGCTGACACCTGGAGCTGGGACTTTCAGCCTCCAGACTGTGCGAGAAGACATGTCTGATGTTTAGCTGCCCATCTGCGGTACCTCGTTACGGTGGCTTTAACAACTAACACGGGGACGCCATCCATACGACCCCCAGACTGCAGCTCTGCCCTTTAAAAAGCCAGCGAGAATGTAAACACATCTGTGGTGTAAGTTAACCATCAAGTGTTTCTTTTAGGTTAAAGAGAAAAGCAGAAATATTAAATTGTGAGGTTTGCCTTTCTCCTCTCCTGGCCAACATTCCGTCATCTTCATTGTATTGCGATTGAAAGACTAGCCCAAAACGTCCATTCTGTCTCCAGCTGTACACTTCACAGGCGTTATTTATAGACAACGAGACTTGGCCGTACCCGGTGAGCCACAAGCAGGGGCGGGTGTCCCAGCCTCGCCTGCAGGAAGGAGAAACCAACCAACATTTCCTGTGTCAACGTGAGACTCAACGAACAGAGAACTTCGCCACAAGAGCGAGTTCACATGAAGAGGGACTGTCGGTGGTTCGAACTGAAAACAGTGTTCTGGGTCCATGACCAACCGAGGCTCACATTTCATCTGGGCAAAGTGAGTCTATTTGACATGGTTATTAGCAATAGGAGTTTGCAGCTCATGACCAGACAGGCAACAACACGGAAAGAGAAAGTACGAGTTTCAGACCATCTAAGAAATGAATTAGCGGAAGCCAAACACCGTGAGGGCAATGAGTGGCATAGGGCCCATGGCGGTGGTGGCGAAAGCAAGCGACCCGAGGCTCCAGGTGACTGAGTACAGGACAGGTGCGGGAGGTGCTCACCACTCTGTTCCTCCTGAGGGTCTCAGGGTGGAGGCCAGGGAGCTATCAGTTTAATGAGAATTTGGGGTCCTGAGGCCTCTATACGAGAAATGCAAAATGTACAAATGGGCTAATAAGTAGAAACACACCACATTCATGACTGAAAAATGAAATAGGAATATAGGGATGCCTCCTGGAGTCATCTCCAGGTTTAAAAACATTCCAGGAAAAGTCCCAGGGGCATCGTTGTCTGGAATGAGTGAAAAGTTCCTCTGGAAGAAGAGACAGGAGAGATAAGCTGAGGAAACTTGGGAAAATGAAAACAATCCAAGTAGAGAGTAACCCTACGAGATGCTAGAAACGTGTGACAACGCTGTAAGATGGTATCGGTGGGACGGAACAGCTAATAGAGCAGGCACCTGCCACACTGGGAAGCTCACATCTAAAAGCTGCATCAGAAAGAGGGAAGAAACGGGTATAAAATCAATGGCGTCTTACATGACCTCACATCACACACCGCAATCAATGCCTGGCAAAGCCAAGAATTAAACAGAAAAAGGAAATTCTCTGAAAAGAGAAGGCAGTTTAAATGAATGTATTTCTGATTTCTGGACTCTCTGGGGAGAGCTTTGAAAGCATAAAAGCAATAGAAGGAATCGTAAAGAAACACTTAGCTCCGTCTTTAATAATGTTATTAAATGCTTAAAATTTAAGGTTTCTCTGTGTTTAAAAACATAAAGAACATAACAATCCAAAGAACCAGATGAGAACGATGCTTTTAGGAAAATAGTAACCAAGGCGATGCCCCCTACCAGTCACCTGCATGACCAGATTACCTGCCTCCTTCCCTTCCTTTGTAAGTCGCACCCTCTGTGGCCCAGGCGTCATGGACACTCAGCCCTTCGGTTGATTGGTGTCTAACTTTTCCATTTAACCAGGAGGCATGTACGGTATCCTTCATTCCTGCCCCCCATGCCAGGCGAACAGTCAGACGCTGTTGCCACCCACCTGCAGTCTCTGCACCAGGTGCCCTTCTCCCCCAGCAGACTGTGATGCACGGTGCACTTTACTAGCTCAGGGCATGGCCTGGGGTGCCTACATCCCATCCCTCCGGGAAGCCATCTCTCCAAGGGCATCTCCAAGGGTGCCACCTGAGACCTTCCCGATCATTCCCACCAGCAAACAAACATGCCGTTATCTGAAAAAACAAAATCAAGCACAATTTGCTTTTTCTCATTTCCCTCTCTAGCTACTGACCCACTTCTCTGCTCTGACGGTAGGTCATTTTTCAATTGAGTTTATAAAGATGACCTTTCCTTTTACAACATGAGTTTTCCCCTGGGGGACATGGTCATTTGCTTGCTCTGGGAGGACGTGCGACCATTGACCATAGGTTCCTTGTTCCTCTTTCAATCTCTCCCTCCGGCCTCTCCCCATTCCTTCCCAACACGCTCACTCAGGGCACCCCCACCCGCACCCCCTCCTATCCGATGGTTTGCCGGGACCATTCCTCTCAGTCATCCCAGAGCTCCTTGAATCCCGCCACCTGCACCTTTCTCGACTCGCGGGACAGGTAGCAGCTTGCCCGTGGCCTGCGCCATCCGGGAGCTGTCTTCACCCACCCTCCCCGGAGCACCCCCCCCTTTCCTGTGTGCTGCCACAGCCCCTGATGTGTATGTTCCCTGCTCGTTCCTTCCTGCGCCCCAGCCACGTCTACCTTGACAGCTGTGGCCCCTGCAGCAGGTGACTCTAAGAGATGGTTGCATTGCCCTGGCTGGTTCGGCTTAGTGGTTAGAACATCGGCCTGTGGACCAGCGAGTCCCGGGTTCGGTTCCCACTAAGGGCACGTACCTTGGTTACAGTTTGTCCCCACCCTGGTTGGGGTTGTGTGGGTGGCAGCCAGTCGATGTGTCCCTCTCGCACTGATGTTTCTCTCTCTCTCTCTTCCTCCCTCTCTCCCTCCCACTCTATCTGAAGATGAATGCAAAATGTCCTTGGTGAGGATAAAAAAAAAAGAGAGAGAGAGGCCTGGCCGGTTTGGCTCAGTGGTTAGAGCATCCGCCTGCGGTCCGGAGAGACCGGGTTCGGTTCCCGCTAAGGGCATGTACCTCAGTTGCAGTTTGTCCCCGGCCCTGGTTGGTCGTGCGGGTGGCAGCCACTCGATGTGTCCCTTTCACATCGATGTTTCCCTCTCTCTCTTCCTCTCTCTCCCTCCCACTCTGTCTGTACAAAAAATGGAAAAATGTCCTCGAATGAGGATAAAAAAAAGAGAGAGAGAGAGAGAGAGAGAGAGAGAGATTATCGTATCAGTCTGCTCAGTTTGTGTAACAAGATGCCACAGGCTGGGTGGGTGATAGTAGAAATCTACTCCTTCGCTGTCCGGAGTCTGGCAGCCCAAGACCAAGGTGCCTCCAGGGCTGGTTTTTCCTGAGGCTTCTCCCCGGGGCCTGCCGAGGGCTGCCTCCCTGTGTGCTCACGTGGTCGTCCCCCTGTGCTGGTCTGTATCCCAATCTCCTTCTAATAAGGACACTAGTCACGCTGGATTAAGGCCCGTGCTAATAACCTCATGTTACCTTAATTACTTCTTTAAAGACCCCCATCTCCAAATACAGACACATTCTGAGGTCCCAAAGGTTCAGGACTTCAATGCATGGATTGGGGGGGGACACAGTTTGGGTGGTGATATGGTGACAAACAGCCACCATCACTCAGGACTTTCTCTGTGCTGAGCACTGAGCTCTGAACGCATCGTTTCCTTCATCCTCACGATGACCTTGTCTTGACACGTACACTCTCGAGCTCGGGCAGGACCGTGTGCCTCCCACTGTCACCCGGACACAGCCTCTCGTCTCTGCTCCCACAGGACATACACCTTCAGTCTGGCCGTGGACCTGAACTCCAGAAAGGACGGAGAAACCAGCAGCAGACGAAATGGGGAACCGCACCCTCTGCCAAGGCCGAGGAGCACGGGCAGCCCTCAGGCTATGCAGGTGACCGAGCCCCTGTTTTGTGAAGCGAGTCACTGACATCACCCTTCGTGTTCACTCTGGGGGGACACAGATGCTGCGCCGGAGCGAAGCGCAGACCTGGCGGGTTGGCAGGAGGCACCGGCTGCCCCGTCCACCTGGGCACAGGGCGAACCCCCGAGCTGGGAGCCGGCCCCTCTCTCCAGAGGCGCCTGCCAGTCTCCAAGAACACGGCTGTAACTCGGGCACGGTGCTGGGACACAGGCAGGGAAGGGACAGGGACACAGCCCCACCCGGGATCCAGAGCTCTCACCCGATCCTCTCATTACCAAGCGGGGTGACCCTGATGGGGTCCCCTCCCCCTTGGCGCTGAAAGATGGAGCTTCTGAGCTTTCAAGTCAGGCTGGGAGAGATGAGGAAGCTCAGGCTTGGTAACAGGGGGTGACAGCCGCTTCAGGACCAGGGTCGGGGACACAGCAGGAGCATCTGAGCCCACTACCTGCATGGGGCACAGCCAGGGGTGAAGACTACAGGCAGGCCCCCAAGGAGCACGTAGCCTCTCCCCGCAAACAAACAGGTAACACAGAGCCCTGCCGCCGTCGGAGTGGAGGGCGGAGCCTTTCCCGGAACCGGAGGGCGGGCCGCCCCTGGCCCTGGCCCTGGCCCGTTCCCTCTTCAGCGGAAATGCCCGTGTGCAGCCCCTCCAGGCCCGCTCTGTGCCACACACATTACATCAGGCTTTCGTTCCCGCCAAACCGCCCCCCAACCAGCACGGGTGGCATTAGTTAGTGCCACTCCGTCTCCAGTTACAAACCTGAAGCCTGGGGAGCTTGCGGGGAGCACGAAGACACATACAGCACCTCGCGACTAAACAGTCACACAACCCTGATGTTCTCTGGACCCCAGGGCTCAGTGCAGCCCCTTCCCGGGGCCTCTCACTGTGTCTCACTATCCTTGTCGCCAACTCTGCTTTTCCAAGTTGAAATGCTCCAGGCTCTTCCCGGGGAGAAACGCCCCCAATCCGAAACCTCAGCCCAAGGCATGACGAGCACTTTGAGAAGGCTGGCACACAGGTGGTGGGGGGCACGCGGGCCTTGCAACCCGCTTGCAGATCAAGCAGGGGCACGGGGATGGGGCGGCCTGTTTTAATACTCATCCTCGGAGGGGAACGGCATCCTGGTGCCCACACAGGCAATCCCTGAGCCATCATCTTTCAAAACTAAGACAAGGAGACAGCCTTCCACCTGGAGTTCTGCCCCGAGAGGGGGAGTCTGCACCCAGAACCGAAGAGAGGCGCGCTCCAGGAAGAGACGGTCGTGAGCCTTGCTTTTCCTTGTCCCTGTGCCCAGCCTGGTGGCATTAAGAGGTGGGGCTTTGGGAGATGCTTCTGTCCTGAGGGTAGAACCCTCATGAGTGGGACTAGTGCCCTCATAAAGGAGACCCCGCCGCGCCCTTCCGCCATGTGGGGACGCAGCGGGAAGCCTGCAGCTAAGACGAGGGCCCTCACCCAACCAAGCCGGCACCCTGACCTCTGGCACTTCCAGAACTGGGAGAACAAACGTCTGTTGTTCATGAGGCCCCCAGCGTGTGGCATTCGGTTAGAGCATCCGAAATGGACTGAGACAAGGGACAAGGACATGCCCGTTTCTTTTCACTTCCTCTATAATGTCATAATGCCCAGGAGATAAAACACTGCAAGACATTAAAGGGATCCCCCTGCAGTCCCTGGTCCTCTCCCACTGTCACGACACTGGTGAAACGGGAGGTAGGTCTGGAATGAGGTCGGAAGGGACCCACTTCCAGGCTAGCTGCTAGATGACGGGCAGGTGCTTTTTTTGAAGAAGTCTAATAATGCCGATGTTAGATTGCACATGTTAACAATGTTTGGCTATGCGACTCAGCTGATGGACGTATTTTTTAACATGCCTGTCACTCACCGCAACTTTTCTTCCCTTCCTGATGGTAGGCGGCCATCGTGAGGAGGAGCGTGCTGGTGGTGCGCCACGGGGAGAGAGTGGACCAGGTCTTCGGGAAGACGTGGCTGCAGCAGTGTACCAGTCCTGACGGTAGGCAAAGTCCCGGCCGTCTCTCCACACAAACAAATCAGACCCGTCCCGAGTGTCTGAGCCAGATTCCCCAGGGCACCACCCTGAGCATGACGCCGTGGAGATTGTACACGTGGGATGGATACGTGCCACATCGTCCCCTCTAGGCATCACATGGAAGCAGTTGAGTGTGTTTGTCCACGAGTATCAGGTCAAGTGTGTTTGTGGAACATGGAGGGATGGTTTCAACAGAAAGCAAGTCTGCTGGTGTGACACGTGCCCCGTCCGCCTGCTCCAGCAGCTCCGCCGGGATCTGGTCGTGAGTACGGCACTCACTTCCAAGCATGTCACCCTGGCCTGGGTCCGAGCCCTCAGCGGCTGGCGCACAGCCCATCTGGTGATGGCATCGCTCTGTCTCCCAGCCAACCTTCCCCACAGTGCTCACTTCCCCCATGCTTGCCTGTCGTTCTCAACTGAACGACGTATTGTTGAACATGCCTCTTGCTCACCCCAACTTTACCTCTCTGGATGCCAAGAACTAAGGACAGTGCTTGGAAACACAACATGCCCACGAGCCAGTCTCTGTACTGAGGGTCCACATCTACACATCAGCCACAATGTCTAAGCCGAGGCTAATTGTATGCATGAAGGTATTGAATGAACACGATACAATCCGTTCACAGGAGGTGGGCTAATCCAGACCTTTGGGAGCCCAGCGGGCCAAGAGAGGGGGGAATGAATGGGAAAACCACTGGCAGATGACCAGAAAAAGTCTGAGCAGATGACATCATGACCAAATACGTCCAATAACCCACGGAGGTAGTGCTATGCTTGTCTCTACGAAACAAGGTCAAGTAGAGACACAAAGAGTCAGGAAAGAAACAATAGGAGCAAGTGGATATGAGGAACAGTATTTGATCATCTAGACCAGAGATCAAGTCACCTGTTAGGGAAAATGTTTTATGGCACCGGAAATTACCAGCTTAAAGGAACCTCTCAGTGGGTCTTTCTACAGGGTAAAGAATCCCTTGATAGGATGAGTATTGACAGCCTAATTCTGCATTTCACAGACACACTGTTTAATCAGTTACAACTGGGGACTTGGGGTGCTGCTGGCCTCTCCTCTGATTCCAGCTCCTCCTGATTTCTGCTCACTTCTGGCCCAAGCACCCACCCCTCACATGGCCCCTGACTTCCCAGTGGTGCTGGCCCAGGCACCGCTATTCTGTAGACTCTGCTCCGCTCAGAACCTGACCTTGCCCCAAGCCTGGTCTGAGCTCTGCCCTCTGCCCCTCACAGAGCCACAACGTGTCACTGAAGGCAACACATCCAAATGGAGCAGGTTGACCTCTTTTGAATCACAGATGCCTTTGAGAATAGGACCGAAATGATGGACCTTCTCTTACACACACACACACACACACACACACACACACACCCTTTCCCAGCAAACACAGCTCAAACGTTGGCATTTAATAAAGGCCTCTAGGAGTGGGTGGTCCTTTCTGAAGAATCGACAAGACAGCAGTCGTGGAAAAGAAGAGGTGGACCTTCCGCAAGTTCACCTACCGCGTTGTGGATCTTGATCAGCGGCTGGACGCGTCCTGTGAGCGGCTGGGGCGGCTGCACAGCGCCCGGTGGCAGTGGCAGAGGAAGCCGCACTCGCCACCTGCTACGCACCTGCCCGAGGCCCAGAAGGAGGCCCCGCCCACGGAGAAGCCCGAGGTGGTGAAGACGCACCCGAGGGGCATAATCATCCTGCGGGAGGTGATGGGCAGCTTGATGGGCGTGTAGGATGGCGAGTCCTTCATCCAGGTGGACATCAAGCCTGAGACGATTGGCCGCTACCTGGGCAACTTCTCCATCACCTACAGGCGGGGGAAGCCCAGCCGCCCCAGGGGCCACCCACTCCTCCGCTTCATCACCCCCAAGTAGCCGATAGTGATCACACAGGCCTTCAAAGCTGATGGTTTAGACGAAGTCTCTGCCAATGGAATTTCCGGGAGGGAGCTTCCAGAAAAATCACGCACGGAAACTAAAAATCACGGTCCGCAAACCAGCCGCTGCCTCCCTCTGCGTTGGTGCAGGGCTGGGAGGCTGGAGGCAGCTGGTGTGGGGTGTTCAGCACCTGGCATGTGGGGTACACAGGTGGCAGGAAAGGCAGCTGAGCTTCTAGGACCTGTCGTACCAGGAGGTTTGGGGTGACTTGGGAGGAGGTGAGGTCTTGGTGTGGAGTGGTGTCCTCTGCACCGTAATCGATAATTTGATCATGAGATGAGACCTGCCACTTACTGACCTCCCACTGGGGCCAGGTCCTGGGCATTATCTCCATGACTCATCACATTCCCCTTTAATGACAGGAAAGATTAAGTAATTTGCTTCCAATCACCCAGCCAGTAACGGGTGGTACCAGGATTCGCAGCAGTCAGATTAAAGCTCAGGGTCAAACTCAAGGTGAGCCACGGGTGGGGGAGCACCCAGGGAGTCCTCCAAACTCCAGTCCCACCTCAAGCAATTGAACGATGCACAGTGCAGGGGCACCTCCGGCCATGTGGACTCTGCCCCGTAGGCAGTATGACACACTTGGGCTCTGGGAATGGGTCAAATTCACCTAAGTAATTAATGCCAACTTGAGATTCTTGTCAAATTAAGCTCGGCCAGTCATGGAGACACCTGGTTCTCAATCAAGAACTGTGTGAGCGACCCTTCAGGAGGGGTCAGGAGTAGACAGCGAGGGTCTGGGGATTCCTGGGGCTGAAACCCAAGTTTTCTGTATTTGAGGAAATGTGCACAGTAAAACAGCATTTTCTCCTCAGACTGAGTCCACACCACAGAACACAGACCACACTGGCGACAATGCTAACCGTGCTGCTACTGTGGTCTTGACCCTGGGCGTGCTGTGGGGCAAACACGGGAGCTGACCGCCTGGTGTGTGCTGTGCCCTAGGGAAGTACTACCGGCCAGACCTGAACTTCCCTTGCAGCCTGCCCCGACGGAGTAATGGCATCAAAGGCTTCGAAAACGATCCACCTTTATCCTCCTGCGGAAGTTTCCAGTCCAGGACGGCAGGTATGTTGGAATGTCACTCTGTTAGGAATAACAACAAGCATGGTTATCAGCAATATGTGTCGGCAGTAGTTACCACTAGTGTGTATTGAGCCCTTGCTACAGGCCCTTTGAGGTCAGTATTAGCATGATGCCCACTCTGCTGATGAGAAAGCTGGGCACAGAGAGGTTAAGTGAGTCAGCCGAGGTCACACAGCTAGTAAGTGGAAGCGCAGAGATTTGACACAGGAATGGATAGTTGGGGAGGTCACGGGGAAGGAAAGGTATAGAAAAAAACAGAATGACCACTGTGTGCACTAAGGATGTCATTGAAAATTAAAATAAAATGAAACATACATCCCCTCCTTGATTTTATTTCGAAATCTGTCACTTCAGGCTCTTGTTTTATGTCTGAGGTTCTGGTTCCACGTGATTGACTTTCTGGAAAAGAAGAGGCCATTGAGTTCCTCTGGCCTTCGTTTTATGAATTAAAAACTCCAACCGAGAACCAGGAAGGCAGCCGGTGAGGAGAAGGAACGCCCCGGAACCTGGCGTCCCTGGCTCCTCGCCGGTGTGACATAAACATTTAGTCCCCAGCGATCTGGGCAGGTGGGACAGCTCTGCAGCATTTGCTGACTTCAGTGGTGAATGGTGTGCTCACCCTAAGGGTGGTGTCGGTGTCACCGACGAGAGGCCACTTGACGTGGAGGTAGGGGATATGACACGGTTGGGACTCCCACAGGTCAGTGTGACCTGCTCTTCACAGCCATGCCTGGCTCTTTCTCCTGCCGCACACTGTGGGGGGAGGGGTGTCATGTGTGCATGTGTGTGTGTGTTTCGGTGTGTGAGTACATGTATGTATTGTGTGTGTATGTGTGTGCTGGTATGCATGTCCCTTCGGGAAAGTCTTGGCAGCTCTGTGTTTCACGCCTAAATCCTCACCTGGATGTTTGCACTGTCGCCATGTGTGTGCTGGGAGTACCTGCGAATGGTGAATGGGCAGCTGTCAACCTCTGTGTCCTGGGACTGCCGTAACCAAGCTCCACGAACTCGGGTGGCCACATCGACAGACACGTGTTTCTCACAGTGCCGGAGAGGTCAGGGTGAGGCTGTGAGGGAGGATCTGCCCCAGGCCACTCTCCATGGCTTGTCGACGGCCGCCTTCTCCCTGTGTCTTCACGTCGTCTCCCTTTCTGTGTGTCTGTCTGTGTCCAGTTTTCCCTGTTTATAAGGAGAGCAATCAGATCAGATTGGAGCCTCCCTCATAACCTCCTCTTAACCTGATCACCTGTAAAGACCCCATCCCCAAAGAAGGTCACATTCTGAGGAGCTAGGGGTTAGGACTCCAACATATGAATTTGGGAGGGACACAGTTCAGCCCAGGACAGCATCCACTACGACCTCCTGACTTTGGCACTGCAGTTCTTCTACTGAAGAGATCTCTTTCTTTACCAAAGATGAGGTCCTCGAAGGTTGCACGAGGAAGGCTGGGTCACAGGCGTGTGCTTCCAGGAGCCTCAGGTTTCCTTTGCTTCAGAACAAACTAGCAGGAACTCAACGCAGAAGCCACTGGGCTCACAGTTCTGTGGATCAGACACGCAGACACAGCGTGGCTGGGTTCTCTGCTCGGCGCATCAAGGTGTTGCTGAAATCACGGTGTTGCTGGGCTGACTTGGAAGCAGTTTCAAACTCATCAGGATGTGGGAAAAGTCAGTTCCTTGTGGTTGTAGGACTGAAGTCCTCCTTCCCTTGCCACTGTCAGCACAGGGCCACACTCAGTTCTGAGAGACCACCCACATTTCTCGCCCTGGGGAAGGCAGCAGTCTTCTTACATGGGGAATCCCTGAGCCTTTGAATCTCTGACTCCTGTGTCAGCTGGAGAAAATCTCTGCTGTGAATGGGCTCACCTGAATGGCTCGGGCCACCTGCAGCGATCTCCTTTCTCCCACAGAACATCACATGGTCACAGGAGTACCATCTCACCCTATTTGCAGGCTCCACGTACCCCAGGGGGTTACACAGGGTGTGCATGGCAGGGGGTGAAAATCTTGAAGCTACAGGTGGTACGCCTTCCATCGGAGCTGCCACCATGGGAGGGTATGATTGCACAGGTGCATTTTCCACCTGCTTTCTTCCAGGAGAAGCGCTGCTGGACAGCGGCATTCAGATCACCTCCGTCTTCACCTCTCCAGCCCTCCGCTGTGTGCAGACAGCCAAACACATCCTGGAAGGTGAGTGACCTCAGTGAGCTCCTCGGGCTGCCTTGACTCGTGCTTATGCTCCAAGGGAAGAGGGACGTGAGCAGAGGTGAGCACTGGATGCGTGGCGATGAACGGCCACACGAGTCATAGACAGTTACGGACCAGCCCTCCCAGAACTGTTCGCGGGCACTGAGCCCCTTAACATTTCCGGGATGCCAGGCTTGTCACCGAGTGCTGGGACCTGTCATCACGCTGTCCACCTTTGGCGGCTTCTGCTATGTGTTTTTTAGAAAAACTTCTGGGGAGGGGCATTCAGAAAGCCAAAGAGCTGGGAACTGCTGTGGTCCTTCCAAGTCCAAAATGCGTGACTCCCAGGGACGCAGCTGCGGGGAGCTGTCCAGCACCATCGAAGGCTGATGTGCATCAGGGAGCCACTGGCCCAGCTTCTGGAGCTCCCTCCTGCAGGAGGAAGGAAGTTCCTGCCAGGGAAGGGCAGCCTGTTCTGGGGGCTCAGTTCTACTCCTCCTGCAGGACCCCCCCACCCTTCTTGTGTGAGGAAGAGGGGCGTGATGTAATTCACCATGCAGGAGTGCGGCCAGCCTTCCACGGTGACAGGACAGAGGGAGGGGGAGCATGGGGACACACATGCAGCAGTTGGGCAGATGTGAGGAGGGGCTCACCTCTACTTCTCAAGGACACGGGTCAGGTCCCCAGCTGCCATGGAAAGGGGAGGACTGCTGCAGGATGCAGGGGCTCTGGAGGTAGGAAATGCTTATCAGGGAGAGGGGCCAGGACATGGCCCGGACAGCAGAGGGCGCCACTGGGCAGCACAGCGAGCCCTCTGAGGTCAGTGAGCACGACTGCATGCCGAGAGCCGTTAGCTGGGCATAGGGCTTCCCCGGGGCGCTGACATGGCCAGCAGGCGGAGCTGCATCTAACTCCGGGTGGGTTCAAGAAGTGAGCACAGCCCTGGCCGGTTTGGCTCAGCGGTTGGAGCGTCGGCCTGCGGTACAGAGAGACCCAGGTTCGGTTCCCACTAAGGGCATGTACCTTGGTTGCAGTTTGTCCCCGGCCCTGGTTGGGTCGTGCGGGTGGCAGCCACTCGATGTGTCCCTTCACGTCGATGTTTCTCTCTCTCTCTCTCTCCCTCTCTCTCCCTCCCGCTCTATCTGAACAAAAAATGGAAAAATGTCCTCGGGTGAGGATAAAAAAAAAAAAAAGAAGTGAGCACAGCGAAGCAAGAGAAGGTGAGCAGAGCTGGGGGTGCACGCAGAGGGGGGGCACTGAGCGTAGATCAGAAGCTGGGGGAGGTGGGGAGTTAGAGGCTGCAGGAGGTGAATGGTAGAGAAAAGGGGTGAGCTCAGTGGAGTAACATTTTGGTGAGACTGCTGGAGTTGGAGGACGAGAGAGAGGAAGCTGCACAGAAAGGAGGGCTGGTTGGAGACAGAGTTTGACCAGGAGCTTAGAAAATGGTTGCAGTAGCTGCTAATGACAAGATCAAGGTCAGGGAGGAAGGGTCATCACTGGAGGAGGGGACAAGGAGCCAAGGGGCTGGGTGAGTCATCTTGCAGACAACAGTGTCACCAAGCATTGCACCTGCAGCCGTGTCCAAGAGGGCAGGGAGCTGGGGAAGCTGTCGAAACCCAGCACAGGGGCCCCCCAGCTCCCATGTCTTCTCCACCTCCCGTACCCGCGTGGGAGAAGTTCTGACAAAGCACCTGCCCAAGTCTGTGCACGATCAGGGTCCCTGCCGGGAATCAGACTGATTCTGCGGGGCCTGCGCAGGCACTTGGCCGCCGCCGCCCGCTCCTGTGCTCTCCTCAACTCACTGTGTCACAGCCCGTCTGCAAGTTTGCGATGGGAGAACCCATTTTACCAGCAAGGAGCATCCACATCCACCTTCCACACTGACACCTCAGGGACAGGATCCACGTGTCCTCGGCCTTGCAGCCATCCCTAATTTGTCATTTCTCACCTGAGCATGACAGCACACGCCCAACACCCCTTTCAGGTCGCTAAGTCTGGGGCACGGGATTCGCCCGGCCCGCTGGGGGAGGCTCGCACGTCCCTGACATGGCTCTCAGCACCTGGACTCGCGGCTGACTGGCCCTGATGCAGGTTACACAGCAATGTCAGCTCTCTGGGAAAACCAGGCAGGGCCCAATAATCCCCAAACCTATGGCTCTAATGTACATTGGAAAATGTGGCCTGGCCCTGACCATTAACATGGCTTCCTTACACACCTGCCCCCTCTCTGCCTACACAAGCACACACTCACACACACACACACACACACACACACACTGATGCACACACTCCCCTTACGTTTCACTCAGCTCCAGAGTCATACACTAGTGTTGAGGGGACAGAGACTAAGAGAAGAAGACTTTTTCAGAGCGGTGACCCTCCTCCCACCCAGGAAACATGGTCCCATGATGTCAGACTCCCTATTTCTGTGTCAGATCCGATCGCCCCACCCCCTCAAGTGTTCAGGAAGGAGGAAGAAATGAGAAGTGGTCCCTCGGTGCTGCCGTTGCCAGAGGACAGTGGGGACAGCGGAAATGGCCACGTGAAGGCGGGGGGTTCCCCTCATAGCTCAGTAAGCCCTTCTCGGCTGTATTTATTCTGAGCTTTCAATTCGAGGATAACTCTTAATACATATGATGAAATAAAGCAAAACAGATATGAAGGACTTTTCCTTCTGTTTTGCTTAGGATCGGTGTATTTCTAATTAGCCCAACAGCGACAGTAATCAGATGTGAATGAAGAAAGGCACGCAAACACGTGGTGAAAGGTGGCAGACTGGTCCCTAAAGTACCCCTCCCCCCTTTATTCCTGCCATTTAATGAGCTTACTTTGTTTGAACCCACCCAAGATGCTGCCACTTTTCCACGAACCTTCAAAGCCACTCGTTTCCATGGTTGGCCAGCTGCCCTGCAATGAGCTGGGGGGGGGGGCAGTGCAGACCCCCAGGCCAGCCCTTGAATGTCAGTGCAATGATGATTTCCTCTTGCGTCCTAAGGTTCTTTTCTAGTAATGATCTTAATCTTTGCTTCCCTACCCAATCTCTCTCACCATGGTGACGACATAGGAATAAGAAGACAGGATCTTCACCCGGCCAGTGGGGCTCAGTGGTTGAGTGTTGGCCCCGGCACCGAGAGGTCGCTGGTTTGCTTCCCATTCAGGGCACGTGCCCAGGTTGTGGGCCAGATCCCCCGTGGGGGGCTTGCAGGAGGCGGCCAATCGATGTTCTCTCTCATTGATGTTTCTATCTCTCTCTAAAAATCAATAAGAAAAAATAATTTTTTTTTAAGAAAATAGGAACTCTTTTGGCCAGTTTCCTTAATAAGAGGCTGACAGAGCTTCAAAAGCATTTTTCATAACTTTATCCCTCTTTGGCCATCATTCATGGTTCTTCATTATCAACATATTTGTTCCAATTTTTGTGAATATTTTTTTACTATTTAGGTCTCTTGCATATACAATAAAAAGTTCTCAAAAGTGTTTTCTGTCAAGGGCAAGGTCAATGTCTTTAACGTGGCCTCTCATTGACTTTCACCCTACATGTAGATTATTTATTATTATCTTTATTAATAGTAGGCCTGTTAAAGAGCATCAGTGGAGCCCAGGTGGTGTGGCTCAGTGGCTGAGTGTCGACCCAGGCACCAAGAGGTCATCGGTTCAATTCCCGGTCAGGACACGTGCCCGGGTTGTGGGCCCGATCCCCAGTGGGGGGCGTGCAGGAGGCGGCCAATCGATGTTCTCTCTCATCAATGTTTCTCTCTCTCTTATCCTTCCTCTCTCTCTCTAATCAATAAAGGAAAAGAAAGAGCACCAGTTGATACATCCCTTGCTAATTCAGAAAAACAAAGGTACCGAGCCTTCTTTATAGGTTTTTCAGACTAGCATCGGGACACTCACGTGCTGAACTTGATCTCTGTGCTGTGTCCTTGAACGTGCTGATGGACCGTCTCTCGAAGTGCGATCACAGAGCAGTGGCTGACAAGAGGTCTTCGAGCGGGAGCGGGGCCAACTCCGTTTGGCAGACTCTCCAGGCTGCTCCTGCGTGTGATCCGTGCAGAGACACGAGCCCCTCACGGGCTGGGCAGAGCTTGGGGGCCCCAACAGCCTGTTCCACTCTTTTCTAAACACGCAAGGGAGCCCTTCTCATCACTCGGGGTACAGTTTGGAAGCTGATTTTATTGCCAACATTTGAGTCTATGTCGTTTTCTCCGTTTCAAATAAAAACATTAAGGTCTATTTTTCTTCCACTCACAAAGAGGTGGTCTTACTGTCCGGGTCTCTTGGGCAAGGGATGAAGTGCTGGGGAAGGGTGAGTGTCCCCGAAGACAGCTCCCTGCCGCCTGGCAGCTTTTGCTCAGTGTGGTCTGTTTGTCAGGATGTCACTTTCATGTGACTAACACCCTCCAAGATTAACTGCTTATTTCCCGTGGATCATTGGACTGCTGAGCCCTTATTGGTGCGCTCTCATTTTTGACGCATGGCGAGACCCACTACTGGTCTGGTTGTAGAGTTGACCGGGCAACCAGGATGAGTACCAGGCTGGGCCTGCTACTGGTAGTGCAGGGACAGTGGGAGACTGTCCTTACTGATGGACAGACGGTCATCACTCCTCGGATACCTTCCGACTTCCTCACAGCTTTTGTCTCAGAAATAGTACAGCCGTCGGTGATCACAAAACAATGTTGGCCAAGGGAAAAAAATCACATTTTTGAAAAGTATTATTGAGACCTAGGAAGAGACCTCTTTACAGAAAGCCAAAATGGACACTGGAAACAATAAACAGTTGTATTTTGTTGAATGCAGAGCTCAGACTGGAGAGAAAGTTGAAGATGAGAGTGGAACCCGGAATATTTGAGTGGACGAGATGGGAGACCGGCAAAACCGCCCCAACCTTCATGACGCTGGACGAGCTGAAGGAGGCGAGTTTCAATGTCAGCACTGAGTACAGGTAGGCGGTCCTCCCGGACCTGCAGCGGGGCTCCCGGTGAGGAGGGACGGCTGCAGTGGGGTCGTTTGGGGCAGGGAGACTGGACGGACTCTGATCGCGATTAGGACACACGGGGCGTGTAGCTGAGGAGCAGGGTGCGGGGTTGGCGGATGGCAAAACATTTTAAGAGAGTAGGGTCATTCTTGCTAAACTGACCTAGCAGGATTCTTTCTAAAGGCAAACCAGGATATCAGAAGGGAGGGGGTGCTCAGATATCAGGAAGAGGGATCAGAGATCCAGGGTGGGGAATTCTTGCTAAACTGACTTGGCAGGATTCTTGCTAAAATGGACTCTACCCGGACAAGCACCAAAGCCCAGAGTTCGGGCCTGTGGGGGAGAGGACAAGAGCTCGGTCAGAGAGCATCTGTGTCGTTCTCTGCCCGTGGCTGACTGCCCCCCCAAGCCCGGGGGGTGTTCAGCGACGCTGCCGGGACGGAGCGTCAGCCCTTTGCCAGTTTTGAGTGCAAACCTGGAGCCGCACGGCTGGCGGGAGCCCTGCTCTGGCAGGGCCGCCCTGGAGAACGCGTCCTTCTCCAGCTGACCACGGCGCAGCCCTAGTCCTCCCGCAGGCCGGTGGCAGCCGTCCCTCTCCTCCCTCAGGCCTGCGTTCCCCTGCGCCTCCCTCCTGCCGGCTGAGAGCTACAGCGAGTACGTGGACAGGTGTGTGGCCAGCGTGAAGCAGATGCTCAGCAGCTGCCCACAGGACGGTGAGTGCCTGCCCTGTGCCCGGGTGAGCAGCCCCCGGGGCTGGCCTCTCACCTCTGGGATGGAAACCAGACCGTTTCTTGAACTTGATCATTCCCCAACCTCCCAGCCAGAGTGGTACATCTGCTTTAACCGAGCACAGAGAAACACTCCTTGGCCACTCAGGCCCTGGGACCCCCATTCCATTGCGGAGAGCCCGGGGGACCCAGGACAGCAGCGGCAACACAAACCACAGACTAGGAACCGAACCACCAAACGTCAAGACATGTTTGAATGACAGTGAGAAGAACATGAGTATAAGTAGATCGTGGAGACCTTTGGAGAAGTTGGACTATGGAATTGGAGTGTGGAAATACTGAGGAGGCTTGTTAGGTGTGGTAACAGCAGGATGGCTGTGTTGGGTGCAAATGCAAAGCCCTTGTCCTTCGGGGGTGCAAACTGAGCCGTACTCGGGGAGGGCGCGGTGCTTGCCATAAGCTCTAAGATAAAACCGGGGGGTAGAGAGCAGATGATACAAAGTGGGCTAAATGTGGGCGCTCCGTGATGGGTTCCGTATGTGCGGTTCCATCAGACCCTTCCTTGGTGTATATTGGAAATGTCCATAGTGAAACTTAGGAGTCAGTTTTATAAAAATGTAAGTTAGCAAATGTGTACTGAACACCAGCGATGTGTCAGGCATTAAACAAAACATCCCAGGGAGGAGGTCTGAGTGGAGAAGTCACACTCTACCCTCATGGAATTGGAATATTGTTGTGGAAAGGGGCACAAACACCTGGAATATTAGGGACATTAATAACATGAAGAAGAGTCTCAGAGTCGGTAAGAGACCACCTGGTCTTCTTCCCCACCTGTGTTCTCTCCGTCCCTGACCCTCACCCCAGAGATGCTCCAGGGATGAAGAATTCTGCTGACAAGGAACACGGGGAGGAGCTGAGCACCTGGCCCCTCCCAGAGAGTCCCCAGTGCACCTGGGGCACATGCTCCGAGAAACCCTACAGGAAGAGACCCAAACCTTGCCGAACCCAGTGCCCCAACACATCTGGCCCCGAGGATGGTTCTAGTGCCTGTTTTGACTGATCTGAATGTGGGAACACACTTTTGGAAACTACACCTTAGTGACACTTGATTAACTATCAAACACCTGTGGTTACAGTTATTGCCACGGGACATCAGAGGACGGATAGTGACATTAGAGCCTTTCACTGAGCTTTCGGGCCCCACCTCAGCTGGCCCCTCTCTGGCTGTTTCATTTCAAGCCTCCACCACTAGCTGAATGTCAATGTCCAGGGGTGATCCTTTCTCCAGTGACCCCGGTGTCTGCTGGACACCGTGTGCTGCTCTCCGCGGGGAGTACAGCTCCTCAGTCCAAGCCGGTGGCAAGTGGCCGAGGCTCTGAGCAGGCAGCACTGGGGAGCAGAACGAGCAGGATTGGGGGAAGGCAGACGTGCCCTAGGAGGAGGAGGAGCACATGAGCCAGGCAGGGGGGCGAGCGGGGAGGGACAGTCCAGCTGGGCCAGAGGGTAAACGCTGATACCTAGCGATGCCCTGGCAGGGGTGGGCCCTTCACAGACAATACCCGTTAACCCCTCGCCTTCGTGTGGGGTCTGAGAGACCACCTCCATTTGTACCTGGTGACGTAGAAGCTCAGAGGGGCCGAGAGGTTTGGGTGCTGGAGAGCACAGGCCAGGAGTCAAACCTGTGTCTCTGCCCCCAGAACAGCATCCTGACAACCAGCCACCAGTGTGGAAGCCAAAGAGATGAGTTTGAAATGAGTAGGAAATGTCACAGGGAAAATGGATGGGAGCTTCAGCATTGGAGAATGTGTAGTCACACTAGGAGGGGATGTGAACGGATGTTCCGTGTCAGCCTGGCCTTCAAAAGGAAGCGCTCGGTCTGATTTCCTCCTCTAGGTGGAGCCGGTGAGTCCGGCCAAGGCGCCCCCGACTCCCCAGTGGGTGAACCTCCCCAGTTCTGCTTTGCCCTGTCACCTGAGGGAGACTCACTCAGCCAGTGGACTCTGGATGTCCTTATCCAAAGTGACTCATCAGCAGGCTTATTGTGATCAACTGGCTGATAATTCTCAAGCTAATTGGATCAGGCCTGGGCGGCAGCCACCACTACATCCCCTGAGAGGTGGAGACTCAGATCACAGCTGGTGGCTCAGATGAAGGCCAGGTCCTGTCCCTGAAGCTCAGGGGCAGGAGCTGCCGCCCCAGACCCTGCCTGGGGATGAGATACACCCTGAAGAACCAACCGCATGCAATGAGAGGCGGGACTGCGTTACTGAACAATCACTTTAGTGTGGCTCTATTTTTCGTCCTATTTCTCCTGCTAATTACAGCAGTCCTTTTAACATTTCTTGCAGTGCTGGTTTGGTGCTCATGTATTCTCTTAGATTTTTTTTGTCTGGGAAGCTCTTTATTTGACCTTCTATTTTGAATGATAGCCTTGCTGGGTAGAGTAGTCTTGGATTCAGATCATTGTTTTTCATGACCTTGATTACCCCATGCCATTCCCTTCTGGCCTGTAGGGTTTCTGTTGAGAAGTCAGCTGACAGCCTTATGGGGTTTCCTTTGTAGGTAACCTGTTGCTTATCTCTTGCTGCTTTTAGGATTCTCTCTTTGTCTTTAATTTTTGGCAGTTTAATTACTATGTGTCTTGGTATGGGCCTGTTTGGGTTCTTCTTACTTGGAGCTCTCTGTGCTTCTTGAACTTGAATGCCTTCTTCCTTCACCAAATTAGGGAAGTTTTCTGTCACTATTTCTTCAAATATATTCTCTAACCCTTGCTCATTTTCTTCTTCTTCGGGGACTCCTATGATGCGAATATTATTATGTTTCCGGTTGTCCCACAGTTCTCTTAAGCTGTCTTCCTGTTTTTTAATTGTTTTTTCCTTTTGTTTTTCTGATTGGTTGATTTTTTCTACCCTATCTTCTAATTCACTGATCCGGTCCTCAGCTTCCTCTACTCTGCTGTTTAGACCTTCCAATGTGTTCTTTATTTCTACTATGTCATTCTTTATTTCTTCTTGGTGGTTTTTAATTTCCAATTGGTTGATTTTCAATGCTTCTATGTCTTTACTCATGGTGCTCATGTACTTACACATGCTGTTGAGCTTCCTTAAGATCATGGCTCTGAATTCTAGCTCTGTTAACTTGCTTAACTGCATTTCATTTATCTCATCTTCGGTAGAGGTCTCTTGTTCTTTCATTTGGGATTTGTTTCTTTGTTTCACCATTTTGGCTATCTCAGTGGGCTTTGGAGCCTGCCAAATTTTCCCTGTAGATGTTAGTGTTCTGCTGTTTGTGGCTCCCTCTCCTGGGTTTGGATGAGCATGGGCGGTCCCACGTTAAACACCACTGTCAAGTCTTACTTTCCTGGATAGAGTTGCAAGCCAGGAAAGGTACAGTTATCCTCTAGCTTTTTGCCTGGAGGCTATTAGTCCGGCTATTAGTCACTGTTACTTGAAGAGCGTTGGGTTCTCAGTTGAATGAAAAACTCCCTCAGGTGCTCAGTGTAAGGGGATTTCCCAAGGATGGGGCAGATGCTGGGTGTTAATGGGCCTCAATTTACATTTCAATGGCCCCCAGGTGGGGTTGAATCTCCGAGGGAGGGGCCACAGCCTCTCCCCAGAGCCCTGGGAAGGAGTAAGATGGCTACAGTCCTGTGTGGCCACAACTCAGCAAAAGCTCTGAGCGCCCTCCAATTTCTGAGTGTCCCCACACAGTTCCAGTCCAGTCTGCCCTCCCTCTGCCAGAGCCCAAGGCGAGTGGCTGTGGCTATTTTAGCCTCTGTCCCAGCTCTGCACTGTGGAGCCGCCTGGGAGTGTAACCCGAGGGCGCTGCTCACAGCTAAGGCCGCTGCTGTCTGTGGGCTCCCAGACCCCATCTCGCGCCTCCGTAATCCTACCAGGATCGGTTCAGTGTCCCTGGTTACATGGTCCTTACAAACTGCTTTTCTGTTGCTTTTTCCCAACGATTTGTGGTTATTTTAGTTGTAATTGCAGTTTGGTCCTGGGAGACGGTCTGTGTAGCTCCCATTCGCTCCGCCGCCGTTTGGAATCTTCCCACTGAACAATTACTAACCACGGAGTCTCTCAAGGCTTTAGGGCACCATGAGGCAGTTTCACCCCAAGAACTTTGGGGACCCCCGATCTAATAAAAGGTGCTCTCTGTGCCGTCTTGGACCTTGAGCCGTTCTTTATTCTACAACAGGCGTCATCCTGATCGTGGGCCATGGCTCGACGCTGGGCTCCTGCATGCGCCCTCTCCTCGGGCTGCCGCCCCACAACTGCGCAGACTTCGCCCAGCTGGTGAAAAAGGTGCGTGCCCACACCTCCTCCTTGGACCACAGAGTCGCAGCCCAAGGACACAGGGTCATCACACTCCCTTCTCAGAATGAAAACAAGTGTCCTGACAGCCCAGGGCAGCGGGGACCCACCTGTGCCCTAAGAATATGCCCCCCTGCGCTTATGCAAAGGGCAGCCTTGGGCAGGGGGCTGGCGGGAGAGCTTCCTCCTCTTGATCATCAGTGTGGCAACTTGGGCCATTTGCTGCCAAGGTAACATAGAAAACAAGACCCGGGACTTGTCACAGGTCAGTTCCCATGATAACTCCTTGCAAGTTCAGTCGTGGAGCAGATGGTCCACAAAAGAGCGGACGGTTTGGAATCCAAGTGAAGGGACACTGGCTGGGCTGGCTTGTCTGGGGACCCAGGGAGACAGGAAGGAGCCCTGCCCCTCTTGCCTTGGTAGCCATCCAGCCGTGGGACACTCAAGAGCTTGTTGTAGATGCCCAAGTGCCCGGGGCTGGGCTGGGCTGTATCAACAATTACAGAATAATCGAACAGGTGCTTGGACCGACTTGTGGAACATCACCAACAAAACAAAGGTGGCTTTTATCCAGTTAATGAGCTGAATCTAGGCTGGCAGGCTCAGAAACTGAGACCCACCCCACCCCCACCCTCTGCCCCTGCCCCCAAAATCTACTCAGGGCTGGACGTGCCCTCTGCCCTTGTTTTTTGTTTTTGTTTTTGTTTTTATCAAATTGACCAATGGCCTTGAGACTGGGAGTCCAGTGGTGTAGACAACAGGTATGATAGAAGATGGGTCCCCAACATGGTTCCATCACAGGGGCAGCTGGAAACATCCTCCACCCCCTCCCCCAGTCTCTCTAAGCAGACAGAGGGAGTCATCCCTGAGTCCACAGTCACCTTCACTGGGATCCCCCACCCCCAAGAGGTGGAATTTTTGCAAATTCTTTCTGACCAGGGAGTTTCTAGACATTCAATAGAGAGAGGAGGAAAAGGAAAGCAAACATGTAACCAGAAAGGCCTTAAAAACAAAGATCTATTCCATCACATTCATCTTACAGCTGAGGGAATTGTCTCAAGTTCCACTGTGTCGTTGTTCTCTGGGGTCTGGAACATGACACCTGGATCTTTCCTTGATGCTAAATTTGGGGACATACGCCAGTCTTCAAACAGTAGACAGGGTTCTCAGCTCGGCGCTGTAGACACGGGGGCAGGCTGACTCTGCGTTTGGGGGCGTCCTGTGCTTTGTGGTATGTTAGCAGCACCCCTGGCCTCCACTCACTGGATAGCATCCCCCCCCCCCCAGTGTGACCAAAATAACGTGTCCAGGCCTTTCCCACTGTTCTGGGAGCTGCCATGTCAGGTACCACGACAGCAGTGCCTGTCTGGGCACATCGTGCCAGCCTCCCAGGCGTGCCTGCCTGTTGGCTTTGGAACAAGCTTAGCGTCGATGGCGCTGGTATAAACTATTCAGAAGTGATCCAACTCTGTTCTAGATCCCGTCCCTGGGAATGTGCTTCTGCGAAGAAAATAAGGAGGAAGGGAAGTGGGAGCTGGTGGCCCCTCCCGTGAAGACGCTGACCCACGGCTCCAACTTCGCCTTTCACTGCAGGAGCTGGATCCTGGACAGCTAGGAGCCACCATGCTGTGTGCACCGCTTCACAACGAGGACACGGAGCGCAGAGGCTGCAAGACGCTGTGGCGCGGGGGTCTCAGCCTCGCCCAACGTGATCTGCAGCACAAAAGGCACTTTCGGGCTCTGGGAAGCCTGCCATGCTCGTGTTTCTTGCCGCCACCTGTGGCTCTGTGACCCTGCGGCTCTGTGACCCTGCGGCTCTGTGACCCTGCGGCTCACGGGCGCAGCTTTGTGATGCCACCTGGGAACGTGTCTGCCCTGTGGCCTGGAGGGAAATGAGAACTGTGACTGCAGTTTCCAGGAAGTAAAGACCCACCAGCCACACCCACAAGGAGATGTCCACTTTATTTCATATGTTCCTATTTGCCAACTTCCCAACCGTTTTCCCCTTTTCTATTATCATCACTCTTTGGCTATGTCGGGCAGAAAGAGGTAGAATGTTCAATGAAATGAGAAATTATCTCTCAGACAAAACCAAGAAACTGCTGTTTGGTGACCACACCCCTACGGGTAGTAGCTTCCTGTGGCTGCTGTCTCAAGTCACCACCACAGAGTGGTAAGGACAACACGGTCTTAAAACCCACACAGGAGTCCGGCCGTGTGGCTCAGTGGATTGAACATCCTCCCATGGACTGAGTGGTCCTGATTCGATTCCTGCTCAGGGCCCATGCCTGGGCTGCTGGCTTGATTCCCAGTAGGGGGCGTGCAGGAGGCAGCGATGGATGTTTCTTACATCGATGTTTCTATCTCTCTCTCTAAAGAATGAAAAATCAATAGCAAAAACATATAAAACCCACACACAATTATTCTGTTGCAGTTCTGGAGGTCCCACGTTCTTAGGTTGACAGGTTACATTCCTTCAGGGGGCCCTGGGGGAGGATTCATTTCATTGCGTTTTCCAGCGTTTAGAGGTGCCCGGTCTTGCCCTGTAACCTTCCTCTATCTTCAAAGACGGTGGTGTCACATGGTCAACTCTCCTCCTCATCCCTTGCTCCAGCGTCTCCTTGCCTCCTGCTTCTGATGCTCCTGCCCCTTTTGTGATGACATTGGGTCCGGGCTAATGTCCCCATCCACGATCTGACGTAATCCCCTCTGCGGGGGCCCCTTTTCCTGAGCACAGTTCTCAACCTGTGGGTCGAGACCCTTTGGAGGTTGAATGACCCTTTCACAGGAGTCGCCTAAGACATAACAGTAGCAAAATTACAATTATGAAGTAACAAGGAAAATAATTTTATGGTTGGGGTCACCACAGCACGAGGAGCTGTATTAAAGGGTCGCGGCATCAGGAAGCTTGAGGACCACTGCAAGGGACACACCGCAGGTCTGGGGTCCGGATGCGGGCGTCTCCGGGGCCCTTGTGAGCACAGCTCACCCAGCACCCGGAGCTGATACTTTGGGGGCCCAGGAGTGGGGATGTGAGCCCCACCCCCCGGTGGAGGTCGTTTTCAGCTTCTCCTTTGTCTCTTTTGATCAAGCAGAGAGGAGAGGTGGTCTTTGGAAATGGGAGTGGGTCCTGCCCAGACTAACAGGTAAGACAAGCCGGACAGGGACCCACCAGCACAACGAAAGCTGCCCGTGGGGGTAAAGTGGTGCCTCTGAGCTTGAGAAGCTGGTCCAGGTGGTCGATGGGGTCTCCCCCGTGGTGTCCTCTTACCCCAGCCCTGCTGAAGCAGAAGGAAATGTCCAAGTCTCAGAGCCGGCAGGGTCACGGCAGGGTCACAGCAGGATCACCGCAGGGTCACCGCAGGGTCACTGCCTGCCCTCACTCCTCTGCCCACTCTCCGGGGCCACACGGCCTCACTAATCACAGTGGGAGGGAGAGCTCTGCACCTGGCCGGTTTGGCTCAGCAGTTAGAGCATCGGCCCGTGGGCTGAAGGGTCTCGGGTTCAACTCCTGGTCAAGGGCACATACCTCAGTTACAGATTCAATCTCTGGCCCTGGTCGGGGTGGTGCAATAGGTAACCAATGGATGTCTCTCTCACGTCGATGTTTCTCTCTCTCTCCCTCTCTCTCTTCCGCTCTATCTAAAAGTCCATGGCTGAGGATTAACAAACAAGCCAACAGAAAAACTTTGCAAGTCAAGCCAATGGAATTTGGGGTGGTCCACAGATGTCTGGATTCACCCTCTCAGGGGCGAGGCTTCTGGGTCTCGTGCCCCTGGGTAAAGAGAGGGGCACGTGTCTCTTGCAAGGGACACCGAGATGTGCCTGAATCTTGATCTCAAGGTTAAGTGTGCAAAAGACACCACTTCGTTTATATTTTATAATTCTGGCTCTGGCCAGAGCGCCCCGCCCCCACCGTTCTGTGGCAATGACAGGGAAGCCCAGCTGGGTCAGTCAGGTTCCAGAACGAACATCGCCGTGAGGACTGAGTCCTGGGGGCAGTGCTGGACGTCGCAGTGATGGAAGTGTCTATGGACGTGCATCACTATTTGATTAAGTTTCCAACTCACTGAGCTCACGAGAAACCAAACATTAAAGAAAGAAAGAGATTTCTGACCACTCTCCTCTTTCTTCGTTCCTGTCCCTGTCTGTGCTGGTCCTTGGTGTTTACAAGCCTGACCCCTGCTGACGTCATCTGGAAATGGACGTCCTGTCACCAGGGACTCCCACCTCCCGCCCGCCCGCGGCGTCATCACCTGGGTCTCCTCACCTAGGGCTGGGGCGCACCAATCTGGAAAGGAACCCTCCGGGTTTCGCTTGCGTCCCCCTCACTCGGCGGACGTCCACGATGCTCATACACCTTGCAGCACAACAATGGGGTTCTTCACACCCCAGAACTCCATTCGTTCAGAGGCTGGAAGGTGGTGGAAATGGGAGGGGAGCCGGCCTGGGGCTGGGCAGCCAAGGCATGGAGGACCCTAACTCTGTGCCTGTGGTGGTGAAGCGCTTAGGGACAGGTCTGGGGGCCACTGCTACCGGCTAACACTCTCCTATGTTCATCTGAGAAGGGTCCTCATAATTCCCCCTGAACTCAGTCTTATGTTAGAATAATTTTAAGTGTTTTGGATATGAGTCATGTTGATGAATGTTATGAGCTGAATTGTGTGTCCCCCATCAAATTGATAAGTTGAAGTCCTAACCTCAGAATGTGCCTTTAAAAAGGTAATTAAAGTAAAATGAGGTCCCGAGGGTGGGTCCTGATCCTGTCTGACTGGTGTCCTTATGGGAAGAGGAGATTGGGACACAGACACACAGAGGGACGACCACGTGACCACGCAGGGAGAAGATGGTCATCCACACGCCAATGAGAAGCCTCTGGCGAAACCAGCCCTGCGACACCTTCACCCCGGGCTTCCAGCCTCCAGAATGGTGAGAACATCAGCATCTGTTATTGCAGCTGCCTGGTCTGTGGTACTTCATCACAGCAGCTCCAGGACACTAACACATGGAAAACATTGTGTACCTGGAGGGCTAACTCTCGGTCCGGTGGTGCGGCTCAGCACAGGCATCTGATAACTGGCGCCCTCTTGTGAACCTTGGAAGTACCCAGACCCATACACTGCCTCCCCTGACATTCGTTGCACTTACTTTCTTTTTTTACAGAGAGAGGAAGGGAAAGGGAGGGAGAGAGAGAGAGAGACATCGATATGAGAGAGAAACATTGATCGGCTGCCTCCCACACACCCCCGGCAGGTGCCCGACTGGAATCCATCTGGTGTCCTTCAGGTCCCCAAACAACTGAGCCACACTGGCCAGGGCTGCACTTATTTTCCAACCTTAAACATAAAACAAAAAGTATGTGACTCCTTGCAAGCAGTTTTGGGAGGAGTAAAGGCAAGAACACAGTCGCCCAAACGCCCTTCCCCCAGCCCTGGGCATAAGCAGGTCTGCTGCCGTTATCTGCCGAACGCGAGCTCCTCTCTCCCACCTCCACGTACTTCTGGGAGCCCCTGGGAGCTCATGGGTGCTCAAGAAGGAGCCCATCGAACGCACAGCCTCTGAGCTTCCTCCAGAGCCCGCTGCCCTTCTCAGCCCCTTACTCCGGAGGCCTCTGGGGGCTTCGCCAACCTGCCACTGGGAGGAAGCCAGGCACCCAGCTGGGGTCACTGCCCAGTGCTCCTGATGTGGCGTGGAGCTGGAGGAGGTCACCTCCACTCTGAGCCATGTTGTCGCCTGGTCTCAGGGGCCACAAAGTCCCACAAACAGCCTAACTGCTTCCCTCCCACTTCTTCAGACCCCAAATCAGCCCAAGGAGCGACAGAGGGTAAGGGTGGAGAATAGAGGTGCCTCTTCCCACCCGCGTGCAGAACCTCCATCTCTCCAGTCACACGCTGAAGGCCTGTTACATTTGCAGATGCCAGCACCACAAACCTGGAACCCAAGAAAGTCAGCTGAAGCTTCACCGTGACAAGAGGATTCAGCCAGGTGGCTCGCCTCAAAGATTAGGGTTGGACATCAATAGCTTTTGTTTATGCCACACCATTAGAAACTATGATGACAGAACATGTCCCATTTGCGTGGCTACGACAACAAAGCAAACACACTGACGGGAACTCGTGGGAACTTCCCCACCCCGCGGAGGCCGAAGAAAGGTGTGCCATGTCACCCCATGGAAGGATAAATGTCATCAAGAAGACCTCTCTCTAAATTAATCCACAAAGCGATCACAGGCCCATTGAACATGAAAAGGATATTTTGGAGGAGAGAAGTTCGTATGGGAAAACAATCATCCAGGAATAACTAACAAAATCCAAAAATAGTAATGGAATTAGAACATATTCTAGAGCTACAATAATTAAAAGTGTGGCAGTAGCCCTGGATTTTAGAGAGAGGTCAAGGGTTTAAATAAAAACACCCAGGAACTGGTCCTAAAATGTGGGGGTGTTCACACGTGGTAAATCAGATGATGGGGGGGCTTGGGGAGTCAGATGATTAAGTCAATGGTGTTGGGACAGTAGGGCCACCAACTGGGGAAAAGAAGGTTGGAATCATTGCTCACTCATTAAACACACACACACACACACACACACAATCAAAGAGTTACATAAAAAAAAAATGAAATTGTGAAACTACTAGTATTCATCATGTAAGAATTTCAAAAACTTATCTGAGTGGGAAGTTCTTTGTAAGCATGACAGACCGAACATCAAAGGAGAGATAGATACATTCTACTAAGACATTTTGCTGTTGTTAATCCTCCCCTGAGGATATTTTTTCCATTGATACTTTGTAGAGAGGGGGTTGGGGGGAGAATCCTCCATGGGTCGCCTCCCGCCCTCGCCTGCAGATCCAGCAACAGCTGCAGGGGCCTGTGATCGCTGGGCGGGGGTGGAGAAGAACCGGGTTGGAAAGGGACGGAGCCAGGCGCTTGTGGCGGGAACTGCCTGCGTGCTCAGCCGTGCACGGTTGTGGGGCAGCTACTCACTGGTGCCCCATCAAACAGAACAGCTCGGGCCAGGAACCTGAGGATGTAACACCTGCAGTTTTTGGTGGGGTCTCCAGCAGTGAGGCGTAGCGCCTGTGGCGGTGCAGTCCCGTGGCAGACGGGGGAGCAGTGAGCGTCGGGCTGTGCACCACACGCTTCATGCCCTGATCTCCCAGTAGCTCATGAACCACACTAAGGGAACAACCGTCATGGTCTTGCGGATCTCCCTGTAGCAAACAGTTCGAAACTATTGTCAGCAGAGTAGGCAGTGGCAGAGTGTGCCGGCAGAAACAACCGTGGGAAAAGAGGTGAGAGAGAGTTGGATCAGGCAGGGAATGAACAGCCATCATGATGGTTTTCTACATGGGCTGTCTGTGAATTCGTCAACTTTTTAGTTGGTAATTTTTTTGAAACTTGTCTATTCTATGTAAATGTTTGTTTTCATGTAATTGTATATTCATAATGCTGTGGGTTTTCTCTTCAAGAGGCCCGGATACTGTGTTCATAATGTATTGTTCTTGAAGAGGCCTTGTGTTTAGGGACATAAAGACCAGATGCAGGGCACGGCCTGGCGTTGGGCAGACCAACTGCGAAGGACATTCAGGGGGCACAGAAGACACTTGCCCTCTGAGGGACTCTGGGGACAGAGGATGGGTGACAGGGAGCTGACGAGATAGGAGGCAGGGGCTCCTCCAGTTTGTGACTACAAGGCTGGGGCCTGAGCTGGGGCTGGGGCAGAAAGGAGGGGCCAGGAGGGGCCAATACTCAGGAAATCTGGAGGTGGCCTGGGTGTTAGCCTCCTGCCCTCTAGGAGACCTGGAGAGTGTGCACTCAGGCCAAAGCCATGCCTGTGGACTGTCCTGCCCTCGGCCATCGGCAGGGATCCCCATCAGGGAGCCCCCAAATCCATGCTGACATGCTGAAGCCTTGGGAAGGGCAGAAGCAGACCCTCCAATGGCAGCTTCTGTGTTCTCACCTGAGCCTGAAATATGCTTACGGTGTTGTGTTCTATGAGAATCATGCACAGGCATTCTTACTAGCCAGGCATTTTCCTAGCTCTTGGGGACATTTGAGAGAGGAAGTCCAGGGTAACGACTGCCCGGCGTCCACTCCAGCACCGTCTTCCGTAGAGAACAGTGGCGTGGCCATTCTTTACCCCAGAAGACACCACTGCAAACCGGGGGAAATCACCGGTGACTTTTAGCTTCAAGACCTCGAAGCACAGGCGGTGTCATCAACAAAGGAGAATGAAAACTTTATTTGCAACTGTAACCCATTTGCACAAACAACTAAGTAAGAAAGAGTCGTAACTGTTAGTGCTAAGGGCCCGAGAGACCGGCCCGCGCACGGCGCAGCCCTCATTCCAGACGCCGTCTTAGTCCAGAGGGTCGGACTGTCGGGTGTCGTCTTCCTCAAAATTCACATTTCCTGGAAAGAAAAGGGAAACGTGAGCATGTTTGACATTGACCTTTTCTGGGTTAAGATTCTTTGTTTGCTAAGTTGGCATTTCGGACTGGATGACTCTGTCGTGGGGGCTGTCCTGTGTGTCGGAGAACATTTAGAAGCATCTCTGTCCTCTCCCCCAGAAGACACCAGTAGCACTGCCCGACCCTGCCCGGCCCTCCAAGTCTCCAGCATGGCCAGTGTCCCCGGAGGCCAAAACCCCGAGCTAAGGTGACGCTCCTTCTGTCCAGGCACCTGGAACCCGGTCTCAGACCCAGCCACTCCTGATGTCCTGGACGCGGCCTGACCTTTCCCAGCCGGGCTCTCAGACGCCTCGTCCTGAGTGCTGCTCATGCAGCCCCTCCTTTTGCTCCCCAACTGTGGCTTCTGCGTGGGGAAGGCCTTCCTCCCAGTGGACCCTGCCTCCTGCCTCTGGCCTGGCACCCACCCCCCACCTCCTCAGAGGAGCTCCCTCTTAGAGGCTCCCTCCCCCTGTGCTCAGGATCAGGTGTAAATGCCACCTCAAGCTCAAGGAAAGGCCATGAGAAAGGGACCCTGCCCTCTCCCCACCCAGGCTCTGCTGTCTCTGCCCGGGCAGTATTTTCTTCTCGGTTTCATCGTTGCCGCCACCTCCAGCCCTCTCCACCCACCTGGAGGCACCCCTCTCTCAGAAGTGCTCCCTAATGCTACTCCAGGTGAGGCATGCACCTGTCCTGTACCCAGCAGTCCCACAGCGGTCACACTGAGGTCGTAAAGGTGCCAAGTCCCTGCTGTCCTGCAAGCTTTCGGTCCACCCCACAGGGGCTGAGCAAGCACGGCGTCTCCCATGGGAGGTGCTCGGTACCTGCCCGGGACCCTCTCACACGCCCGTCTCTGCGCTATTTAGACGCTGTATGGACATGAGCCCACTCCAGCCTCACAGGTCGCGGGGCACTGTGCCTCTGAGGGGTCATTCTCCTCTGCATGAGGCAAACGAGGGACGCAGGGAGGCTGGGACAAACCGTCGCAGCACTAACTGGTGCAGCCAGGTTTCCAGGCCCCGGCCTCAGCCACGAGGCACACAGGTCTTTGGGGCACTACTGCAGCATGGGGACCTGCTGCCGACAAAGTGCAAACCTGTGTGTTTACAGCATTTAGAGAGAAAACAGCTTTACGTGACTTAATCATTTCAGATGTGATTTTCAAAAGAAAGGGAAATACATTTGCTCTTAATTTAGAGCAGAGACTAACTAAGTTGCAGGGACCCCAGGCCCAGGGACCGCGTGTGCCGGGCTGTTCCCGGAGCAGCGGTGGCCTGTCCTCCAGGACCCCCGCTTTACATCAGACACAGGAGATTGTTGTGAAAGCAGAGGCCCCTCCCTGCGCTTTCTGGACATGCCCTCGGCACTCCGGGAGAGATTTATAAAGATCCCAGGAACCTGAAGCCCCGAGCAGACTCAAGGTCATTCCTGCCCCAGGATCTGCTGAGGCAGAAGCTTCTAGATTAATAGTACATTCAAACCCACTTAAAAAGGCCTGGCTCCCAACACTGCCAGCTCCTGTGCCTCGGCCCTGGGACATGGTGTCATGACACCCAGCCATGCTACACATTTCTAACGGCCCTCTGCAGCCTGAGGTCTGCTCTCCAGGTGGAGACGGACATTAGCAAAGAGCAGAGAGCACAGGAGGTGCCCGCTGTCCCTGCCGCCGTGGGAGGGTCGCAGGAGTACCTAGGAGGGTCCGACGTGAGTCCAGAGATCTTCTCCCAGCCCCTCAGGCCTGGCTCAGGGACGCCATGGTCAGAGGAGGAGAACCCCGCAGCCCATCCCAGCATGTGTGTGGCCTCACTTCCCTCCTGCTCCCCCAGATCTCCAACTCACCCTGGTCTGTGGTGTCAAAGCGGAAGTCCTCCCCATTCTCCTCCCTGAAGGCATCAGTGTCTTCCTCTCCAGGCCTCATGAAATCAACCTCCCCATCTGAACCATCTGTTAGAGGCTGGGTCTCGTCCACAGCCTCCCCCCCACCTGCGATGAAATGGGAAACGGTGTCCAGCAGCGCGCAGGCCTGTGCAGGGGTGGCCGCTTCCTCCCCTTTGGGGTACCCACGGTCCCTCCTGCTGAGAGCATCACCCCACTTTTCCCTCAGGGGACCATGCCTCCCCAGTGGAAGTCACCCAGCTCCAGCCCAGGCCTGTCCAACAAAGCAGCCTGTCCCCTTGAGTCACAGTGACCGGTTCAGGGATGATGATTCTAGTTCCCACAGGCTTTGATGACCATATTGAGAAGAGAAACTCTCTGTTCCCCAAGGTTCTTGAGCTGATTGGGTGGCAATCTGATAACGTCAATGAGGATTAGTCTCCAAAGGGAAGAGAGCAGAGCCAATGCCTATGAGAGCAGAGACCAGACAGCTGAGGCCTGATCCAGCCATGCCTGAGGCTGGCTCTACCCTGACTCTCAAGTTGTATGAACCAATAAATTACTATAATTTCTCTTAGGCCACTTTGACTTGGCTTCTTTTTTAATCCTCACCTGAGGACATTTTTCCATTTTTTGTTCAGATAGAGTGGGAGGGAGAGAGAGAGAGAGAAACATCGACATGAAAGGGACACACAGAGTGGTTGCCACCCGCACGACCCAACCAGGGCCGGGGACAAACTGCAACCGAGGTACGCGCCCTTAGCGGGAACCGAACCCGGGTCTCTCTGGACCGCAGGTGGAGGCTCTAACCGCTGAGCCAAGCCGGCCAGGGCTGACTTGGCTTCTAATCACTTGCAATTCCTCAGCATCCCAGGCAGTCTAACTACTTCTCAGGAAGCCCATTGTGATGAACAAGGAACAGTAGGGCCCACACTTCTTCAGGGAAGGGCTTGTCATCCAGCTGCTGTCAGCTGACCTTCCTGAGGTCATGCCCACAGCCCATCATTGACCAAGGTGAGGGGATAAATGTTCCAAGGGACATTTTAGTTCCAGGGTTTCCCATGGAATCAACCAAGGTTGTTGAGGGCTTGGGCCAGGCCATGACTCTATCCAATCAATACTGCTGGTGACAGCCCTCCCACGCCCTGACGCTGTGGTCCCAAAGCCTCTCCCTAGAACCCCCTGCGCACAGGAGGGACCAGGCGTGGGCCCCCAGGAGCCTGGCCTGCGCAGAGGCCGCGCTCAGCCCACCGCACCCCTGCAGGCGCCGTACCCTCGGCTGCCAGGGCCTCCTCCTGGCCAGGTACATCCACCGGGGACTGCTCCTCCACGAGGGTCGGTGTCCACAGGGCCAGTTCTGTGATTTTGGTCGCTTTCCATTTGGGAATGACAGTTGTCAATGACTCCTCCTCCTCTTCTTCTTCCACTCGTTCCTGCATCGAAAGTGTGAATTGGCCAACGCGTGTGTAAACTCGGTGTGAGCTACTTAAAGGAAGGGGAGAAAGGGTAGGTTTGTGATTGCATTCGAGCGGTTGTACGGCACGATTCAGTGATCAGACCCGTTGCCGACCATCTGGGTGCCGTCTGAGGGTCGAACGCGGCTCTGGAAGGAACTAGGAAGAGAAGGGCGGTGCAGTGGGGCCTGTACCTCCTCCCCTGGCGACGCCGGGAGAGCCCGCGGGCACCCGCTCCCGGCGCCGGGGCGGGAAGACGTGACCAAGGCGGAATGCGCCGTGCAGCGGCTCGGCCACATTCTCCCTCCAGCGTCCTTCCGCGTAATGACGCGAACACCACGGACGACCGTGCAGTGCCGTCGGAGGGGATACACGCTACAGCTCTGGTCTCACGGATTCCGGAGGGAAAAGAGAATCCCAGAGCTTCTGCTTTCCATCACTCGGCCCACAGGAGGCCATCCACGTCATGCCACGACCCATACCACGGAATATAAACCTGAAGCGACGTCCGCATGCGTGTCTCTATTCCCAACACCCACTTTTGTTCCATTTCCGTTTTTTTGAATGTTACAATCAACTGAATTGACATCATGACTCAGGAACAGGTGGCAACGTGTACTTTGAAAAACATCGTTCTAGGACGAGAGTCAGTAAACTTTTCTATCAACTATTCTGGGCTCTGCTGGCCACCTGGTGTCTGTGGCCACCACTAACCCTGCCACTATAGCTCAAAACAGCCACAAATGGCACATAAACAAAACAGAACAGGGTGCGGACCCAGTGCACTGCTCGGGGGACTGTACAGTGGTGCGGCCACCGCGGAAAGCTGTTGGAGGTCCCTCATAAACCTAACCACGGAATTACCGTATGACCCACCACGTCACCCATAGGTATACAGAAGGATCGAAAATAGAGGCCCGGACAGGTATTTATACACTAACATCTGTCGCAGCATTATTCAGGGTAGCCAGGAGGTAGAAACAACCCAAGTGTCCGTCCCTGGACTCTTCTTCAGCCATAAAAAGAAGGAAATTCTGACACCTGTTACAACGTGGACAAACCCTGTGAACATTATACTAAGTGAAATGATCCGGACACGGAAGGACACATGCTGTATGACTCCACTTAGGTGAACACTCTAGAACAGGCAAATTCGTAGAGAGAAAGTAAATCAGCAGTCACCGGGGGCTGGGGGGGGGGGGAGTGTGGGAAGGCGAGATGGGTTTTAGGGAGGGCCGTGGGGATGGTCGCACAGCAATGGGAATGTGCTCAGCGCCGCTGGATTGTACCCTTAATGTGGTTAGAAGGACAAATATACATATTTTACCACACTGGAAAAAATGAAAACAGGCTGCCCACAGGGCCATGGGCTGCAGGACACCACCCCTTCTCTAAGGGAATGCGGTCCTCTTTGGGGGCCAGAAGTAAAAATTCAGGCTTTTCTCTTTTACCCCAGTCTGATCATCACCAGAGCACAGTGGTGGCCGTGGACAAAGCCGCTCGAGTCGTGCGCCTAAGTTCACGGGCTTATTCCTGATGGGAACTGGGGGAGGGGGGCTTATATCAGTATTTCCCCACTTAGATGTTACTGATGTTCTGCCTACTTTCTTCTCATCATCCTGAAACACCGACTTCTAACTTAACTCCTGCCTGGAGGGCATGAAACGGAAAAAGAATGTGTGTTTTATTTTTATCACCTCACAAGTTAAAGTAACTGCTCCGTCACAAGTAAGACTACAGAGGCTAGATTTGTGACCAGGGGCAGCACAGTGGATTTAGCCGACAGGTTCCTTCAGGGCCCAGGCAAGAGGTGTCCCACCCCAGGGAGCGCGAAGCAATGAACGGTCACTGCCACGGGCTAACAACAAAGCCGGGTGAGCGTGTGTTAAGCTCTTGACTGGCGTACGGGCTACATACAGACAAACGCGCTCAGACTAGAACCATGTGAGAGGGTGACCTGTCCCTGAAGACCGCTGGGCACCCTCCTGACACGCAGACCAGATGTCCTGGGAACCAAGAAGACGGATGCTCAGGGGTGTCGGGGGCCTCAGTTTTAGCAACAAAAGCAAGCATTTTGGCCATTTCGGGTTGTGTAGTTAACCGGGAAATGACCCTGGCCCTGGCTCCCGTCAGCTGCAGCAAAGGGGCTGCGGAGCCAAGCAAGGGGAATGGCCAAGGGACAGGTCGTCGAGATTCTGGTCACAGCAAAGAAAGTGGACACTGACTCGCAGAACCTGGGGAACCATGGGCTGTTTGGGGAGCGAAGGGGCTGTGGCGGGGTGATACAAAGGAAGTAGAACACCATAGGAGAGGAACCAGGAAAGGGGGCGCAAGGGCCTGCCTGGGTGGTGGGGGTGCCCTAGGCATGCCCTGGAGCTGTGGGGTGCCGGGGGATGCCCGAGGTGTTTTACTAAGTTGCCTGTTATCTACAGGCCTTGGCCAGACAATAGCAACAGAAATATAAACACGGACATCCCTTCCCTCAACACACACACACACACATTTGGATACTGAATAATGACAAATTAGCTGGTTAATTTTACTATGAACCACCGAATATCAATTCGAATATTAATATTAATGTGGAGTGTCGGAGAGGAACAAAAAGCGAACACTGTAAGTGGTGCGCAGCATCTGAACACACCTGAAACGCTGAGTTTTTGCACGAATTTGGTGATGTCACGGGGACAGATGTCAGTCATCGTTTCTGGGACCTAACTGTCCAGAGCCCTCTGGCTGGCCCAGAACTAGCTGGTTCCTCTGCAGGGAAACTAAGTCTAGATTTCAGTGATAACTGTGAGATGATACCGTTTAGCTCTGGCAATTCCGTTGTAGACGGACTCGCGCACGGGGAGAAGGAGCGTGGACACATGCAGGTCCCCTGCGAGCTGGCACAACTTCTCACCCCTCCCTCACGGGGCCAGGGTCTCTGAGCAGCTCCCCCGCCCACGGGGGTAGGGACCGACGACGACAGACCTCCGCCACTCACCGCGTCTGTGAGCCGGTACTCCCCATGCTGCTCACACCCAATGTCAAACACGTACTTCCCAGGGCCGACGGGCTACAAGCAGAGAGAAGCCAACAGGTACCTCACTCTTGAGAGTCAGCACCCAAAAGACAGTCCAACATGCTTTAGAAATTGTCACCCCCATGAAACCTACCAACATCACGTGATGAGGGAAGCCCAGTATCGGTCAAAGGATGCTTTTAAGAACTAATGGCTAACGGAATTGCACAGTATGGGGCCTGTTTGGTTTGGGTTTGAAATTGTAACGACCTTTTATCTCTTTATAAAAGTCATGTACTCATTACACAAGGGTTACTAAGTCAATAGCCACAGGCAAACTATGCTAAAATACTTCGATGTGATCTCTGTAACCTTGTTTCTAGGACAGAGGTTTGTTTTATTAAAAATCTGATCATAATTACGTATACCGACTCCTGCTCTGTTTTCACGAGAACTACGGCACGGGTGGCTCCCCACGTGGACGGAGATTCTGCCACAGCACCCTCTGCCAACCTGCTATTGCATCCCACCTGAGAACTGTCGGCTACTCGTGCCTACTGCTGCCGCTTGGTCTGCTGATGCGTTTATTTGACGAAGTCCGCTGCAGTAAACAGATTCTGGGTTCAGTCGCGGTGTACACTTTTGAGAGTTTCCTCAGGGTAAATGTTCAGAAGTCACATTTCTGGACGGAAGCACGTACAGTTTGTACACACGAGAATGAGGTCCCCACAGCAGCGTGAAGAGCTTCTTTGTCCTCAAACCTTGTTCTTTTTCTGGACCTTAACAGTTTGCTCTATCTTTAAATTTTTTTAATACATAAAACATCACTTGGCCCAGCCTGTGTGGCTCAGTGGATTGAGTGTTGTCCCAAGGACTGAGAGGTCCCAGTTCAATTCTATCAGGGCACATGCCCCGGTTGCCGGCACTATCCCCAGTAGGGGGCGTGCAGGAGGCAGCCGATCGATGTTTCTCTCTCACATAGATGTTTCTCTCTCTCTCTCTCCCCCTTCCTCTCTCTCTCAAAAAAATAAATAAATAAAAATATTTTTTAAAATTACTTCAAGCCATATTAAGTTTTATTAGTAAGGTTGAATTTTTTTCAACATTGTGGCCATTTAAATCACATTGATTGACATAAGTGCTTTATATATTAAAGGTTACAAATATCCTAACCCCACTTATCATATAACTCTTAAATTTTCTTTATAGCATTTTCTAATCTATAAGGGACTGTTTTTATTAGGCAAAATCTCCCGGTTTGTTGTTTATATTTTTGTTTAGAAAGCTGTCCTCATTTTAAAGTTAATAAATACTCATCTATTTTTCTCGCTGTGATTTTCTTGTTTACATTTAAGTCTTGATTTCTTCTAGAAAGTATCTTTATCTATTTATCTATAAACTGGAGGACAAACTCTGATTTTATTTTTCTCCTAAATGGTTACCTAGCTGTCCCAGTACCATTTCTTGACTTCTCCCATCATTTCTTTATTAATTCGAAACGAATTCCTTATCACACACTAAATTATTATCCATACTTGTTTCTGTCTCTAGACTTTCTGCTCCGCTGATATCTCTACCCTAGTAAACACCCAGGAGAGTTCTGCTGGGAATCACACGTACAATGTGTGGATTTGAGGAGAATGTGCTGTTTTACGAAGACTAGCAGGAGAATCTGTAATTAGGGCATGGATTATATGTAACTGAGATCAGAGTTTTAACGGAGTCTGAAGCTACTTCATTCAACCAGCTAAGTGTCCCTGTGTCAACTTCTGTCCCCTTTGATGTGCTCAGCAAACCCTTTCTTCAGGGAAAGTGTCTGCCTGGCCCTGATCCGAGCCGTGGTGAATGCCAGGCTGGTGGGTCCGCGTCAGTCAGGGTTTCTCTGCATCCCACTAGGGCTCGGACAGAAAGGCAGAGTCCCCCCAACAGAGGTGACCGGCGTGGGTGCTGTGAGTGGGAGGCCTCAGACCCGCACATTCAGGGCGGTCCTCGGGTTCTCGGTCCCCCCGCCCGCTGGCGAGGAAGGGCTCGTGGTCTTCCTCCCCAGCTCCAGCCTCACGCCCCCCCCCCCAGGGGAAAGAGAGTCAAAACCGCCCCCTGCTCAAATCGGAATGTGTTCAGTCGTCCTGACAAATAAGGATCTCACGTCTGATTCACCCCTGGGACCGACACGACAGGCGGTCAACGTGCCCTGTGTTACAAGAATGTGACAGACCACTGCTAGAAGAGACTGGGATTCACTGAGATGCAGAGAAATGGCCACGCCTCCCCATCCACGTGCCCTCTGTGGGTGTCAGGACACTTGGAGGGAGGCACAGCTGCCCATTGCTCATATTCGCAGGAATGGGAGGATTTTTCTGAGATTTTTGAATTTTCCGTTCCACGGATACACAGACTGGGGAGGAGGGAACTGCGTATTTCACTGACAAGCATCACTTGCCGCTGACTTACGTTTTTGTTGAAGAACTTGCCCTGGTACCTGTGGTTCAGGTGAATGAGCTCGGCCGCGCCCTCCTGCTGTCCATTCACCCAGGTCCCCACGTACTTGCTGCCGGTCTCCATGTAGACGTAGGTGCCCTGCCCGTGCCTGGTGCAGACAGGGAGCACAAAGCCTTTTGTTCCAAAGCACTGAAAACCTTCCAGGTGTATAAGACGGCATTTCAGCTGAGGGTGGCTCGGTAGACGCAGGATCACAAGCCACCTGCCCCATCGGAGCAAGCCTCCTGCTCACTGTGCCCAAGCATGGGGCAGGCATCACCTGCAGGACAGCAGGGACTTTCCTGCAGGTCGGCTGGCTCTCATGCTAAGAGGCAGCACTCCTGGGAGCTGAGACTTGGTTCCCAGAAGTTTCTTCTTCTGTGCCCTCACACCCCGGGGCTCTCGGGTGAAGGACCCACACGCTCTGCTCTGCAACCCTGCACCTGCCCCATCATGTATCATCCAGCAGCCTCAGCTTAAAGTCAGAAGGGTTTGAACTGCCTGGCAGAGTTGGTTCGTGGACTTTTAACATGATTCTTTTTCTTAATAAGACATCATCATATTCTCATTACATGAATCAATCTACAGAACTAAAGAGAGAACCGAACCTTTGGTGAGCAAACCAGTCTCCGGTGTAGGTGTCGTTGTTGACGTAGTAGTAGATGCCGTGGCCATGCCTGAGGTCATCCGCCCACTCCCCTGGAAGAGAGGACACAGAATCAAGCCCTGGGGAGAAGCAGGGAGCCTGCCCCTCACTGCCTCTCCTCTCTGGCTTCCCTCCCCGCCCCCTGCCTCGCCGGATGGCATGGAGTGGGGAGCTGGCTAAGGGAGGCCAAGTCAGAGGATCACTGAGCACGGGCCTGGGCAGGGGTATGTATGGGGGCCACAGTCACGTGTGCAGCCAGCAGGCGGCCAGCAGCACCGCGAGGATTCAAACCAGGGCGTTTGCCCTATTGCCAGAGGCTCCAACACCACCCTCCCCTGCCTTTCGTGTGTTTAGTGATCTAGCAACCAATTCAAGGCCTGATACTCAGCCACGTGCCAGCACTTCACTCCCTTCCACACCTCACTACCCGGTTCCGAGGTACCTTTCCAGCCCAGCCGCCCAGGGCAGCCCCGCCTGCACCCAGCTCGTGCCAGTGGGCACCGCGCCTTTGCCAACCAGGCCTCTGTGCGGACTCCTCCCTCGCCTGAGCGGCCTGGCCTCCTCATCCCCGTGTAGGGTCCTGCTAATTTCTTGCTGACTTGACAGGAAATACTGAAACTGGCAAAGTGATCATAAAATTCATAACACACCCCTGCCATTAGGACAACAGCTAACTAGTTGATGAATGTCGTCAAGTGAAAGGTACTAAAGCCCTGGCCACTGTGGCTCGGTGGATTAAAGTATTGTCCTGTGCACCAAAAGGTGGTGGGTTCGATTCCCAGTCAGGGCACGTGCCCCGGTAGCAGGTTTGATCCCTGGGCGAGACGTATGTGGGAGACGCATTCAGGAGGCAACCAATCAATTGATGCTTCTCACATTGATGTCTCTCTCTCTCCCCACCCCCCTCTAAAATCAATAAAGAACTTTAAGCACTGAAGGTATTCTTTCACTGGAAACTCACAATGTCCTCAAGCCTTGCAGCTCACACATGAAAGAACCTTAATAGAAGTTCCCAAAGTACACAACTCCCCTAAAACGAACATGAGAACTGACCTCCAGGGTAGAAAAATATATTCAGTCTTTTGCAGAAATTTTTCAAAAATGAAAGAAAAAAATTAAATTGCAAAAGATACTAAATTTAAAGCCAGGGAGGACTGTGAGCAAACTTTTTAAAAAGTCCCAGTTTACCTAACAGCTTGCTAGAGACTCTGCCCAGCAGACTACAACCCACTGATAAGAATCGTTATCATACTCCGAACTGGATTGTATCCAGTGAGCTGTGCAGAGCTGAGGAAGGTAGCTGAGGGGAAGGGCATCTCCTGGAGCTGGTCTTTAACAGCTGTTCCCCCTTGGAAGTGAGTGCCATGCTAAAAGTGTATTACTGTTGCTTTAAATTTAAAATTAATTTTATTTTTTAAATCTTTCTTCCCCTAATCCCTTACTTTCTCATCATTCTTGATCATGTCCGCTGAAGTTTTTTTTCAACTACATTTCTTTTCTGGAGAAACCTCTACAGTTGGTTGGTTGGTTGGTTGGTTGGTTGGTTGGTTGGTTGCTGGATTGGACTGTTTTATTCTCTGGAAAAGTGCCTATCGGTTAAAAACCTCTCCATCCTGCCATCTTCCCCGTGGCTCCCTCTGGATCTGGTGCTCTGGGACTAAAGACCATTTAAAATGTAAAGCCCTCACAAAATAAAGGAGAACAAGATGCTCTCCCCCATCCGAAACACAAGTAGTCCCTGATTTGCCCTGCTGCTCCCCACCACCACCACCACCACCGACCCTGCTGGCTCAGGGAAACACAGAAGACAGGGAGAGAGCGTTAGTGGAGACCCACCAGCTAGGGTCTTGCACTCGCCACCTCATCTGGAGTGTGTAATAGCCACAACACGGTTCGCAGATGAAGCTCTGAGAACCAGCGAGGCCGTGCATGTGGCCCAAGGTCACACAGTGGAACTATAAAGGAGATCGGCGTTTGTTTGGCTCCACCGTGTCATGTTCTCTTCTCCACAGCACCCCAAGAGCCAGGCACTCATTTCTTCCTCCCACTCCTGCCATCTGCGAGCTTCCAGAAAAGACAACTTCGGTCGTACCAGCTTGTTTCTGCAAAGTTTCATTGTTAAACGTCTTCATTTGTATTGGTTCCCTGTGGCAGGCCACAGGACCAGCATGGACAGTACGCTCCCGTCCTCTCCTTTCCCAACCTCACTGACCCTCTGACTCTGACACCCTCTCCCCCCTCCAACCTCATCCCCTGCGCCCGAAGCACACTTGCTTCCCTGCCCCTGGTCAAGTCACCCACGCACCTAGGAATGCCCCTCACGCCACTGCAGCCTCTGCTCATTCCTGGGCTCCCTCATGAGAGGTGGCTCAGCGACTGGGAGGCTGTCTCATGCCCTGTCCTCGGGCGCAGTCTGAGCACGCGTGCTACTGCAGAAAACCATTCTATGCCCTTCCCATGGCAGTCAGCCAAAGCAGTTAGGAAGAATTCAGCCACCTGCTCCTTTAGCCTTTGTGACTGGAGGGCCCCTCACTGACATAAAAGTAATATTGTGGCTTCTGACCTAAGAGAAGAAACTGAGTAGTCACTGCACGCTGTGGAACCACATGGAAACACAATTTTACAACTGTTCCCAAAGATGTTCTGACGTTAGCTAACCGTCATATTAAAGATTATTTAATCCCTTTTCCTAAGCATCTTTTTTTAATATATACTATATGTTGTTTAAACTGTTTTAAAACCTACACTGAAATAAAAGATGACAACCATGAGATTAGGTTCCTAAGGATTTGGAAAGAACTAAATTAAACCCGAAATGAAATTGTTTAAAGTTGATTTATAAAGCAGCAGGTGTTTCCTCTGGAGAAAGCCTTCTAAGATCTGGGAAACGAAACAGATCCCACCTCTGACGGGAGGAGCTTTGCACTCTGCAGCTTGGCCCGAGGTTCTGCCGCAACCTCTCTTCTAGAATTCCTGGCTTCTGGTTTCATCTGGCCACAAGACAGGCAACCCTAGCTTGCTCTAAGGGTATGTCACCTTCATTAAGAGATGATGATATCACACAGGCACCTGGTCACCCCGCCAACATTTACTGAGTGCTGCCCATCCAGCAGGCAGGATTCTGAGTGTTCCACAAGTATTAATTCACTGCAGATGAGGAAACTGAGGCAGGGAGGAATGAGGTCCCCTGTACAAGGTCACACCTATTGTCACCACAGTTCCAGGGATGGGGTCACAGATCTTTCGGGAAATGGTGAAACGACATAACTTCTGCCCAGGAAACAAGCCCAGAACACAGCATTTTGCACACAGTCTCTGGAGGCTCTCGCTCATTCCCCACGTGTCTCTCTTCCCAGGTTCAAAACTTCCTTCATCCCTTGTTGGGATTAGACTAACACTGTAGGCACGTCGGGTGACAATGGTGCCTGGGGCAGCAGTGGGGTTCTTGGAAATAAGGGAACGAGAATCTTCCTGAAACACGACATTGGCATGTAAAGAACCGTGGCAGAGATGAGAACACCAGTTTAACAAGGCAGAATGCCTCTCTGACAAGAAGCCATCCGTGAAGGCAGCACCAGGTCTAAACAAAAAGTGTGTTCATCAGAAGGGGGCTCCACCAGAGATGGAAACAGCACAAACAACTTCAAAGAGAAAAATGCTACCGAGCATCTAACGTCACGGGTGCATCCCACGCCCCACAGTTTGTGCTTGCCAGCAGCCCCCCTTGCGTTTGCTCCCCAGTACACAGGCTCACAGGAGAGAATGCGCTGGTCACAGGGACAGCCACATGTCCCACAGTTACAAGGACTTCCAGTTTCTGCATCAGCTTGTGAACACAGAAACACAGTTTGTGTTTGTTGAATGACTGACTAATCTGGAGAACCTTAAACTTTTTCATTTATCTCAAGAGTCACAGACAAGTTCAATCTCAAAAGAAGACCTCTGTAACACAAAGAACTGCTTTGTGAGAACATTTTACCTTCATATTTGGATCCATCTGGGTATATAAAAATGCCTTGACCATGCTTTTTATTGTTAACATATTCTCCAATGTATCGAGCACCATTTTTAAATTTGTAGATCCCCTGAAACATATTGATGATAGAATTCATATCATTCCTGAATTAAATACTCACTAATAGAGTATTAAATATAGCAAATTACCCACTCGAGTCATGGATTCTGACCTGGCCGTGTCGTTTCCCGTGTTCATAGCTGCCCTCATACGTGTCCCCGTTGGGCAGTCTGGCTCTCCCGTGGCCGTGCCTTTCGCCTGCCTCGTTTCGGTCCCCCTCATATTCCTGGCAACAATGACAAAAATCAGCATAATGACAGCTGCCCCTTTGTAAGTGCCAACCATGTGCTAAGCGTTTTATAAATAGTATTGCGTCAAATCCTCCCAACCCTGGGCCCAGTTTTCCAGGTGAGGTAGGTAAGCATGCCTGGGCACTGAAAAGGTACAAACCCAGTGAGGCCATTCGAGGAGAGAAACTAGAAAGCCGACCGAGCAGGTGTTGCAGGTCAGGTTCACCCAGAAGCAGACCCTGAGCAAATGTCTTTTTTTGTTGTTTTAACTGTTCCCCCGGAAAACCAGTAAGGGGTCGGGGAACAAGACTCAGCCTCATCACACAGGGGATTCTGGAGTGCACCTCACTGCAGCTTGTCCTGGGTGTTAGCACCAGCTGCAGGGGCGCAGGGGCGGCTCCCAGGCACTTCTGGCTCCCCCTACTGGCCAGGTGGCTCCAATGCACTGAGGTGCTCCTCAAGCAGCAAAGCAGGCAGAAAGAAGCTGGGAGATGGATGTACAGAGCTAGTCAAAGGGTCTGAGTAGCCACAGCAGAGGTGCTAGATTTTTCTGTCAATGCCAGGCTGTCTCAGCCTATACTGGGCACACACACAGAGGCTGGAGCTAGGAAATGGCCATCCTCTGCTTTAGCGAGGTTCATCTCCGGACAGCACATATATGCTCACACAGAGCCCAGCTCACCTCACTAGTTGTGCATCCCTTACCCCTCTCTGCTTCCTAAACCAGGGAATAATTCCAACGACCCGGGTCAGCTCCCAGAGCGGAGAAAGCACATGTGTCATAGACCGATGGTAATATCTTCAGGAAACCTTTGCTGAGCCTGAGACCCCTGGGCATCCGCCTAACCCTGAGGAGCCGGGCTCCACTGCGGAAACTCAAGAATAGTAAGGCACCTTGGCAGAACCCAGCCATCCAAGAAAACCGACGGATGAAGAGTAACAGCGAGGGGGAGGATGCTCGGGCCTTTGACTTGGACACCTTTGCCTTTAATGGAAGGAGGGGTGGGGAGGGGAGCAGAGCCAGGAGGGCTGTGGCGAGCAGACGTCATAACGTTTCACCTTTCACCACCAGCTTCCAGGACGCAACGCCCGCCGTGGCCGGCGTGGTCTTCGCCCCCCCGGCTGGGACTCCCCGGGGCACTAATTGGCCTCCAGACCTCCTTATTGGGCGAACCCGGCCTCCTGGGGTCCGCCCGCCACCGCGCACCCCGGCAAGCGCCTCCCTCACCCGGAGCTCTCACCCCAAGATCATTTTCTCCCTCCTCCTCCAACTCCTCCGAGCCCAAGTCCGACATGGCCTAGCCTCCACCTCGATCCCCGCCGCAGCCGGTGCGTCTCTAGTCGGTAAGTACCAGCAGCCTGCACCGCCGCGTCCGCCGTCGCCATAGAGACGCGTCCAGCCCCGCCTCCCTCCCGGAGCTGGCAGAGGGATGGGAAGGCGCGTGGAGGGGCCTCTGGCAGCCTTCGAATGCTGTCATAGCAACGGGACACAGCGGCCAATCGCCGCCCGGGACGGCGGAGGAGGCGGGGCCTGGGGCAGACTTGGTACCCGCGCGCTGTCTAACCGGACGCGGGGTAGCTGACCCCGGGAATCCCTTTCGTCTGCTACTGCGTGATGCAGCAAGGAGGAGTCACCTTTGAATCTGGCGTCTAAAGAGGAGGGGCGCAGGAGGCGCGTCGGGCCACCTCCAGAGGGCTTCATCCCTGCCCGGTGCTGGGTACTGCCCCTGCCCACCCCGCCCCTCGGTTGCTGGGCCCCTGCGGGTTTGTGCGCTGCTCCCTACCTTTCTGGGCTCTTCTGGCCCTGCGGTGTTGCCAATCCAGAGATGGGTCCCCTGGGATCTTTCCTCGTGTTGGTAAAGATCTGCTGACTCTAGGAGGCAGTTCTGACCTCTTAGCACATGCGCGTCCACAAGCATACACACGTGCGCTCGCACAGACACACGTGCACATTCACACTCACTTCTCCTGGCCAGTGGTCTCCTCTTCCTGTCATCTGACGTCTCCTCCAGACAGCTGACACTCCGCCTGCGGGGCCCTCATGATCTCTTTCCCAATTCCTCTGCAATCACGGGATCCAGGCCTTCTTACTCGCCCTGGAATAACTGTGGCAATCGCCTCTAATTTAGTCTCTCTGGCCCTGTTAGCCACCCCACACTCCTCCTCAACCCAGAAACCCAAATGCAGACCCGTCTCACTCTCTGGAATTCAGTATCTCCATGTTCAAGGCCCAAGCCACCTTCTTAGCCTCATGGCTTACCATCCCCTTCCTATACTTGTTACATGCTTCACACAAAACCAAACCCAGGCAATTCCCCCAGATACATCCTTCACTGCCCGCTTCTATGCTTTGCCTGTGCCATACCCTATCCCTGGAATGCCTTCTTTCCCCCGGTTCTGTCTATCAGAAAACAGCCATTCTTCAGACTAGCTTTTAGAGAAGGGGTCACTTTCCAAAAAAGCTCCAAATTCATAAGGGCGCCCTCAGGGAGAAAGAGGAGAATGAGACTTGAAGAAGGAGGGAGGATTTCAACTCTGTGAATCATCTATCTATCTATCTATCTATCGTCCATCCATTTACCTATTTTAAAGGTCTGAGCGTGACAAAATGCAAATTTAAATCTATGTGGTGAGTGTGTTAGTATATATTAAGCATATTTCTCCATATGTTTATTTTTTTTATTTTAAATATGTGAAACCTCTCTGCAGCTTCTATAGATCCTTCGAGTTAAATGTGCTTACTATCGCCCTGGCCGGTTTGGCTCAGCGGTTAGAGCGTCGGCCTGCGGTCCGGAGAGACCCGGGTTCGGTTCCCGCTAAGGGCACGTACTTCGGTTGCAGTTTGTCCCCGGCCCTGGTTGGTCGTGTGGGTGGCAGCCACTCGATGTGTCCCTTCACGTCGATGTTTCTCTCTCTATCTCCCTTCCTCTCTCTCCCTCCCACTCTATCTGTACAAAAAATGGAAAAATATCCTCGAGTGAGGATAAAAAAAAAAAAAAAATGTGCTTACTATCTCTCTTAACTCCCATAGTACCTCGAATCAGCTTTATCACACACAAGACAAGATCTGCCTCATGTAATAGTCATCTGGGTGGTTATCTGATTTCTGGATACTCAGAAGCCATGTCACCCTTATTTTTGTTTACCCATAGCACCTAGAAAAGTGTTTTCACACAGTACATGCTCAGCCAAGTCAATGAAATCCAGTTCATATGGGCCTTTAGATCCATAGTGAGATGGAAATATGGTTGAGGGTCTTTTTTTAAAATCTGTTTTACTTAAAAGAATCTTTTTGTGTATGGAAATAAATGAAGACCATTTAAATTAAAACAAGCAATGACAATAGGGTGCCCCCCAAAAATGTATACACAACTCTGAATAAATATTAAGTTTGTATTTATTAAATGTATTTATTAAAATACATTTCATTTTCGCCTTGGCTGGTTTGGTTCAGCAGTTAGAGCATCGGCCTGCAGACCAAAGAGTTGCGGGTTTGATTTCGGTCAAAAGCACGTACCTCCATTGCAGTTCGGTCCCCAGCCCTGGTCGGGGTTGTGTTGGAGGCAACCAATCAATGTGTCTTTCTCTCTCTCTCCCTCACACTCTATCTGAAGATAATATCCTCAGGTGAAGATTTTTTTTAAATCCATTTTCAAAATGTAATAGAATCTACAGACACCCTCTATGCATTTGGGGGGGATACCTGTATTTATTCAGAGCTTACTACAGCAAGGGAGTCAACCACTTTCATTCACATTCAACAGACTCAAAAGTAGGCAGAGAAGTGGGAAACTTTACAGCAGAGAAAAGGGGAGGCCTGGTGTGCCCTGATTGGAGGCTGTTGGCGTGGGGGAGCAGCAGGAAGCTAACTAGAAATAGGGTGCCCAGCCCTGGCCGGCGTGGTTCAGTGGTTAGAGCATTGACTGCACACGGAAGGGTTGCATGTTCCAGATTCCTGGTCAAGGGCATGGGCAGGTACCTGGGTTGCAGGTTCAATCCCTGATCCCCTACCCCAGTGGGGGGCCCTGCAGGAGGCATCTCTCTGGCATCCATGTTTCTCTCTTTCTCTCCCCTGTCCTCTCTCTCCCCGCCTTCCACTCTCTCTAAAAGCTAATGGGGAGCCCTGGCTGGTTTTGCTCAGTGGTTAGAGCGTCGGCCTGCGGTCCTGAGAGACCCGGGTTCGGTTCCCGCTAAGGGCATGTACCTCGGTTGCAGTTTGTCCCCGGCCCTGGTTGGGTTGTGCGGGTGGCAACCACTCGATGTGTCCCTTTCACGTCGATGTTTCTCGCTCTCTCTCTCTCTCTCTCTCTCTGCCCCTCCCACTCTATCTGAACAAAATATGGAAAAATGTCCTCGGGTGAGGATTAAAAAATAAATAAATAAATAAAAGCCAATGGGGAAAATATCCTCGGGTGAGGATTAACAACAACAAAAAAAAGACCATACGGCCAGTGGGGTTCAAACCAAGTCTTCTGACACAAAAGCCATTAATGTTAATAACTACGTTCTACTGCCTCCCAGATCTCTGATTTAAAGGAATAACTCTGCTTTTCTGGAATGAGCTTAACCCATCTACCCAGCAGAGAAGCACTGGCTCAGTAAGTCTTAGGCCGACAAAGCAGAAAGTGGCTCAAGCAAACCCTGTTCTAGATCACAGCTGGGTGCCTCGCCATAGCGCTAGAGCACCCTAAAATTTACAATTTGATTTATGTCCCATGCATGCAAATTAGCATTTCTCCCCCAAACATCTTTCAATACAGTCATTTCATTGCACACAGGTTTAGCAGTTGTCCAAACAAGGCGAGAGGAGTCAGCATCAGGACTGCCCCACAGCTCCCAGCAGCCTCAGCTGGACAAAACCCAAGCTCCTCCTTCCAGGAAGAGGCGGCCCCCAGCTCCGCGCAGGCACAGAGCCTCACCTGCTCTCATCCTCTGGAGACCTGGGGAGTCCTAGGAAGATCAGGCCAAGTTGATTCCTGGTACCCCATACTCGCCGTCCCTCAACCCGTGGGTGCCTCGGAAGTGCTTGGTGATCACAGAAGCAACTCTTCCCAATTCTGAAGGCCCTCAAAAGACTTGCTTGACTCATCTTCCTCCTTCCTAACGGGGAATGAGAGGCAAAAAGGTAAGAACGACCTTTTCTACCTCTTAAAAACCTTGTCAGGAGACACTTCCCGTAACCCACCAGCAGGGGGCTCTCCCGTCATCCCCCAGGAGGAATTTCCCATCGTGCCCAGCAGGGCTCCCGCGCAGATGCAGCCCCTCGGGGGAGGGCAGGTGGGGCAGCTGGACCTCCGCTGAGAGGAGAGGAAGAGGGCCCAGGTTCCTCGGGCTCCGTTTCCCAGTGAGAAATAGTCTTCTCGCCGTTCTTACCTGTACATGACACGTGCCCACCTCTCTCCACCTGGCAGGAAAAAGGAGTAAGGAAAACTGGGTGCTGGGGGCCATGGCCCGTGGGCACGGAGGCGGTGCTGAGCTGCCTTCTGCTTCCACGTGGGATTGGGCGGGGGGAGAGAGTGCTGGAAGCCCTCGTGAGGGTCCCCCTCCTATCTTCCACACCGTTGTGACCCTCCTCCGAGCCCAGGGCCAGGCAGCCAGGCAGTTGCCATGGTGACTGGCTGAGGCCCTGAGCCTTTCTTCTGGGCCACCCAGAGCAACGTAGAGAAAAGGCCCTAAGAACGGAGGGGGACCAGAGAAATGCAAACAAGGTGCTTTGATTTTCGTTTAAGTGTCTAACTCAGGTAGAAAGAGGAGACTTTCAACAAAATGGATTCACGCCCATCTTTTTGTGTGTGTTTTAAATATGTTTTTATTGATTCTAGAGAGAGGGAGGGAGAGGGGGAGAGAGAGAGAAACATCAGTGAGAGAGAAACATCCATCAGCTGCCTCCTCCAGGCCCCCTGCTGGGGATCAGCCCACAACCACAGCATGTGCCCTGACCGGAATTGAACCAGCAACCTCTTGGTGCATGGGTTGTCGCTCAACCACCGAGCCACAGAGGCCGGCCATACCATCTTAACTATGAAAATGAGAGGTTATTAAAATGTTTGTATTCTTGCAAATTTAACTATTATATATGCACATATATAAACATACACATACAGATACAGGTTTATATAGAGATAGATATCCAAAAGACAGAAATTGCAACTTATTTTTTTTTAATAGAGTTTTTATTGGCATTTGGTGGGGAGGAGTCAGACCCAGGCTTGGAATCCTAGCTCTGTTTACTTCTTTCTGAAACCAACTTACCCATCTGTAAAATGGAGATTGTAGTCAACTGACCCCATAGGGT